CTGGCCATGTGAGTTTGATTTCCAGCCATGGCTAACTTCAGTGTCGAGTGAAATCTGAACTGGTGCAGGGCACCAACCCACACTAACCCCCATGGAGAAGTATGGTCAAACCACCCCCCAGGAACAAAAACATGTGGGGAGCTCTTCATCCAACAGTGGAGTGACAAATGAATGTAAAAACATGGACACGATGGCTTCACATAACCACTGCAGCCACCAGTGGCTGTTGTAATTTAAAATTTGCCAAAAGGATAATCAATTCTTAAATATATAATCGTGTTCATTTGAAGCTTTCGTGACTGCAGGAATCCATACTCTTTGGTTCTTTCGGTAAAGTCACGTAGGTAGAAAATAACAGATCACTATCTACGTGACTTTACAGAAAGAACCAAAGAGTATGGATTCCTGCAGTCACGAAAGCTTCAAATCAGAGTATATATAATCGTGATCTCAAATTACTACATTTTCTTACACCTATATTTCTCTTCCAGGAATCTATTGGTATCCTTTATTGGCATATTTAGTGACGAATTAACAAAGTTGGCGTTATTTATTTAACTTGAGGCGCTGAAAACCTCAGGCAGTTTAACTCATTGTTATTAAAGCTGATATTGACGTCGTGAACGCCTCCGCATTATTAGGCAGCGCAAAGCAGCCGTGGCAGCGCTGCAACCTTCCAATCAGCCAAAAACGAAACTTAAACAGGGCAAAGCCTCCAAAAAACACGCGCACAGTGAAGGAAGAAGGAATAAAAACAATCGTCTCGCTCAAACCAAGTGCGAGGAGATTACACGGAGGGAAGGGGGGGCATACACGGGGATAGAGAAAGGAGGAGAGATCCAAATGGGGTCATTGGAGGAAGGGGAAGTGAGAGAGAGGAGCTAATCTAGCGAATTAACGGCCCCACGATGTTTTTGGAGAAAAAGCACGAGGGGGATTGTTTTCTTTTTTTTGTTCAACCTGAGAGGCCAAACCGTGAGCCCTCAATCAGCTGTTTCCTGTCCGAGGAAAGGGGTCCTGTCGTGAGCAGTGGCAAACTTCCGGGCGTGGAGACACGAGGCCGAGGAGATCAAGAGATTCAACTTCACTGCCAACCTCGATGAGGAAGCCACCAGAGCTATTCACTTTTAAATATAGATTGAAAACTCACTTCTTTAGAACTGCTTTTTGTGTTTAGTTTGTTGTCCCCCCCCCCCGCACCTCCAATTAGCACGGTGGGCTATGAACGGTGCAAAAGAAGTTCATACTTTCTGGTTTTTCTAGAGTCGCAATGCTCACAGATCATTACTGAATAAGATGCTCCCAATTGTAAGTGACGCTGACATTCATTCGGCTGCTCACAATGAATCGTCAGGAAGACATTTTGGTGATGAATTAATAAAAAAAAATTTCATTTGTAAAACAATACATGTTGCTTTTATAGAAGGTGGGCAATCTGCAATGCAGAGATTCGTGGGTTAAAACGAACCTTTAAGCTCAGGAAACACGCATGGAATTGTGCGTGTAGAAATCAGTTATTAAGATTTATTCAAAAAGTATATTTGCATATTAATTAAAAGGCAGACTGAACAAACGAAAACCTACGGGAGAAAATGACCAACAGAGTGCGAAACGATACAGCGGCAAAAACGAGACAATGAAATTGATTATCCAATCTAATTGCAATCAATGCACAATCGCGTAAAGTCGTCAAATCTCTTTCAATCACGTGCCGGAATAAAAAGAAATGAATTTTTCCGCACGCTACAGGAAGCAACGATCTGCTCTTGACGCTAATCAGCTTAAAAAAACATTTGAGGAGAAGCAGCACCATCTATCTAAACTAATAAAAAACTAAATCTATTTTTCTTTTACCAGGTAAGGCCCACTGAGCTATGTAGCTCTTTTTCAGAAGCGACATGGCTATCACAAATTATAGCACAACGAAGTGGCTCCTCTTGTGGAAATTTATAGCAGCCAAATACTCTAAAACGCACGTTGATTCTAAATGTGGAGAGAAAAACCGGAGGAACCGGAGAAAAAGTCCACGCGGGGAGAGACCTACATAAACTCCAAATATAGAGCAGGCATCCGGGTCGGAGCCACGACCTCTTGTATACCAGGCGAGGTATCTAACATCTCGCCACCGTGGTGCCCTTTTTATATCTATTCCTCGCCGACTCATCCCCAAGGAGAACGAGGCACAGATACGACACGACAACGTAAGAGGGCGGGAGCAGGCGGTGTGCGCGTGGTGACAGACAGACAGCCAGCCAGCCAGGAGAGGGTTAAGTGCTGGCCAAACAGGAAAAAGGAAAACGCAACAAGTGACAGTGTTTTGACTGAGGTTGCCCAGCAGCGGTTACCGCCTCCCCCCCACCACCACCACTACCACCGCGTCCTGAGCGAGCCGAGCAAAACACCGGCGCGTGCGCTGCTAACGAGCCAGAACGAGGTGGCGGGGTGGTGGTGGGGGGGTGGGTTACGCACACAGGAAACGGCGAGGCTCGCTTTTCACCGCCGCAGGTTAAGGTTCTCGCTTCGATATGCAGCAACGCGTGGAGAAAAGTGTAGCGCGCGCGGGGAAATGTGCAGCGCGCGTGTTGAACCCCCCCCCCACACCTCCCCCCTACCCAAATGATTAAACAGCTGTTGTACATAGACGCTAATGATTATGCTGTGTTGTGTTGCGCCCATCGAGAAGAGGCGGCTCCGGCAACCGAAATAACAAGGAGTCATTTTTGTTCCAATTCGATAAGAAAAAATATCTATATTTCAAGAACCGCCAATGGACACGTGGTGAATACGAGACGGTGGCCGTTGATTCAATAACTGTCACGGAGCAGTCCTTACAGAGCCGCATGTGGCTCCGGAGGCTGATCTAGAAGCCATGTCTCTTAAAGGAAGGTTCCTTTCCGATAACGTCCGGCAGTTTACAAGCAGGGAATCCAAGCGAGCCCGACTCTGCTGATGAGACACTGTTGTCGAAACCGGTGCACCGTTTGCTTGTACTCAAGCAATGCTGTTGAAACTATGGCGCTTCCAGAAGAAGCCCATGGTGCCGACTGGTTGACTAAAAAAACATTTAATTTGTCCGCTTAAATATTTTATTGCATGCCACGGACAATTTTTTTCTCAACTTGCGTAATTATCAATGAATCATTACCAATGCGCGTTTCATTTTAGATACATTTAAAGTTATCGCAATTAAAACATTATTTACATGCAATCAATGTTGTTTCGCTAAACGGGTGACCATGCATTACAGTCAGGGCTTAACATCAACCCAGTCTCTCTGGGTAGGTGACCTGGAAATTACACAAACACCCAGCGCATTAAAGTTGGCTATATGTGACAAACACTGCTTGTCGGCGAATATAAATCATATGCCCCCTGGTGTGGATAAAAAGGCCTTTTGAAGTGATTTCAGTAACAGTTCTGTGACGTAATCATTCACATGACATTCCCTGCCACAGTATGTAGTGGTTGGGTGCAGTGCTCGCTGCAGGGTTATGAACGGAAGCAGATATGGAATCAACCCCGCAGGGCGATTGCCGACAGCACAATTGTAATAGATTGTAGCCCCAAACACAATTCTTGCTTTGACAAAGCAATCGCATTATTATTTGTGTGCTATTTAGTTATTCAGAATCAGAATCTTTTTTAAATACTGGAGAAATCCGATCAGCTATGAAGCTATTTTCCACACATGTCCAGTAGAAGTGGGTCAGATATTACGGATCACAACACGTTTTAAAACCATTAATCTTTCATCGGTGAACGCACGAAAAAAAATCTAACCGCTGTTGAGAGCGTTCCTTTGAAGTGAATGATTTTCCTGTTGATGGTTATCAGTGGTGGTACTGTGCAATGAATCATACAGTGAGCAACATTGAATATGCAATAAATATTTCACAATCGACCTTTAAGAACGTACAAACAACCGGAAACATCGAGTGCAGCGCGGAGAGCACCACGACGACGTTCGTACCGCACGTGTGCGACTCTTATTTTGGAAACGTGTCTCTCGAGTAAGCCTTCATCTTTTTAGAGGTTTATTTTGGCCAAAAGCTGACCAGCTTTGTTGTGAGCACCAGTGTTTGATGTCTGCAGAATATCGAGTAGAGAGGCTTGAATGTCAGGACTATTTTGAAAGAAAAAAACCCACACACGCACGTTGCCTACGCCGGGAAGAGGCGTGATGTAATGCTCACCTCTCGTGGACCCTCCCTGGCAACATGTCCAACAGTGACAATGTTCTTTTTGCAAATAAAAGGCAACGTCTTCATGTTTCTTATTTCACCACGCAAAAAAAGCAAATAATAAAAAGATGTGAATTTTTTTTCGCAAGGTTACTGTTTTACTATGTAACGATTATTGACCGGCTCTCCCTTGCAAGACATCAAATAAACCCCGTGGGGGCTTGCGTACTGCCAAATGAATGTACAATGTATGTACGTTTAGACTTCTTTCGCACCATACATAGCCGTCCGTGCAATTAGGAGGTGGATCGCACAGGGCAGTAACCCAGCGTCTGACTGTCACGTGAGGATATCTCGACAACAGAGAGAAAGCAAAGGCCTTATATAAAAACACTCGATATAAGTTCTAGCAACTGTGAATTGAATTGCAAATCGAGTAGCGAACGTCTTCAAAGGCATCTGGCCAGCGTGCAAGATGAGGATGTGATACCCTCTGAAGAGGGGGGCTCTTTAGAGCTCCCTCTAGTGGAGACGCCTGTGTCATCACATGTGTGAGCAAGACATTGCAGTGCTGCTGCGCCTCTACCTATTACCAGTACCAAATTATAACATTTAAAAGTTAAGCCCAGCACGTGATAGGGATTGGAAAAAATTTACAAAGTTCCGGATGAACCCGGGAAAGCTGTTTCTATTCAGCGACACATTTAAAAAGCTGGCTTACTTAGCAGCGACTTTGCTCTTAACACCGCAGTTTAATTGGGGGTGCTGCTGTGGGGAGGAGGGGGGGGGGGGGGAGTTATTTTTCTCCGTTCCGCTGACCTTGTTCCGCCAAACAGAATGGCCTGGTCTCCGATCAGGCAGCAGCACTGGCGTCTGCGCGGGCAGGGGCCCTTCTCACGCACCTCCATCCGCTGCCAGGTCATCGTTTCTGAAAAGCAGATGGAAAACAGTGGTTAGCACGAAACTATTTTTATTTTACCAGGTAAGGCCCACTGAGCTATGAAGCTCTTTCAAAAGTAACCTGGCTATCGCAAATGATAGCTCAACGAAGTGGCTTATCATCATGCGAATTTTTTTAGCAGCCAAATACTCTAAAACGCGTGCCGATTCTAAACATGGAGGCAAAAACGGGATGGCCTGGAGAAACATCCACACGACCACAGGGGAGAACAAGGAAACTCCGAAAAAAGAGGTGTCAGAGTTGGGGTCGACGCACACCCTCCTCTGTACCAGGCGAGGTAATTAACACCTCGCCACCGCGGTTACCGAATAGACGCCCATAGCCACAGAGCCGGGGGAGCTCAACCTCGTGGCTCGGGACGGGAGCCCGGGGCTTGGTGTCAACAGATGCGGACGTGGTGGCGCACGTCTCTAAGCTCGCGCTTTTGGAAAAGGCAACGGCTTTGTGGATCACGTGAAGATTTGCGCGAAAAAAAAACTCCAGCGCTGCATTTTCCGCCCGTTACCGCGTGTTGTTCTATTTTTTAAACTATACAATTTTTACTTTATCAGGTAAGGCCCACTGAGCTATATAGGTCTTTTCAGACGCGACCTGGCTATCAGAAATGACGGCTCAACGAGGTGGCTTATCACGTGGAAATTAATAGCAGCCAAATACTCTAAACGCACGTTTAGAAAAACTGGAGGAACCGTAGAAAAAATCCACGCGACCACGGGAAGAACACGCAAACTCGAAATATGCAGGAGTTAGGGTTGGGGTCGAACCCACAGCCACCTGTACACCAGGCGAGGTAATTAACAGCTCGCCACCCTTCGGAATCTTGTCCGACGTTTTGCGCCGCATGCAAGGAGATTCTCAAGAATGGAATTGCCCCAAAACATTTGATGCAGGGCAGCCCCTGACAAACAGAATCTTCTGAATCATCGAGGCTCTGCTGGATGAATACATTCATCATCATCACGATCCATGGGCAGATAGATCTTAGGTGTCCACTGCACATGTCGTCATTTGTTATTTTGGCCGTATCGCGTGTTTGGTCGGCGTGATATTCTAACGTGTTCCGGGAGCTTCTTCAGGAAATTACGAAGCTCCCAGCACATGATAGGGATTATTTGCACCTAAGATGGTACAATAATAATGTTACATTGAATTTGCATTCCAACCCCCCCGCCCCCCCGAGGATTTCACTGTCAAGTTTGCCTTGAACCCTCGACAGACATGCAAATGCGACATTCTATCTCAAGCTATGACTTAACCCTTTTAAAATATTTCACTCCCGCTCCTCGCCGTGTGAATGGAGATAACTTGATTGATGACAAAGGGTTTTGCTTGGCCTTTGCACGGTTTCAATGATGCCCAAGTGAGGTTTGGACAGATTACAACATCTGCAGCAATTGTTTTGGCGACAAAATGCCTGCAACCCCATCGTAAAATGCAGCATTTCAATCTCGGGCTTTGCACAGCGTTCACACAGGACGTCTTTGTTGCAGCATTGCAATGCTTATCAGTCGCAGGAAAGTGTGGATTCATAATATTTCCAGATACGCATCATAGACACACACCATATAAAAAAAATGATGCGTGACCGTGTGTTTTTCACACACAATGAAACTCTGCTAAATGGATAACGATGTACTCCCCCATGTAGGTCTTGGGTGTTGTTTGACCATACTTCACCGCACTGGTCAGTGTGGTTCGGTGGAAAAGGGAAGCATAGACATGGGGAGCATTGAAATACAGTACAACAATAGATGTTGCTGCTCTGTTCACCATGTAGCCCCACAGCCTACAAATGACTATGCTCCAGTTCTTGCAATGCGGGTACTCATTCGATCACCCATCGAATGAGTACCCGCAATCAATCCTGCTTAGCTTCCGAGATCTGACGCCAATCCGGGCGATTTGGTCAAAGGTGTTACATCTTCACACGCTAACCAAAGCAAACGTCTGGCACAATTAGTCACGTACAATGCGTAATGCTCCGTAGAATATTACACAGTTCCTGTCACGTGTATAGAAACCACCGTGTTTGTACGAAAGCACTCAAATAAAAAAAATCCTCCCAATTGAATTCGTACAAAAGAGGAGCTTATAAATAACTGGAGAGCTGCCTCAAGCCGTGACGCTCCGTTCCCTTTTGAAACGTCAACGGTGCCATATACGGAAATGATGCGACGCTGTCCTTCCGGGGAGTTACAGAGCAGGGTGCGGGGGGGGGGAGAAACTGAAAAAACACAAAAAGGAAAACGAATGAGCAACCGCCCACACCCGCTGACGTCACGCGCTTTCTGTCGCACATTAGCACGTGAGTAGCGGACGCATGCGGCCTTTGTGAAACCAGCGGCGCGATGATGAAGTACGTGTTATAACGGCGCGTGGTCTTGTGTTGCGGACGCGAGTCTATTTTTCTCCCCGTTATGACTAACGTATGAACGATGCGAGAAGACGAACAAGGGGGTCGCTGCAAGATTACGGTTTCATGAGAGAGAAAAAAACATTTCAATGTTGCGCGCGACATCAACGCGCAACCTTCGCAGCGCGACGACTCACTGCCGGATCTCTCTCTTGGCTACACACAAACGTTAAAAGTAACGTGGGCTTGGGCAGGACAAGAATGCTACAAGGGATGGTGATGGTCGGAGGTCGAGACCCTAGCTGAAACTAAATTAATTTTTATTTTACCAGCTACGTAGCTCTTTTTCAGAAGCGACCTGGCGATTACAAATGACATCTGAACGAAGTGGCTTATCATCATGTGGGAATTTATAGCAGCCAAATGCTCTAAACGCGTTTTTCTAAATGTCTAAAACCGGAGGACCTGGAGAAAAGTCCACACGACCACGGGGAGAGAGAGACACGCAAATCCCAAATATATAACATGGGTCAGGGTCATGATCGAACTCACGACCTCCTATATACCAGGCGAGGTAGTTCACATCTCGCTACTGCGGCGCCCCTGACGTACGAATGGCAGACCAAAGGTGGGAACAGGACCCGAGAGCGAGTCCGTACAGCGGAGATGGGAGCGGCAGAGGTCGCAAACGGGTTTTGATTCTTTACCCGTACCCATACCCGGCCGCACCAGGGTCGCAAATGGGTACCCGTACCCGGCCGGGTACGGGTACCCGTTCCCTACCCCTACCCGTACCCTACCCGAAATGAGTGACAAACGGTTACTCACCAGTGACTCACGGCCTACCCGTACCCGTACCCGGCCACACCAGGGTCGCAAACGGCTACCCGTACCCGGCCGGGTATCGGATAGGGTACGGGTATCGGGTACCCGGTTGCGACCTCTGGGGAGCGGTGAGATTGGTCACGTGTGCAGCTGCCAGATGGGTTGCTACATCACAGGGCCGCGAGAGACGCCGATGGCTCGGGGAGTGACACAATCATCCAGCGGTGGACTGAGCACGGCTGATAAATTATTGAGGAAACACCGATGGATGATGGCAACTCTGCGTCGTACGCATTTGAAACACATTGCGTGCCCACTTGTGCCCCGATTACAAGGTTCTTTCACCAGGTATCTCCGGAAATATGATAAAAAAATCCGACGTATCAAGCCGCCAATCTGCAGTTCTTAATAATCGCCTGAAACTAGCGTTTTACATAAAATCAAATTAAAATGCAAGCAAACGTCACATCGCTTTGTTTTTTTAATGAGAGACGTCAATTAATTGGCACTCCGCTTCTGTGAAATTAATTCAGTCGTAAATTCAAACATGTACGAGCCAATTAATGAAAGAGGAACTTCCAGGCACTTTACCTTTTTAATCTCCATAGTTACAAGAGAGCTATCGCCATGGCTACAGCGGTTTCCTAGACACGCACGCACGTACACGCAATCCCCCTTTCTCTGTCTCCAGCTACTAGAGTAGCCAAAACGCACGACGAAAACAGAAACGTTGGTTGAAATGTTTGCAAAATTGTTAACTATTACACACCAACGCCAATGTGGTCAACCACTGAGGACCAATACAAGAACTGCTGGATAATATTGGCCTGGAAAGCCAAAAACTTTAAACCATTAAATATTTTTTATTTTACCAGGTAACTGAGCTACATAGCTCTTTTTCAGAAGCCAACCGGCAAGAAATGATAGCCCAACAAAGTGGCTTATCACATGGAAATGTATTACAGCCGAAAATGCTGAAAGGACGTCGAAATTAAAAGTGGAGGGAAAAACCGGAGGAACCGCAGAAAAATCCATGTAACCACGGGAAGAACATGCAATCTCCAACTCCAAATATGCAGGCGTTCAAGGGTCGGGATCGAACCCACAACCTCCTGTATATATATTCTTAGGTTTTTTCGGTAAAGTCACGTAGGTAAAAACTTTACCGAAAAAACCTAAGAATATGAATCCTTGGAGTCACGAAAGCTTCAAATCTAGAATTCCTGTATATTAGGCGAGATTGACGACCTAAAACATTCTTGTCTGTGTGTAATTACAGAATGGAGTTCTGCTTATAATTTCTTAAACCCAACATCGCTGTGCAACAATATAGACCTCCGGCTACTGTACAGTTTTAATATAATTTAACAGCAGCTGGGATTAATGAAAAAAATTAAATTTTAAATAACTCGTGGTGGAATAATGATACCATTGATTCAATGCTTTTTGCTTCTTAAGCTCACACAATTCATGCATTGAATTGCACATTCAATAATCAACGGTACACAATTTATGCACCATCAATCAACACAAAAGTATTTTTTGTTAAATTACTTTTATGAATTGCAAATAATTCATCGAATCGCCAGCACGGGGGGGGGGGATACAAATCATTGAACTCACGAAGAGTCCACCGAGGTTATTCTACACCTCATGTACACCTTACGTACACCCCGTTTGTCAATCGACTGCTGGATGAGGGAGGGCCTGCTCAAGCCCCACACAAGTTGTGGGGGTCATTTGACCATACTTCGCCACGCTGGCCAGTGCGGCTTGGTGAAAGGACGGGGAAAGCACAGGCGAGGGAGCATACAAGTACAGGGCAAGATGTTAACTACATCGCCTGCTATGCAGGAGGTCATGGGTTTTATCGCGACCCTGACACCTGTATATTTGGAGTTTGCAAGTTCTCCCCGTGGTCACTTGGATTTTTTTATGGGTCCTCCAGTTTTTCCCTCCAAAGTTAGAATCAACGTGCATTTAGGGCATGTGGCTGCTATAAATGTCCAGGTGATGAGACACATCGTTTGGGCTATCATTTGTGATAGTCAGGTCGCTTCTGAAAGAGAGCTATATAGTTCAGTAAACCTTACCTGGAATAATAAAGTTCATAGTTTTACTTTGCTGTGTTGCAGGTGTACATCTCACCTGGACTGAATTTCCACAGGTCATCGAAGTGCCTGTCCACCAGGGCGTTGTAGCCTCCAAAGATGTACAGCTCTCCCTTGTAGGCAACTGCAATGGGAAAAATCAAATGGATAAGTTAATGGGACACACACGTAACACACACATATATAGAGAGTTCAAACTAATTATTTGGTGAGCACTGCATTGGCAATGGTGCACAAGCTCAACGAACAATAAAACTCACATTTGTCAACAACCACCGAGACCTTACAAGGAATAATGTACAATAGGCGACGTTTTGGGCCATGACCCTTTGTTTACTTACCTGCCGTGAAGATGGTACATTGCCCGAAACGTCACCGTTATATTTTTTCATTTAAAAGCCACAAGTGTTATTTGACAAATGTATTGAGTTTTTTTTTTATAAAGACACACACAAGCTCATCCATTCAGACACGAAGCCGATTTGTAATGCCCCTAAACTACATTCAGCTCAACAGGTGACAATATTGTGAAAGCGTTAATTCCATATGCACAGAGCGACGCATGGAGATTCAGACCTGTGGCTCGCGCACACACACAACATCAATTCCAATAAAAATGTAGGTGTGAATCACTGCAAAGGAAAACTATCCATACCGGACTGCAGATTTTTGGGACGTGGGCTCAATTACAAAAAAACGAGCAAAAAAACTGTGAAGGATTGTGTAGAATAAGTTTTTGCACACACAGCGTGCCACATTGCTTGACAGCACTTCAATCACAATCTAACATCGTGTAATTTCTAACCATCGCTTAAGTGGGGTGTCCATGAACGAAACGGATCGCACCAGCGCACGCGACGTCAATCTGTTTGCACTTGGGCAAAAAATCATCAATCAAGATTCCTTGCCTGAGAGCAGGTGTGGGTGGAGGTGGGGTGCTCAATCGCCTTTTTGATTTCCCATCCCCACGTGATGTCTGTGCTCCACCTTTTCATGTCCAGACGTTTCCTCCCTCGTTTCAACTCAACCGGCAGAGCTTTCATTATTGTGCCCTCTACATCTTTAAACCCGTTTCTTTTTCTTCTTCTTCCAAACAAGGTCTTCTGAACTCGCATACATCTTACAGTCAACCCTTCGCCAATCCACTGCTGGATGAGGGCCTCCCCATGTCGGCCGTGCGTGGTAGTGGGTGTCACGTGACCGTACTCTCCACGCGCCATTCAGTGTGGGTTGGAGAATGCATTCTGCTGCACTGCTCTCGTTTGTCCACACATGAGTCCGCCACAGCCTATAAACAACCTGTTGTGCCTGGATGGTTGCCCATCTAATCACTTCTGCAGACTAAGTGTACCAGGTTACCAACGAAGGTCATCTATCGATTCCCATATAACCATCTTTCTGTACCTCTATTTTATGTGCTCAGCCCTGATTTAATGTACAGAGCACATAAACATTTTTTATAAGGTCCCACGGCACTCTCTGTATGGCATACTTTAAATCAAGCTAACTCTTCATATTTGTGTTTAAAGTACACAGTTTTATAGGCAAATTGTCCATAATTTATTGGCTGGTGCTCGTCTCTGTGCCGTATCGGTCAGGGAGTACAAGCTGCTGCTCGCTGTGCCCTGCTCAAAGGCAGAAAGGCACCCCCTACTGGCAGATACCAGAGTTGTATCTTCACAGTAATCATATAACTTGTTAATAATGTGAGCATTCGAGGTTTGACGCGTTCCTCTTGGTGTCTACGAGTTTAATACCAAGCATGTGCCTCTTCGTATTTCATTGAACACCGTTCAACTACTGTTGTATTTTTCTTTGTTCAATGGCCATATTAAAACGGTAACAGGAAGCGGGACAGGAGCAGGAAAACGTGGATTAAGAGATGATAACGCAAGTTGAAAACGTTATGGACTGTTAAGAAAAACACGGCGGCTTGGGAAGGACACATCGCTCAAGGGGATGAGGGCCGGTGGTGGAGACTGACAGCCAAATGAAGAAACACGCCAGAGAGTCCCTCCCGTCGCGGAGATGGAGCGATGATATCAGGATTTGAAGCTTTTGTGACTGCAAGGATTCACTCTTAGGTTTTTTCGGTAAGTTCACGTAGGTAAAAAATAAAATTAAAATTAATAAAAGTAAAATAAAAAATCACGACGTTTCGGAGGCAACACAAGCCTCCGTCCTCAGGTGGAACCGTCACAGCACGATTGCTGTATCAAGTATTTGATACAGCAAAATAAAAAAAGAATCACGACGTTTCGGAGGCTTGTGTCACAGCACGATTGCTGTATCAAGTACTTGATACAGCAAAATAAAAGAAAATCACGACGTTTCGGAGGCTTGTGTTGCCTCCGAAACGTCGTGATTTTTTATTTTACTTTTATTAATTTTTATTTAATTTTTTACCTACGTGACTTTACCGAAAAAACCTAAGAGTATAGAGATGAGATCAGCTCGTGCGCAGGAGCTGGACGCATTTTCGCATCGCGAGACTGGCAGGTGTTCATCCAGCAGTGGATAGATCGTGATTGATGATGATGACTGTTTAGATTCTCAGGTCATAGTCTTCACAATTCACTTTTTTCCCCAATTCATCAACAGCATCAGTGAGCGTAACATATCGATGTCAAATCAATAAACGTACTTTAAATCAATTCCCCGCCTACGAATGTGCTTTCCAAATTTGATCAGAATATCGAACATTATTCTTACTTTTTACGCTTTCCAACTAGGGTCGAAAGCATTTATGCATTTTCTCTGTCCATCACTAACGGGAGAGGGCACTGTAAGTCTAATGATGATCCAACACAAATGTAACTTTCGTTCACTATTGTGTTGCTATGAAGGACTTACCCTACTGAACATCGGCCACATTGATGGAAGGGTTGCCTGCAGCTTAAGACACAAACCAAAGTAACGCAGGACTATTTGTAACAACGCCTGAAGCACCTTGCCATGGAAGCTACTCGTCAGAAATATGAACACGCATTTTACCGCGACAGATATTAACTATTATTTTTATTTTACCAGGTAAGGCCCCACTGAGCTATATAAAGCTCTTTCAGAAGCCATCTAGCCACAAATGATAGCTCAAACGAAGTGGCTTATGTGGAAATGTATAGCAGCCAAACACTGTGAAAGAATGTTCCTAAATGCGGACGGAAAAACCGGAGGCCTCGGGGGTAAAATCCTCGCGACCAGGAGGAGAGAGACATGCAGACTCCAAATATACAGGCGTCAGGGTCGGGGATGGAACCTGCGACCTCCTGTATAAGCAGGCGAGGTAGGTCCCATCTCGCCACCGTGGTGCCTCGACTTCCGTACCCCTCATTAAAATAAGTTATGGCGATGAGCGCGCGTCTAGAAGCTCCACGTAACATCCGCGTGGCGCCGTGAATAACTCCCCGGGGGGCTTGTTCGACCGCCGTGTGCTTACACGCCGAGTGGCTCCTGCGTCCGTCGGGCGGCGTGCCGTTGACGGGCGGGTCGAACCAGTAGCGCTTCTCCGTGTCGAACACCTTGATGCGGTTGCAGTAGATCTCGCGATTGGAGTGCGACGGGCCCAGCATGTCGGCCCGCCCGCCAAACACGTACATCTTCTGGCCGATGAAGGTGGCCGAGTGAAAGTCCCGCCAGCGCGGGAGGCCGCCCTGCGTCGATCGAATCGGCGAACGCGGAAGAAAGTGGGTTAAGGAGCGGCTCTCGCAAAGGTCAACAAACAAAAGGGGCAAAGATACCCCACACGTAGCATGCAAGGGGCCATCTAAGAAAGTCCTGTTGGGCGAGAACCTACGATGGCCGGCACAGCACGAGACGGTGGCGTCGCTAGTGTCACGCCTGGCCGGGGGTCTCCACGGTGCTGCCGTTTACAACACTGCACGAGGTACTCGGGGGGGGGGGGGGGGGGGGCACGCAAATTTTAGTTCGAACCAGTGGTGCGGCTGTTGCAATTTGTCGACAATGGCAGAGTTGCATTCATTAATATTCTAAAGTGTAACACACTTGTACTTACCCTGTCGTTAAAGTTAGTAGTTATTCTGTGACTGTATAATCAATTATCACGGTGGCCGGATGGCTCGCAGTTTCAGAGCACTGAGCTGGGACCATTGACATCCTTGGTTTAAATTTCAGCATCAGTCTTAAGGGTTAAACTGGGCCCTCAATGGAGCAAGTTTATGGCCTCAGCCCAGTTGATGACTGTGTGCAAACACACACACAAAACCCATGACATAAAATTTGGGTTTACACTTAACAACGTGAAATTCCAGTTCTAAGAAAAAAAATTACGGCAAGGGAGACTTGCGTATAAATATACGGCAGCACAACTCTCCGCTATGTTTTAAATGAACTACCTTGAGTTTTAAAATAAAGGTTATGGCAGATCTTATCATACATTTATACAGCGCCTTAACCAAGGCAACCGTACAGTGAAATAACTATGGTACAAGATGGTTGGCGTGAGGGCATGAGATTAGTGGATGTGATATGTAAAATGAGGTGGTGGTGGCGATGATGCGTGCAATAAACGAAGATGGAAATGAGATGAGTGGATTGATGACGGGTGACCATGGGGAGTTTGGGGGACAGGGAAGGCGGCGTTCGTACGAGTGGGGAGGACAACAAGGGGAGAAGGATGGGTGGGCAAGAGAAAATAATACTGGTAGGAACCTCCTGGTTACACCAGCCCACAGGGGATTATTGTGTCCGTCCGTCCGTCGTGCATCCAAAAATGGGAAGGGTGGGGCTGGGTGGGGAGGGTGGGGCTGGGTGGGGGATGGGAGGGGTGGGGCTGCTCACCCCGTGGTGCCCTTATAAAACTCAAGGTTTAACCTACTCACGCTGGCTTGTGCCCGCCCTCACAGTCGGGCATATTTGCGGAATACACCACGCCGCCGTTGACCCTGGCCATTGACCGAGCAACCCAACGTTCTTACCAGCTCCCTCCGCAGGAATGTGTTAAGTGGGATTTAAGAGAAGAGCGGAAGGTAGTGATAGAGGGTGATTGTTTGACGTGCAAGGGCAGTTTATTCCAGCGAAGACACTGAAGATCGAGACACTAAAATTTGCAATACCATATATTACAAGCCAAAAGCTACCCACCACTAACCTACTCTGAAATAACACATTCACACCTGTGTACCGATTTAAAAGTCAACTGGGCTTTGGTTAAATTCCACTGATGAAAGCACGAGCGCTGTCCTCTACTGCCACCTAGTGGACGTTAGACAGGACACAGGCTACGGGTATAAATGTTACAATACACTTTTTAAAAGGCGTAAAAAAAATCAAGGGAGAAATTTTGATTTATGTAAATTAATTTCACATGCGTTGGTTGTAAAAGAACACCAGTGGCAGTGTAGAAAACTCGAGCGAAAAATATGCTTTGTCATTTTGAGTAATCTACGTAGAGCGAAAACCCATTTAAGGTTATTAATACATCCAATCGCAGCAGGCGTTCTTTCAATAAAAAGTCTGCTCACCAACATGCAACGCGATAAGCTTTCTTTTGGATAAGCTATAAGCAACTTACATAATTTTATCAATCTGTATTACGTACAGAATTTTCAGGTAGTATAGCAGAGTCAAACATCGTTTGAAATCCTCACATCCTAGACTCTCTGCTGGTTGTGTTAGATCATTGTTCTTGACTAATTTTCAGAGGGGGGGGCCCACTTTCGCCGATGTGACATCAGTGTGAGTGAGGGCCACCGCACATTTGAAACCAATAGGCTTTGACAGCAGCACGGTGATGGTGGTGTTTTTACACGTTGCGTATTGTCGGGGGCTGCACGTCAAAGGGGCCGCACTAAAGGCCACCAGGGGTTGCCAGTGGCCCGCGGGCCCTGAAATAAAGAGCACCGGTTTAGACACCGTCACTGAAGCGCAGAAGAGTGGCCAGTTGCGGGCGGAAGACTGGCTCGTGGTGAGGCAAGTACATCGGGGGAGGGTGGTGAAACGGGAGGGGATTGGGATTGCGAAGAGTTGGACCTTGAGTCAAACACAGCGCCCGGGGACCGATTCGCTTGTCCTTAAACGAGCCAACGCACATTTGCCTCTGTGACTTACGCCACAGTTGGCGATCGAGACATGCATGGGGGGCGCGTTTCCATCGACGCCGGGATGACGAGCAACTTGCGGCAACGACGTGGCACGTGGTGGTTTATTAAAGCCCCGCCCCTCGCCCCGCCAAAGATTAGTTTTAACCAATTAATTTGTACGATAAAAAGATATGAGCTCCAGCGCGGTTGACAGACGAGAGGTTTTATTTACCTCTAGATGTGGATGGATGTTCGTATGTATGTCTGTATGTATGTTGAACTTATTTCGCACTGTACGCAACCAACCGTGATAATCGGGAGGTGAGGGGGAAGAACATCAAACTATGGGTCTGTGCGAGTCTATGCATGCTGAACTTCTTTTACCACCGTACATAGCCAACCGTGTCCATCTGAGGTGGGGACACACACATAGTGTAGATTGACAAATATTACGAGTAATATATGTACATGAAGAAGGGCTGTTGCTGCAAACAGCACCTATTTATCGATTTTTCATTTTAAGGCCAAAGTGTTGAGAAACTTACTGCGTTTTTTGTTGATTGTGCTTGTGCACCAGTGCCAACGCAGCAGCATCGCCAAATCATTTGCTTCGCACGAATACATGCAGCATTTATTTACATTACACACATGAACGTGTCGGCTTTAAGTCGATCAGAAGGTAACGCAGCCAAACCCGTTCAACAATTTGTACGTTTCATACGTCTGAACCGTCTAGATTTGTAGCTAGCTCTGAAGTTTTGACAACACTGCAGTCGTAACAAAACCCTCAATCATAATCGAGGCATTTTTTTTAAGAACACTATAAAATAACCTTTGCAAAAAAAAAATCAACTGCCATTTAACTTACTCGATGTGTGAATGACGTCTTATTTTGTCAATTTGTACCGTGTGGTGTCACGCATGACGTTCGAAGAGTCGAGTCTGCTCCCGGCAGGAGGTGGCGCGAAACGTCGGGACAACGTGCCGAACACGCAGCACATGACCTTCCCACCCCCACCCCACCGAAAGCACGTTGGAGAGCTACGGCAGAGCAGCCGTGATAAACTACGTCGCACCCTTAATTTGTTTATGAAAGCCTGAGGGACACTCTGAACCGAGTTCCAAACTTCCCCCACCCAGACACGCTCGCATGCCTGCACGCACGCACGTACGCACTCGGCATTTAAAGTCAATGCTATTAAATATTTTTTTTCCCCCTTGCCGTTCCGGGTGCAACGCGTATAACGCACAGAGCAAGGACTGAGTGACACAGATACAACTCTTCCACGAACTAAACTATTTTTATATATTTTTTATTTTACCACGTAAGGGCCACTGAGTTATGTAGTACCTCTTTTTCATAAGCGACCTGGCCACAAATGATAGCTCAACGAGATGGTTTATTGGCAGTGGTGTAACAAGCACAAACTCACCAAATTTGTCAAAAACATTAAGAGATGATCTGTCATGCAGGAGGGCCACGGTCTTAAACATAACCTATTTTATACGCTTTCCATTTTAGGGCAGCGTTATCGACGAACGTGTTAGCGTGGTGAAAGGACGGTCAAACAACCCCCACGATAAGCTCTGCGTGGGGAGGCCTTCCTTCAGCAGTGCATTGATGGACGGGTAGTCGTGTGAAAATACGTTAACAACCGTAGCGCAGGAATCGCACGACCGTTTACTCACCAGTGCGTGGATTAGTGTCCAGGTCATCGTCGTGGTGTCCATTTTGTGAACGTCGTTGGAAAAACAATCGGCCTGTGAGAAATATACAAAAAAAATAATCACAAACATCCTCCCCCATACCAACATTTATTTACCTTGTGCATATATTTTGTTGATACGCTGTACCTGAAAATCAATGCAAAGTCACTTGTAAGCAAACACAAGGGAACTGTTTAAACTAGAGCAAAAGGATAACCATGTCACGGCCTGTCAATTCTGCTTGAACCAAACATGTATTTTCCTTTATCATTATTCCAATCCGGCCGGCTAACAAAGTCGTTAAGAGCACATGCGGTTTGCAAACAGCAGGTTACAACTTAGGTTTGAAGTTTGCAGCTTACCCTCCAGAAATAATGCGTTGTGTATTACATTTATTGTTTAACGTGTCTTTAACACGTAGGCGTTTGCGACCAATATGATTAATAAAAAAATTTTGGTTAGATCGCTGAAATATAAATGTGTCGCAAACCCACCTCCACCCGACACAGCCAATTAGTAAGGTTAGTCACGTGAACAAAATGTGCCAATTAGTTACTATTAAGTGGCACGTTTTGTTGTGGGTTTGCTCTCAAACACACAACTGGTGTGCTGAAGCAGTAACTAATTGACACTTTTTGTTCACGTGACAAACCTGACCATTAGCAATGTCGGGTGGAGGTGGGTTCACGGTGGCGCCACGGTGGCTAGGAGATGTTAACTACCTCGCCTGGTATACGGGAGCTCGTGTGTTCGACTCTGACGCCTGCTGGATATTTAGAGTTTGCGTGTCTCTCTCCCCGTGGTCACGTGGATTTTCCTCCGGGTCCTCTGGGTTTTCCCTCCACATTTAGAAACGTGCGTTTCGGCTTTTTGGCTGCTGCAAATATCCACATGATAAGGCACTTCCTTGAGCTATCATACGGAGCCAGGTCGCTTCCGAAAAAGAGCTATATGGCTCAGTGGGCCTTATCTGGCAAAATTAAAAAGGTCTTTAGTTTTTCGGCACATTTGCACGACCAAACCAAAAAAACGTTACCATGTTTTACGTGTACTTATCATCATCAATGGTTTTGTGCTCAATGTCAATCTCCATCGTCGTCGTCTGGACGAAACGAGGCGACACATGGTCGCGGGCGAACGCTGGGGCTTACCAGCTGCTCGTACCCGCCGAAGATGTACATGCACTTGCGCAGAGCCGCCGCGGAGTGACCGTCCCTGGCGCCGGGCACCGGGCCGGACACGTGTGGGCGCAGCCACCGGTGGGTGTCTGCGGGTTAACGGGAAAACACGTGGCACGCACGCACACGCACGTCCGCGCATCGAACGTCGCGTATTTTTTGTTTGTTTTACAATCGCTCCCATCGCATGAGTAAATGGAGCTCAACAACGGCTTTTGCTTTGGTGCCTTGAGATGTCGTGCATGGCAGGTGCGATATATATAGACACTTTTTCAAACAGTTTCTGGGCATAGGCCCAGAGGCCCAGGACGTCAACCGGCCATCAACAAAAAAGCATCAGAGTAGTAACGTTTCACGTATCAAGAGAGGTGTTATGGAGTGGTTAAATCGAGCACTCTGGCAGAACGACCAGCATCATCTTCATCAGCCAGGATCTATCCACTGCGGCACTCACAAATGTCGAAGGAGTAGAGCACGTTGCAGGCGCCATCTGTGTCGTTGCGTCCGCCCCAGACGTAGATGGCGTCCTCCACGAGCACGGCCGTGTGGCCGTAGCGCATGTACGGCATCTGCTTAGGGCCGATCACCGGTGGCAGCTTGCTCCACCGCATCGACACTACATGGTGCGCGTGTGAATGTGAGCGACAGGGCAAACAACGGGTGTCACTCAACTCGCAATCTACCCGTGCTGCGAACGTACGAGTTCGGCAAGTGACCATCCGTGCCCACCCACTTGCCCCCCGCCAGCCCACCTCTTACGGTGTAATTCATCTGTTGAACCAGTGCAGGGAATTCAACATTGGGATTATTTGGACTCGGCCACAGCAATGTGGAATATCCACTGTCCTTGCAATGTTATGAACCGAGGGGGTGTCCTGAAAACACTTGAGAACCCACATATATATTTCATAAATGACAACCCACGCGTCATCCGCTGCTCCATTAATGCGTACGTGTGCGATGTGAACGAGCGGGCACGCAATGGGTGTCAATCTCCTTCGACTCAACAACCCGTGTGACGATTCACAAACCACCCACACCCCCTCCCCCCCTTATGATTTGATGCAATGAAGGGGCGAGCACGAATAACCTGATAATCCACATATATACACTTTAGATTTTAAATAACATCATGTCAAGATTAATTTAAACACTTGAGAATACACTTTGGTAATTGGTTCTTTACCCTTCTATCTGGCAACAAAACTGACACCTTTTTACAAGGAGTCATGTTTGCATAGACCGCAATACCTGCAGTCATAATACAAACAAAAGAACATACCTCTGATAATGTGCACTATCAGAGTTATGTTCTTTTGTTTGTATTATGACTGCAGGTATTGCGGTCTATGCAAACATGACTCCTTGTAAAAAGGTGTCAGTTTTGTTGCCAGATAGAAGGGTAAAGAACCAATTATCATATTTTTACTGGCAAATGAGGTTCCCATAGAATACACTTTGGTTTTGTGTCATCTCCCCACTCATGGGCATACAAATTAACCTGGCTGCAAATAATAGCTCAACGAAGGGGCTTATCATGTGGAAATTTACAGCAGCCAAATACTCTAAACGCAAGTCGATTCTAAATGCGGAGGGAAAAACTGGGAGGACCCAGAGAAAAATCCACGCGACTACAACGAGACACGCAAACTCCAAATATATAGCAGGCGTCAGGGTCGGGATTGAACCCGTGACCTATTGAATACCAGGCGAGGTAGTTAACGTCTCACCACTGCGGTGCCCGCCGAAGCAGTGGTACGGTGATTAGCGGCACCGCGCTGTGAACCAGGCAGCCAGAGTTCAATTCCTAGCCACGGCTAAAATTGGTGGCATATGAAAGCTGGCATTGCCCTCCGACACCTATTCACAAACCCACACTGACCAGCGTGGTGAAGTATGGTAACAAAAAAACCGATGACTTGCATGGAGTGGGAAGTCCTAATCCCCTTGGCGAATTGAAAATGGCTGGAATTCATGTTTTTTTTGTCTCATTTATATAGTATTTTTTATATATAGCGTTTGTACAGTTGTTTGCTCCAATAGACTAGTTGTAACATAAAAAAACCGATGACTTACATGGAGTGGGAAGTCCTAATCCCCTTGGCGAATTGAAAATGGCTGGAATTATGTTTTTTAGTCTCATTTATATAGTATTTTTGGTTTTATATAGCGTTTGTACAGTTGTTTGCTCCAATAGACTAGTAGTTTCATTATGATTCCTGTAAGCGTTTGCATTAATCATAATAGATTCCTACAAACACAATTCAATGTATGTATCGTGAGCGTATTAATCTATGTTAACCGATTAATCAATGCCTTGTTACATGCCCGATATAGAAGGAACCCTCACCCGCTCACACGATACGTTGTGGCCTTGACAGATAAATTATTATGATTGCCGACGGTTTTGGCAATGAACAAAAGGCCAATGCCAGAAACATCTTCGAAGGCCAGTGTTGTTCACGAGCATGCCGAGTTTGTTTCTATCTGGGTGAACAGTTGAAGATGTATTGCTGTGCAATGTTACAAACAAGGCATTTCGCAAACACGCAACCATTCAGACTCGTCAAGGCTATTTTAACAATGCTGACAACGCACTTTAGTTTTCAAACAACATTGGCAAATTTATAACCATGATGAAACGATAAACAACTCACAGGGTATGTTATATATATTTTTTTATAATTTAAATATTGCATGTGTTAAAGAGTCGACGTGAGAATAGGTGTGGCATGCCTATTTTGGGCATTGTAGAACTGTGCGGGGTTTTAAGTTGTAGATTTTAACATGCTTGTGCTTAAGTGTGCTTACGAGTTTGCTATGTGTATGTCCCACTTCGTACCCTGGACAATCTCGTAGAAACGAGAAAATCTTCATAAAATAACAATCCACAAACTCAACCAGTTATTCATTTACAAACAGATGCTTATCGCAGGAAATATTATTTGGTGATGCTCCATTTGGCAGTGATGCACAAGCACAACCAACAACAATAATCTACACCATAATAAAAAAAAATACATAACAATTAATCGGGCTTAATTCATTGTCCTTACTTCACAAACATTACGTACGGCGTGAAAAAAGTTCAACATACATAGCCATACATACTACAAAAGAAGCCTGCATACATGCACGAGGCATGTGAAATGTATTTTAACAGTGGTAAACTTCGTAATACGACGCCGATTAAGGCAGCTTCTATTCCGAGCGACACAAACTTTACACGGCACTTTGACATCGCTCGAGACTCACCCAGGTTAAAGATGTGCACGTCGATCTGCCGCAGAGTCTCGTAATCTTCACCGGAGCAGTATCCGCCAAACGAGTAAACCTGCCAAAAAATGATCAATCGCATCTCACTTTATGGGAATTTTTTTTTACGGAGTTCGGCTCCAAGGGGTGAAACATTACCGATGTAAACACAATCGTGTATGTTTCGAAGACGACGTGGCGCTAAACGCAGTGTGACGTGTCATCTCAGATCTCCCAACAAAAGCCACCGACCAGTTTCTGGGAGAGATCTTAACTCAACTCACCCCTGCTGCAGCGTGTGTCCACACCGCAAAATGCGACAACTCCATTTTAAAAGGGTAGGATCGTGGTTGGCTTTTGATGGAACATCTTAACGAGTGCCTCACTACAGTTAGCATTCCGTAGTTTTGAAATCGTTTATACCTGTTTAACAACCGTATATATACTGGACTGGACAAGTCTCTACAGTTGAAAATATGCTGTTGAGTACCTGTAAACTCTTATAGACGTTAGGGAATCTGTAACTCCCTAATACATGTAATACAAACCCAGCTTGTATTTACATGGATTGCTAAATTATTGTTGTTACGCTCGTTTTCCCAGGAATGCCTCACCGAATATCAAAAAATTATTTTTTTCAGAAGGGTCCTGCAAAGATTTCATTGTTTGCAGCGCGTGATGTTGCTTCTTGTAATCCTCAGTTATTTGCAGGTAATGTTTTGAGCACTGGAATGTTACACTGTGTGCTATTCATCTAGCTATGGCAAGGACACGGAGAACCCAGAGGGAAACCATGCAGAACATACAAACTGCACACAGACAGGTGCCAAAGTTCAGGAATCGAACTCGAGCCCTTCTTTGTTACGAAGGAAATCGATGCAAAAAAGTTTCAAAGTTGTTTCCTGCTCAAGCGCACGTCCGCTTGGCATCCATCACTTATGTAGAGCCCTGAGCCAATATTGAAATTTCCACATTTCTATGGTTGGGTGTGGGCAAATAAATGAATAACACAACCACTGTTGTATAAATCACATCAATTGATGCAAACATTAAAACTCTTACCAAAAAAAAGTAAGGGTTATGTCTACAGGTCTGGATAATTATACAAGGTTAATTATATAAATTAAGTAAACAAAGTTGAACCAGTCTCATTTGGAGAAAACGAACACCCCCCACAGACGAATTGTGTTGTGGTCACAGGCAGGCCCCCTCCTCCCCCCGCCGTGAGGGTTACATCTATTTATGTTGAGAATATACGTGCGAGCCACAGCACTGTCAGGCAGGCTAACAGGGCACCCAGGTGCTGTTCTCAGATTAGCGCTGTTATTTAAATGTTCTCTTTACCATGCCCGCATGTGAAGTAAAAAAAACGATTATCCGTTTACCAACCTTCACCGACCTTCACCAACCTGCACGGTGAAGTACGGTCAAACAAGTAAGTCCCAAGTGTGACACGGCGTGATGGGGCATTCATCCATGACATGGGGCAGAGAGGTTTTCAAATACCGTGTGACAATTCATCTTCTTGGTTTGTTTGGTAAAGTCACGTACAAGGGAAGTAATAAAATAATAAAAATAAAACATAATAAAATAATTCTCACGACGTTTTGGCCACAACGCAAGCAGCCGTCCTCAGGTGACGAACAGGTCTGTTGGAAAGACAGTGTCTGAATTCAGACACTGTCTTTCCGACAGACCTGTTCTTTTATTATTATTTCATTATTTCCCTTCTATGTGACTTTACCGAAAGAACCAAGAAGATGAATCCCTGCAGTCACGAAAGCTTTAAATCGTGTGACAATTGTTTAGATCTTTACCAAAGTTGAACTGGATTCGAGTATAAATTTCCATGACTTTTGGAATCGATAACAGATTCGGTAAACAATAGAAAAATGGACAATAGATTAATACCCCTATCTTAAATGGTCAAAGGACCTGGGTTTGTATTAAATTATGCAACGTTTAAGTCAGAGTGGTTTCCCATAGCAATGCATGCATGGGGGGTAAGGGGGCGATTCATCACCTGTTTAAAGCCATGGGTCATTGGTGGAATATCCACATTCCCATGACAGGGTGAGTCTATTCATAGTACAACCACTGCTGACTTCTCACAATGGGGTGGTGGGGGTCTATTTGATTGACTTTGAAGAGGATTAGGGAACAAGTCAACCCCCAAGCAGGATTCAAACCCGCAACCTTCAGATACTGAGAGTGAGCTCTAACCACAGCCACACCCAGTCAAAAAATAAAATACACAGAAGACATGTGCCAAGACAAAAATAACTAAATGTTCTGCCCAGGTCCAGTTTTTCCATAAATTAAAAAACACCGTTTCCACCTGTTAATGAGTTGATGGTCAACCACAAAGAGGGGTGTGTGATGATGAAGAAGTTGACAAAGACGTCGGTTTATAAAAAAAAAAACACAGCCCAACCAACGTCTCCTCATCGCAAACTGCATTTTGGTCAGTTCGAAGTAGTCGGCCTCATGGAGTCACACGGGCCATATGACAAGAATCCGCTTGCCGTATGAAGCGAAGCCGTGCGCCATATGAAACTAAGCAGCGGGGCGGTATAAAACTGATTTGTGTCTAGTTTACTGTCCTTACCCCGCACCTCCAATTAGCAGGGTTGGCCATGTACGGTGTGAAATAAGTTCCACATACATACAAACATGCATACAGACGAAGCCACGGGCAGTATAAAACTAAGTAGCGGGGCGGAGTGAAACAAAATCGCGGGGCCATGTGAAATCAAGCAGCAGGCTGTATATTCGGGCTCATGGCCCATAACACAAGTCAGCGTGGCGCGCTACCTTGTGCCCAACGGCGACGGCGGCGTGGTTGACCCTGCGGGGGCCGCCCTCCAGGTGCGTTGTCCAACGAAGCATGGCTGCTTCCTGTGTCGCACCCACGCCCCCCCCACCCTCCAGTGGCCACCGGGTAAAAAAGTGAACTCCAGTTGTGCTTTGGTATATATCCCTCGCCTCGTTCCTCCTCCCAACCCCTTCTCACGCCATCATCTCGTCCGTCCAGCGTGCACCGCCTTGCCCATGGAAGCGAGCGCTGTTTTCTCACACACTGACGACAGTTCGACGGGAAGCGTTTAATAATAATAATACTAACCTTGCCCTGGTCTTGCACGGCTATTTTTTTGGTAATCCACTGCTGGATGAGAGCCTTCCCATGCCACGCGCGTCGTGGGAGTTATCTGATCAAACTTCATTGCACTCGTCAATGTTGGCCAGCGAAGGCGGGGAGAGCAGACATGGCAGCATAGAAGTACAGGACAACAATGGGTTTTGCTATACTGTCCTCTGCTTTGCCTGTGAATGAAAAGCGCCTCCTCCTCGTCCCCACACTAAGTCATGGGGGTTGTTTGACCATACTTCACCACGCTAGTCAGTTTGGGTTGAACGGGCGAGGTTGGGTAGGACTGGTCAAGACATCACTCTTCATTCCTCACATTTATTTTAATGATCTACGACAGGGTTTGGCAACCTGTTGCTGTGAAGCCACACGTGGCTTATTAAAGAATGCTTCATGAGATTATTTATTAAGGGCCACCACCTCCTATTCACGCGCGTTGCGGCTCTTGAAACACAGAGTTGTTTAACGCATTCGAATAAAAAAAGGCTTTTCTTGTTATTTTGGCTGCTGACCTCTGATCAATGACGTAAAGACCACAAGGCAATTCTTCACAACATGCTAATGGATTTGGATCTGGACAAAGGCTGTGTGTTCTTTACACATAATTGCAGATTATTTAAAAAGTATGATTTTCTGGCATACACTATTAATACTATTATGGGTTTTTCTAATTATTTACAGCTTTGATTATTGACGTTAGCCATGGGCAGGAATCAAACTCATGTTGTGGGGTTCATAGCATGATGACCGCTAAGCGCTCCACACCCTGCTGTCTTTTATTGTGCACATTCTAACCGTTAGGGAGAATATATATATATTTTTTTAAAAAATAACTTTTTATTTTACCAGATATGGCCCCACTGAGCTATATAGCTCTTTTTCAGAAGCGACCTGGCCATGCTCAACGAAGTGGCTTATGTGTAAATTTATATCAGACAAATAATCGAAACGAATGTTTCTCAATATGGACAGAAAAACGGGAGGATCCGGAGAACATGCAAACTCCAAATATGAAGGCGTCAGTGTCGGGATCGAACCCACGACCTCTCCTGCATACCAGGCGAGATAGTTAACATCTGTCCAACAACAAAACAAATAAGCATACAATGCGTCTCCTTCACATATCTGCCCCTTGTTTTTCGGTCCTTCACTTGGTCAATAACTGACTGGACCCACTACACAATCCAGTAAAATGTCCACAACTTGGCGTGTAAATGCCACTGCCATTACGCGTCCTAAAGTACCGTCGCCGTGGAAATTGCAGCGATTAAGCCTTGCTCGTGCGCAGGTGCCCGGCGGATACTTTCTATGGCAGGGCCGTGAGAGGTGACAGCCGATTTAGGACGGAGGCCCTTCATCCCAGCTGCGGACTGATCGTGGCCAGGAATCGAACTCGGGTCGATCGATGTTGCGATCGTCGAGGACGACAGGTTAGCGCGGGCATGGTGTCCTTCGGGGAGGGGGGGGGTTCTGTCACGGGAATGTGGAATTCACGACGCTGGTTCACAGCAGCAGCAGCAACAACAACAACAAGAGACGCGCAAAGCGGGGCAATGACGTTGAACTGTGAATACCGCAATCCCCTTTGGCCAGGGACAAGGGGACATCACCACAACACCATTAATAGAACAAGGTAACTCGATACCAGAACTTCTGCGATACTCGAAGTGACGAACTATTAAGCGGGTATTAAATATGGGCATGTCATATGCCTGTTGTTCTTAGTGGGATTAACAAGTGGATGCAACCGCTTTCGGATGTTAATGGACGATATGATTATTATCATCGGACTGAATTACACACCGTATTATAACGTGTCATTCACATATTGGTGTCCTAACACCACATTAATACACTTACAAAATATATAACTCTCGTCAGTTAGGGCATAAGCTACTTTATTCAGAATTATTTGCGTAACCTGGGACTAATATAGAATAACGAATGACCAACAATTTTAGAAGTCTTCAAACCTTGGAATTTATCATCAGCCCCCCCCCCCCCCCCAATTCGAATCTTCCAGAGCCCGAGTAACTTTACACAGAGTAATTCGCGCAAATGAATGCACTTTAATCGCTGCTTTAACTGAACCGTGTCTTGTAGCGCATTCGTTTCAACACTCCTCCGGCAATGCAATAGGCACACACCCCACCCCCTCTCTTAAATAAAGCGTGTGCCGGGTGCCCCGTAAACTCGTACAAAACACGTGTCTCTCGCGCCATTACGACGCACACACCGGCTTAGTACAAGACGCGCCACCAAGGACATAAAGAAGCACTTTGACAGCATTGTTGGACATTGAATTACCAGCAGTGGGATTACAACACAAGCCGACAACGCGTGTTAGAAGAGTATTTATCCGCTAGAAATGTCCGCATAAGCCACTTCGTTGAGCTACCAACTCGTGATAGGCGGGGTTTGCTTGTTAAAAACAAGTACGTAGCTTGTTGGGGCCTTACCTGAGTTAAAATAAAACACTTTAGAGACGACACTTCCTACGAACATGCGAAATAAGCCACGGCCGTTTACATTTCATAAACCGCATTGGAAAGCCCCCCCCCCCCCCCTCGGTCCCGGCCAATCGTGTGTTAACGTTGGCCAGGTCACGTGCTGCACTTGCGGCCAATCAACGCGCGTTCTCCGATAGGGGTGGTGGTGGGGTGCCACCACCCCCCGCGCGTATGCGCTGTACGAATTCCAACACCACCCCCTCGTGTGCCACACAAACAAACAACTCAAGCGGGGCTAAGGCGAATTGCAACAACTTTCTTATTTTTTAAAAGATTATTAAAGTACGGCCGTCGGTGGTCGGTCCACTGCTGGATGAAGGCAACTCCCTCCCCCCGTGAAGCGATACATAGAACGGCGACTTTAAACGTTTGGTTAAAGTGTCAACCAAATGCATTCAAACCTTTTTCTTTTCCTCAACAAACCCCGGGGGGAGCCTCCGGGAGCTGTAACCCACCGGCGGCGGTCGTCTTGAGCGTGTGAGGGCGACACGAACGACGTTCGACTCGCGCTAATATTGACGTCTTTAAAACAACTAAAAAGTTGAAGGTTTCAGCTACGCCGGATGTCTTAATTTTGTAGATTTTTTTTCAAAAATAAAATAAAAAAAAACGTCGTGACGATGAGAATTGCTAGTAACTTTGTACGAAATGTAATTTTAATACTGTTATAGAATTTTTAAAAAACTATTTTACAACAAAAACAAAAACCTGAGGCGCCGCTCCGCTACGCGTGGCCGAGTCGCGGGCGTCTCTTTGAAGGACCCCAAACCGGCTGGCGCCGCTTTCAGATTTAATAGCGCGGATAGGCGGCAGGGGCACGACGTCCGCGCTCGCCCATTGGTCGAAGGCGCGTGTGGGGGGGGGGAGTGGGGGGGGATACGCGTCAGCCAATGGGCGCGCGTCTGTGACCTCGCCGTTGGGTTAATCCGCGCTATGAAATTAAAAGGGGTCTGTTAACAACAAAAAAAAACACGCGCACACAAGTTGTGGTTGTCCGCGGCGATGCCTGACAAGAATGCAACACAAAGTCACAGAGCTGTCAAGTCGTACGGTTTAAACACATTGTCCTGCAGAGGGAGCTGGTAGGAACGTTGGGTTGCTCGGTCAATGGCCTGCAGGGTCAACGGCGGCGTGGTGTATTCCGCAAATATGCCCGACTGTGAGGGCGGTCACAAGCCGGCGTGAGTAGGTTAAACGTTGAGTTTTATAAGGGCACCACGGGGTGAACAGCACTTCCCCACCCAGCCCCACCCCTCCCACCCCCCACCCAGCCCCACCCTCCCCACCCAGCCCTCCCCACCCAGCCCCTGCCCACCCTCTTCACCCAGCCCCACCCCTCCCATTTTTGGATGCACGACGGACGGACACAATAATCCCCTGTGGGCTGGTGGAACCAGTGGGTTCCTACCAGTACTAACACCGTATTCTTTGGTCTGCAATAAGGTAGCCAGCACTGATAAGGGGTTGACAGGCGTGTAGTGGTGAGTGTAGTGGTGGTGATTGTCTATTTGTGTTTCTCCCTTGTGATGGGACTTTGCAGGATGAACGTTGAGATTTAAAGGGGCACGGGGTGACCAATAATGTCTGAATTGGTCTGTAATAAGGTAGGCAGCATTGATAAGGCGTTGATAGGTATGCAAATACCGTCATGAAATTAAAATAATACATCATACTCAAGTACTATTATTTAATAATATGAGTTTCCTGGCTGGCTGCTGGCTGGGCTCTTCTCCTCCCGAAACAATAAATCCATTGTTCGTGGCTGCGGGCCGTTGCCACCGAAACTAGCTGGGTAGCTGGCTGCATGTGATTTTTCGTGTAACAAATGTGCATTGTCCGGCATTCCACAAGTAATGCATTTTAATTGCATTTAATTACATTTGTGCAGATTTAGAAATGGTGGTGCAGTGGCTCGTGCACTGGCCATTTCTGGTTACCTGAGTTCGATTCCCGGCCACGGCTAACATCAGTGGCGAATGGTGAAGTCTGGTCACAACGGCTGACGCGGCGTGGGGAGGCCTTCATCCAGCAGTGGATTGACAAAGGGCTGAATGTTTATTACTTAAAGATTCAGGAGGTAAGGGTGCGGCCCTGCAATTTCCTGCTCACACCAATGCTGATGGAAAAGCTTCTACAAGAAGGAGCTCTAGAGAGCCACTAACTCCTCGGTGTTTTGGCCTACTCTTTCACGCTGGCCAGACGTCTTGGAAGGGAGTACGTACCCACACATTTATAAGTACAGTTTTTGTGAAAATTCCACATTCACATGGCAGGACCCGGCACATCCTTGATTACATTAGCACAAGCAGCCCTGGACTCAAAGGTCTTAGTGGCATCGCAAACGTAATTCTGCTCGGCAGTAATTGCATGAGATGAGACATTTTAAATAAAAGTGTTATTCAATTACTGTAAATACTTTTCTCGTAGTGCCCATATGGGGGCGCTGTCTCACTTTAATCGTCATTACCCTATTAACTCTTTAACTATTTTTAAATCCTTTATATTAAGTTCACTTGCTTGCTTGCATAGGACCGTGTAAATCTTTCGGTCGTTTTTTAACCCACGTCACGTGATCCAATCGAGCTGACATTTTCCACACAGACTCGTTGTGCGTGACAATTAATGTTCGTGAAATTTTTTTCTCCAAAATTTTACCCTTTTTAGGACAAAAATATTATATTTAATTACCAATTGCTTAATGCTGCCATGCAATCATCTGACCCATAGGTGGCAGTCATCTCAAGCCAGAGGACGAGAGGACTCTAGTCGCCACGCATATAAAGGATTTATAGTGAAAAACTTTGTTTTTACGGGTTATACTTGTTAATAGTGTTGTTTGTTGTTGGCCGCTTGTGTTCTGTAACTAGAGAACGACGTTTAGGACTAAGCGGTTGATGTTTGCTTCGTTGGCATATGTCTGCGTTTGATTTCTGCAATACAAGTTTTGGAAAATATATTATCTTTAAATGAACTGGCGACGTGGCCATGGTCACGTCCGATGGGGCATTGACCGCGGTAAATGCTAGAGCCGATTAAAAAAGGCTGCGAAGTCAGAACAATTACGAGAAACACAAAGGATACCAAACAACAGGTTCGATAAACCGTTTGTTTTAGATATCTGACAATTGGAAAAAACAACATAATATGGAGTAGAGTGAGATGAGAGGTAGAAGAGTGCGTGGAGGGGAGTGGAGTGAGATGAGAGGGGAGAGGTAGGAGAGTGCGTGGAGGGGAGTGGAGTGAGATGAGAAGGGATGGGTAGGAGAGTGTGTGGAGGAGAGTAGAATGAGATGAGAGGGGAAATGTAGGAGAGTGCGTGGAGGGGAGTGGAGTGCGATGAGAGGTGAAAGGTAGGAGAGTGCGTGGAGGGGAGTGGAGTGAGATGAGAGGGGAGAGGTAGGAGAATGCGTGGAGGGGAGTAGAGTGAGATGAGAGGGGAGAGGTAGGAGAGTGCGTGGAGGGGAGTAGAGTGAGGTGAGAGAGGAGAGGTTGGAGAGTGCGTGGAGGAGAGTGGAGTGAGATGAGAGGTGAGAAGTAGGAGAGTGCGTGGAGGGGAGTGGAGTGAGATGAGAGGGGAGAGGTAGGAGAGTGCGTGGAGGGGAGTGGAGTGAGATGAGAGGGGAGAGGTAGGAGAGTGCGTAGAGGGGAGTGGAGTGAGATGAGAGGGGAGAGGTAGGAGAGTGCGTGGAGGGGAGTGGAGTGAGATGAGAGGGGAGAGGTAGGAGAGTGCGTGGAGGGGAGTGGAGTGAGATGAGAGGGGAGAGGTAGGAGAGTGCGTGGAGGGGAGTGGAGTGAGATGAGAAGGGATGGGTAGGAGAGTATGTGGAGGGGAGTGGAGTGAGATGAGAGGGGAGAGGTAGGAGAGTGCGGGGAGGGGAGTGGAGTGAGATGAGAAGGGATGGGTAGGAGAGTGTGTGGAGGGGAGTGGAGTGAGATGAGAGGGGAAAGGTAAGAGAGTGCGTGGAGGGGAGTGGAGTGAGATGAGACGGGAGAGGTAGGAGAGTGTGTGGAGGGGAGTGGAGTGAAATGAGAGGGGAAAGGTAGGAGAGTGCGTGGAGGGGAGTGGAGTGAGATGAGAGGGGAGAGGTAGGAGAGTGCGTGTAGGGGAGTGGAGTGAGATGAGAGGGGAGAGGTAGGAGAGTGCGTGGAGGGGAGTGGAGTGAGATGAGAGGGGAGAGGTAGGAGAGTGCGTGTAGGGGAGTGGAGTGAGATGAGAAGGGATGGGTAGGAGAGTGTGTGGAGGGGAGTGGAGTGAGATGAGAGGGGAAAGGTAGGAGAGTGCGTGGAGGGGAGTGGAGTGAGATGAGAGGGGAGATGTAGGAGAGTGCGTGGAGGGGAGTGGAGTGAGATGAGAAGGGATGGGTAGGAGAGTGTGTGGAGGAGAGTGGAGTGAGATGAGAAGGGATGGGTAGGAGAGTGTGTGGAGGGGAGTGGAGTGAGATGAGAAGGGATGGGTAGGAAAGTGTGTGGAGGAGAGTGGAGTGAGATGAGAGGGGAAAGGTAGGAGAGTGCGTGTAGGGGAGTGGAGTGAGATGAGAGGGGAGAGGTAGGAGAGTGCGTGGAGGGGTGTAGAGTGAGATCAGAGAGAATACTGTGTGAATGGGAGTATAGTCGAGAGGCAGGCAGGGGTAAGTTCATGAAGGATCTGCAAAGGCGGTGATTTAGATATTGATCCATTTGGATTGGGAGCCAGTGGAGGGACCATCAAAGTATTGGGGCGATGTGGTCTCATTTACAGGTACGGTTGAGGGTTCTGGCCGCGGCAATTTAATCATCTGGAATTCATAGATGAGTGATTTGATGAAGCAGTTGCGGAAAATGATTTCACGCGTGGGGTGAACCAGTTGGCTCATCATTCGTCCGACGACTTTGCTTTAAGAGCCCTCTAGCGGCACCGCGCATTAATTTTAAATGAGCCGGCTATTTGAACTGCGGTAAATGTAGCCGAGTGGCGGCTAGCGAGGCACGTGGCCTGCAATCCAGCACCGTGGAGGAGAGGGGCTTGACGATCATTCCCCGTTTAGACATCATATCGTGGCCCACCGGGAGAAGGTGGTCCAGCAAAGTGTAGAGAATAATATCCATCTAGATTTTAAGCTTTCGTGACTGCAAGGATTCATATTCTTAAGTTTTTTCGGTTAAATAATATTCAGGGCCTACCTTAGCTCCTCCCACCCTCAACCAGTATATATACAAGGACTGTTTTCTTGGAATTTTCTTGGAATTTTTTTCACTTGATACAGCTATCGTGCTGTGACGGTTCCACCTGAAGACGAAAGCTTGTGTTGCCTCCGAAACGTCGTGATTTTTATTTTATTTTTTATTTTACTTTTATTAATTTTAAATTTTTACCTACGTGACTTTACCGAAAAAACCTAAGAACATAATATCCATCTGTCCCTTCTGTCTGGGATACTAATGTTGCCCCCACGTAGGCTTTGGGTTTCCTCCGGGCGCTCCAGTTTCTGCCCTCGTGCGTAAGCATCCATCATGGTCCTTCCTGGTCCAGTCCCGGACCGGTTCTGCCCTTGGTGTAGAGAAGAAGAGGAGGAGGTTAGCCCTGCTGACGAGGGTGGGAAGCCAATCGAGGCCCACTGGGCTATGTGGCTCTTTTTTTCACAAGCGACCTGGCCACAAATGATAGCTTGACGAAGTGGCTTACATTTTGATTTAAAGCTTTCGTGACTGCAGGGATTCATATTCTTGGTTCTTTCGGTAAAGTCACGTAGAAAGGAAACAATAAAATAATAAAAAAATATAAAACAATAAAATTCTCACGACGTTTCGATTGCAACACAAGCAATCATCATCAGGTGTGAAAACCACAGCAGAAAAATTGCTTGCTGTGGTAGAAAAAAATTATTGCTGTGGTTTTCACACCTGATGATTGTTTGTGTTGCAATCGAAACGTCGTGAGAATGTTATTGTTTTATATTTTTTATTTAATTTAATTGTTACCCTTCTACGTGACTTTACCGAAAGAACCAAGAATATGAAGTGGCTTACAGTAAAAAACCCACCCTAGGCCGACACGCAGTGGGGATGCCTTCATCCAGCAGTGGAGTGACAAGAGGGCCGCAGTTGATTTGATTATATTAGGCGGTGACGGTTGCCTCGTGGTGTATCGAGTTCGCCACGTTCTGTTGCAGATATTCACGGTTCGAATCTAGCGGCCGCCCTGGTTATCATTGCGTCGTGTGTAATACCCGTAATAAAACTCACGGCAGACTTTTAGAAACATGCATTCACATAATTTTGCTGCTATACATTACCACGTAATAATCCACTTTGTGGAGCTATCATTTGTAGCCAGGTCGCTTTTGAAAAATAATCTAATAGTTCAGTGGGCTTTACCTGGTAAGATGAAAAAAAAGTTTAATTCGCAGGTTTTTAAGTGATTTTTTTACCCTTCCAATAGTTTGCATTCCGATCGTGTTTTTGCAATGTTAGTTGTTGAGACGTTCTGACCTGCCCATACTGGATATGTGTGAAAAAGAGCGTTATAGCTCATCGGATTCCTCCCAGTATAAATACATATCCTGCATAAAGATCCAGTGACGTCAATCGCAAGAGTAAGTCATCGTGTGCCGGCGTCAGGGTCCAGATTTTGGCAAATTCGAAAATTACTCATTTGGGATCGCACACACACATACACAGCAACAGCAATCATCAAGCCCTACTGTCAGACGAATGCCCCGGTCACTCTTGCACACGTGGGACTCATGGTCCCTTAAAGTGTCCCCCGGTGCGAAACAAGATGAACCTGAAACCTCGGAACTTGAAACTTGTTTGACAATTTCTCAAACATTGGCTTCCGTGTCGTACACAAGTGTGCGTCTTTCGTGTGACGTGTGACTTTGAAACAGGCGCACGGTGTCTATTTTGTTCCTTTTTATTGTTTTTTTTAACACAAGCACATATCGGTGAACGTTCATAACACGATATGCGAACATCCTTGCGGAGGGCTTTCGCGGCTGTGCCGTATAGCTCGCTCCTCTCTCTCTCTTTCTCTCTGTCCGGTGTTTCTGGGTTTGTACCAACCTCATCGCGTGTTGGTTCGGCGCGGTGTCAGGCGGAACCTCGGACATCGTGCCGAACAACACGCGGTAGGACCCGAAAACAACATCGAAGATTTGGTGATAAATGTGACGATCATGATTACAAAGTGTGGCTGGCAATTATTTTAATCGAGGGTGTGGCGGTGGGGGTAGGTGGGGGAGTGAAAAGTGCCGATTAATTCCACCTAACGACGCGCGATTACAATTTCACAGTGAATGAGCTAAGCAGCGGCGTTTGGGTGAACGCACCACGTATATACACAATGCCCCGCGCTTCGGATGGCACCCGGGGTGGAGCGGTGGCGCAGCGGCAGAGGTCGCAACCGGGTACCCGATACCCGTACCCTACCCGATACCCGGCTACGGGTACGGGTACCCGTTTGCGACCCTGGTGCGGCCAGGTACGGGTATGGGTAGACCGTGAGTCACTGGTGAGTAACTGTTTGTCAATCATTTCCCAACGTCTTGTCTCTTCTCACAATTCAAGTTCCTAGAATCAACCCACCCGCGCCTGCAACGTGGCTTCATCCCAGAGGTCGCAATCAGGTACCCGATACCCGTACCCTACCCGTACCCGTCGGGTACGGGTAGGGTACGGGTACGGCCGGGTACGGGTACCCGTTTGCGACCCTGGTGCGGCCGGGTACGGATATGGGTAAGGAATCAAAACCCCGATTTAAAGCTTTCGTGACTGCAGGGATTCATCTTCTTGGTTCTTTCGGTAAAGTCACGTAGAAGGGAAGTAATAAAATAATAAAAATAAAACATAATATAACTCTGTCGCCTCGACGGACCTGGTTTTCACCTGAGGACGGCTGCTTGCGTTGTGGCCGAAACGTCGTGAGAATAATTTTATTATGTTTTATTTCTATTATTTTATTACTTCCCTTCTACGTGACTTTACCGAAAGAACCAAGAAGATGAATCAAACCCCGTTTGCGACCTCTGCGCAGTGGTTACCGCACCGCGCTACGACGCTCATGAGCCCAGGAGTTTCAACTCCGTACAGAGCGGTGAATTAACATCGGTGGCGAGCGATGTGTGAACACGCAATGGGCCGGCCGGCGGGCGTGGCGAAGTATGGTCGAAAACCATCCCCGCTACCGGCACGGCAAGGTGACATTTTGGAACTGCGACGCTGCCCAGCGGTTAGCTTTGCCTCCGCCCGGAGCAGAAGATTCGCGGTTCGAACTCGGCAGGCCACCCTGGTTAATGCCGTGGTATTAACCGCAAAATACAGTGGTAGTACTACTCGCCGTCCGTTGCACAGTGGGCTCTTGCAATTATCCCTCGACGTCACTTTGAAAAGCGCGGGCCGTTTGCGCGCCCGTGGTTAAAGTCCAAAATTGCAACGACAAAAAATGCGCGGACAAAAAAAATGACACCGCAAAAAACTCAGTTTGAGATTACACGCGGCAACGTCGGTCCCCACTGCGCCGAGACTACTGCCGGCCTGAGTCTGCGATACACAGCGGCGTCTCTCCTCCGCGGCGATCGCACCCCGCGTTCAAATCATTGCGCGAATACCAAATGCACTAGATCGTAGTAATTCATTATCACCAGAGTAGATATACAAAATATCGAAAATTCAGCTGCATCTCAACGTATATAGGAAAGCACGTATTTTTTCCCTCTAACACGGTTATATTTGACCATACTCTAACTCATATTTCGCGTTGGCACTTTGCTAACGCACGTGACAATTCCCCCAAAACCTCGCGCGAAGCGCTTCGGCAGCTTTGGGCGGCGTCCCCTCATTCACAAGTCCTCCATTCATTCATAAGTCCTCCATTCATTAAAAAGTCCTCCATTCATTCTTAAGTCCTCCATTCTCCAAAATAGACGCCTTTGGGTTAGATCGCATAAATATGAATGCGCCGTTGAATATAAATGTATCGTTTACACGGCCTAACCCAAAAACATCGATTATATGATAATATTGGTCGCGAAAGCCTACGTGTTACAGTCCTCCATTCATTCGTAAGTTCTCCTCCGGTACAATCCGTCGTCTTTACAGTGACGTTCTGTCGTGCACGCAATGCATATACAATATATATATCTATCACCGTAGCATCATTCAAACTCCAACAAGTCACACGTAGGTAAGAGCGCCAAGGTGCAGCCCCTGCATTACAAGTGAAGTATTTTGGCCGATTCTAGATTTGAAGCTTTCGTGACTGCAAGGATTCATATTCTTTGGTTTTTTCGGTAAAGTCACGTAGGTAAAAAATTGTAATTAATAAAAGTAAAATAAAATAAAAATCACGACGTTTCGGAGGCAACACAAGCTTCCGTCTTCAGGTGGAACCGTCACAGCACGCTCGCTGTATCATTTACTTGATACGGAAGCTTGCGTGATTTTTATTTTATTTTTTATTTTATTTTACTTTTATTAATTTACATTTTTTACCTACGTGACTTTATCGAAAAAACCTAAGAATATTTTGGCCGACTCAGCCACGATGGAAGAGATGGGTGTGGTGCACTCACGCGTCACACCCCACCGCGCGTGTCCTGCAGGTCATCGACGGACCGCGACTGTTCCCATGTTTCCACATCGCTGGGTGTGGGACAGAGGCGGCGGGGCAGGGAAGAGAGTAGGGCGGGCGGGCGGGCAGGGGGGTTGGAGAGGTTGAAGAAACTCGCCACCATCGTTTCGACCGCTTCGCCGGGAGACGGAATGGAACCGGTGGCCCCCTGGATCGCCGGTCCGAGTGTGCGAACTTTTACTCCGCCGTGACGGTGGCGTCCCAAGCGAGATACGTTGTTTAAACAATAAAAAAATGTGCCCATGCTCTCTCTCTCATGCGTGCAGCGTGCACCTTACGTGGACAGACCACCGCAAACGTTTCCGGCTCGCGTCTGCGTTGCGTGAACGTGCCGTGCCGTGCCATGGCAGCGTGGTTGGCACGGACCCCCGGTGCCAAGGATCGAAAGAGCACCCCACCCCCAGCTCTGTTCAATGCACCCCCCCTCACCCCCCGCCCCCCCCCCACCCTTTGTGTAACCCGGCGCTCGGAACCCCTCCACCACGTGGTTCTTCGGTCGGTGCGACTGCACCGCCTGCGCGCTCGGGCAGCCGATCCCGTTTCGTTCCGAACGCAAAACCGACGGCGACATGTAAAGCGGCTCCGGCCTCGGAGAACGATCCTCAGCGTTCGCCTTGCCCCATCTCGCACGTGCGTCCACGGGGAGTCATGTGCCCACCCCTCCCCCGCCCCAGTGGCTGTCCATTGCTTGCGCCGGCGGGGCCGACCGGCGGTCCGGAGGGTCATCGCTGCCGCTGCGCGGGCGGCGAGCGGGAGAACGGACGGAGCAGTTCAGTGCCCGGCCGCCAGGAACGGCTGCGACGGTTCATCGACTGCCTCCGCCGTCGCCCGCGAAGATAACGACGACGTAGAAGACGACGGTGACGACGACGGCGAGGCGGGCGAGGTGGGCGAGTCGCTCATTTCGGCGTCGCTGCCGTCACGCCCCGGCGAGCCGGGCCGCCGCTGATCGCCAAGCGCTGGTGCCGCGCACCCTCCGATTCCGGAATCCTCGCGTGCCGGCCGCGGGAGCTGCTGCGCGTTGCTCGGCTCGGACCCCCCGCCGGCGGCTGCGCCGCACCCTCGCGCCGTGCACGCCCGCTCGGGCTTTTCGCGCACGCACGATCCGTAGGTGGGGTTCCACAGGCTGGTGCTGTGGCTCTTGGTCAGCATCCCGGTCGAAACCACGGCGGTGGCGGCGGCGCCGACTCCGGGATGCGCCGGTGGCGCCGGTGGCGCCGGTGGCGCCGGCTGGCACCAGGCGCCCATCTCCGTGTACTCGTTACACGAGTGCCGCGGCGGCCTGCGGGGGCCCTCGGCCTCCCGCTCGCAGCCGAGGAACGCGGTTGAGGATTCGTCGTCGGAGGAAGAGGAGGGGGCGGCGGCAGCGGCGACGCCGGAGACGTCGGCGCCGGCGTCCCGGAGGTAGAAGCCGGTGGGCTGCGTCCCCCGGGGCCGCCGGCGCGACCCACCTGCGGGGTCGGGGCGCGGGGCCGGGGTGCAGAGGGGGCGGCGAGGCAGGAGGGGCTCCGTGGGGCCGCTGGGACGGCCGGCCGGGGCGTCGCGAGGGACGTGCAGCAGCTCCATCGGGAGAGGGGAGTTGATCACGTCTGGATCCTAGCGTCCACAGAGATTGGGGAGAGGCAGGGAGAGGTAGAGAGAGAGAGAGATGGAGCGACAGATACATCGGCATTCGTTCACTGGGAAAACCCGAGGAGGTATTCGTCATCGTAGTGACATTCAGCAGGATGTCCAACGTTTTGGCATTCGGCCTTCAGCCACCCACTCACCCACCCACTCACTCACCCACTCAATCACGCACCCGCCCACCCACTCAATGGAGCATATAATTATCTATGTTTATAATTATGACTGCGATAGCTCTTTGAGTGGCAGATTTGTGCCAGAGAGGCACAGCACACACGTGACACAACAACAAACTGGGCTTGACTTGACTCACTCATCCACCCACTCACTCATCCACTTACTCACTCATTTACTCATCCACCCACTCACCCACCCACTCACCCACCCACGTCCTCACTCACCCACCCACTCACCCACCCACTTACTCACTCACCCACCCACTTATTCACTCACCCACCCACTCACCCATCCACTTACTCATTCACCCACCTCACCCACCGACTCACCCACCCACTCACCCACCCACGTCCTCACTCACCCACCCACCCACTCACCCACCCACTCACTCATCCACTCACCCACCCACCCACTTACTCGCTCACTCACTCACCCACTCACCCACCTACTCACCCACTCACTCACTCACTCACCCACCCACTCACTCACCCACCCACCCACTCATGCACGTGTGTGCGTGTGACACAACAAGACGCTGGGCTTGACACTGGCGGCGTCCCACACCTGCGTGCAGTACTCGATGCGCTCCAGGATGGAGGCGAAGTTGGGGCGGTCCTCGGGCCGCTGCTGCCAGCACTGCGTCATGATGCGGTACCTGCCGACGAGGTCACGACAGGAGGGGGGGGGGTGGCGCAATAGGTTACAGGGGTCACCAGGGGTCACGGGCGCGCGCCGAGTCGCGAGGTGACTCGGCTCCGGGTTGAGGAAGCTTTCGAAGCCCACCCTGGGTTTTCCGCTTGCCCTGGTGACGACGCATGCAGGTGGAGCCGTTGATCGTATGGAACGCAAGGGAAGCGCGTGGTGACGATGATTACGGTGATGACGACGATGATGATGAAGCTGCACCGGCGCTGGGCTCCACCACACCAGTTCAGCTTGGAAGCTGCGCGGGCCACGTGCGTCTGACTGGTGGAGAGAGCGCTGCTGATGCTGCTGATGATGATGCAGCCACTGCCATCTCCCTCTAGTTTAGTGGATCTCTATGCAAGTGCCTGGGTCTCTATGGGAGTGTGTGGGTCTCTGTGAGAGTGTGTGGGTCTCTGTGAGAGTGTGTGGGTGTCTGTGAGAGTGGGTCTCTATGAGAGTGTGTGGGTCTCTATGAGAGTGCGGGTGTCTATGAGTGTGTAGGTCTCTATGAGAGTGTGTGGGTCTCTATGAGAGTGTATGGGTCTCTATGAGAGTGTATGGGTCTCTATGAGAGTTTATGGGTCTCTATGACAGTGGGTCTCTATGAGAGTGTGTGGGTCTCTGTGAGAGTGTGTGGGTGTCTATGAGAGTGGGTCTCTATGAGAGTGTGTGGGTCTCTATGAGAGTGCGGGTGTCTATGAGTGTGTAGGTCTCTATGAGAGTGTGTGGGTCTCTATGAGAGTGTGTGGGTCTCTATGAGAGTGCGGGTGTCTATGAGTGTGTAGGTCTCTATGAGAGTGTGTAGGTCTCTATGAGAGTGTGTGGGTCTCTATGAGAGTGTATGGGTCTCTATGAGAGTGTATGGGTCTCTATGAGAGTTTATGGGTCTCTATGACAGTGGGTCTCTATGAGAGTGTGTGGGTCTCTGTGAGAGTGTGTGGGTGTCTATGAGAGTGGGTCTCTATGAGAGTGTGTGGGTCTCTATGAGAGTGCGGGTGTCTATGAGTGTGTAGGTCTCTATGAGAGTGTGTGGGTCTCTATGAGAGTGTGTGGGTCTCTATGAGAGTGCGGGTGTCTATGAGTGTGTAGGTCTCTATGAGAGTGTGTGGGTCTCTATGAGAGTGTATGGGTCTCTATGAGAGTGTATGGGTCTCTATGAGAGTGTATGGGTCTCTATGAGAGTGCGGGTGTCTATGAGTGTGTAGGTCTCTATGAGAGTGTGTGGGTCTCTATGAGAGTGTATGGGTCTCTATGAGAGTGTATGGGTCTCTATGAGAGTGCGGGTGTCTATGAGTGTGTAGGTCTCTATGAGAGTGTATGGGTCTCTATGAGAGTGTGTGGGTCTCTATGAGAGTGCGGGTGTCTATGAGTGTGTAGGTCTCTATGAGAGTGTGTGGGTCTCTATGAGAGTGTATGGGTCTCTATGAGAGTGTATGGGTCTCTATGAGAGTTTATGGGTCTCTATGACAGTGGGTCTCTATGAGAGTGTGTGGGTCTCTGTGAGAGTGTGTGGGTGTCTATGAGAGTGGGTCTCTATGAGAGTGTGTGGGTCTCTATGAGAGTGCGGGTGTCTATGAGTGTGTAGGTCTCTATGAGAGTGTATGGGTCTCTATGAGAGTGGGGCTATGGAGAGAAAGGGGGGGGGGTAAAGTGGGCTAGTAGAGGGCCCATTCCAACCAATACCAACACAGCCGCCATTCGCCACTAAGTGACGGTGACGTCACCACGGCGCCTGTGCCAGGCCAGGTGCACTTTGAGGCCACGTGAAGTGTCGAAGGCTCGCTGCTGACAGGAGATTTCGGGACAGACCCAGGTGCCATGGGTTGACCGACTGAGATGACCGGTAGATGCACCAGCTGTACCCCCTACTCTACCAACTTGCTGCGTATTAGCCACCCGGCGCTCCGCTCGTCGTTGTGAGCGTCGCTCCTCTGCCCTCCGTCGTTGCTGCTGGAGGGCGACTGCCCTCCAACTGCCCAGTAGCAGCAGCGTCCTTCACGAGCCTCCTCTTACACAGAGGCCGATCTTGACACCGCTGGTAAGATCGGCCTCTGTGGGCAGGCAACACGCAGGGAGGTCGGAGAGACTCACACGGGGCCCGGGCAAGAGCCGGGCGGGTCCATGCGGCCTCCGCCCATCACGAACTCCATGACCTCCTGGTTGCTGCGGCTGGGGTAGGGCATGAAGCCCAGCGAGAAGATCTCCCACAGGAGAACCCCGAATGACCTGGGCACGTGGGGACACGCGGACGTGAGCACACGGGGGACGCGGGCACGCGGAGACATAAACATACGGGGACCCGGGCGCACAATCACACCGACACACGGGGACGCACGGAGACACGGACAGACACATGGACACCCAAATATGCATACGGACACACGGACATACAGATACACGGGGACACGGGGTCATGGACACACAACGACACGTGATATAAAATCCACCTTCACCATATGAACAGGTGCTTGCCTCCATTCAACAGGCCTTCGCTGGGCTGCTACTCCAGAGAGTACGGTGATGTGTGTGCGCGTGAGCGAGCGAGCGAGTGTGTGTGTGAAATCGAGTGGGGAGCGGTGACGCAGTGGTTAGCGCTACGCTGCGCCACAAACCCGGCCGCCCAAGGTCGATTCCCGCTCACGGCCAACACCGGTGACGATTTATCTGAACCGGTCCTGGGCCTCCCCTGGGTCGACTCAGCCTCAAATGAGTACACAGTGCGGTGTGTGTGTAACATCGCCACTGGGGAGACAAAGGCGGCCGGGCGTGGTGCTGCTACACCCACCGCCCCGTGCGCAGTACTTGCCCCAAACACTCTGCTAAGGCTATCCGGGGGGGGGGGGGGGTAGATCTTTGTCTTTGTGAGATCGAGTGGTAGCCGCGGGGGGTTACGGTACCACGTGTCAGTCTTGGATGTGAAGATGCCCTCGAGGAAAGCCTCCGGTGGCATCCACTTGACAGGCAGCATTGCCCGGCCGCCCTTCCTGTAGTAGCTGGCCCTGCAGGAAGAGTGGACAGGACAGGGAGCGGTGTGGAGGGGGCGGGGGGCGGGAGGTGCATCAGTTAATATCCTGAGCCCAGGGCTCCGCGATGTGCTTGCGGGTTGTGCCGCTAGCAGTCCGGCACGGTGTCCGACGTTTCGGCATTCGGTCTTCGTCAGTAGTCGTTTGCTGAAAGAGGCTGCCGGCGCGCGGGGCGAAGGGTCGCCGGGCACCGTGCCGAACGGCGCGCAGCGGCAGAGGGCGCCGGCGAGGCGTGCGGCTCGACTGACAGTCAGCAGGGGACACGCGGAGGTTTGTCGTGAGAGCGTGAATTCTTCACGAGTGCGGACCGCTGGGTGAGCGGCTCGAAAGGTCGGGTCGCTGAGCTGGCACCGGCGAGGTCCTGGCTCAGATTGTGGCAGCCGCACCGGTGACACTCCCGGGTCAGATTCTGGCAGCTGATTGAACTGGGTTCTCAAGAGTGGTGACTTAATCATCATTCAGCATCTCACACCGCAGAGGCACGTGCACAGATTGCGATGTTTCCAGGCAATTGTATGTGCGTATGTTGAACGTCTTTTGCACCGTACATTGCCAATCGTGCTAATCGGAGGAGCGGGGGGAAGCACAACAACACGAAGAGCAGTTCAAATAAAACGAGTTTTCAATCTAGATGATTAAAAAGTGCATAGCTCAAGTGGCTTGCTCATATCGGAAGGACGAGAGCGTCCCAGGCGGCGGCTGCAGAAGCGCATCTGAAAGTGATGCGGTGACCGCCGCCTTTGTTCGACGGCAAGCCAGAAGCCGCCGCTGCCGCCGCTACTGCTGTGACGACGACCGGACGGAGTTCGCGCGAGAATTGACGACGAGAGTTGTCCGTGCGTGCGGGAGGAAGGCTGGGGCGCCGGGAGAAACCACGCGCGCGCGCGCACGAGAGGGGGCAACGCTTTATCCCGTGCAGATGGGACAGACGGAGATTGGTCCCCACTTGGCTGCGCCGCGCTCTGCCGGGCGAGCCACGGTTAGGGCTCACCGCTCCGCGTGCGGTGATCCATCATCCCTCGCTGCCTACCACCACAGTGCGCGGATTATAGGCGTGGAGCCATCACCGCCCGGCTACAAGAGAGAGGATCTGGATATTGGACAGGGGGCGGCCGCATTTAATTCCTTGCGCCAGGGCCCTCTGGCAACCTCGCACGCGCACCGTGTGTGGCGGGCCACACCACCACCCTCACCGCCACACCACCGGACCGGCCGCTACACCGACATTGCGGCCACCACACCACCAGACCGGCCACCACACCACCACTCTGGCAGCCACACCACCGCTCTCTCCCTCCACGCCACCAGTCCTCCGGCCACACCACCGCTCTCGACTCCGCACCACACCACCGCCCTTCGCTCCTGTGTCTCCTGTGTAAAGAAAGCCTTTCCACGCGCCAATCATCTGATACACGCGGCACAAAGTTTGCACTGTGGATATTTTTTTTATCTCGCTCCCAGAGATGGGCGCTGGAAATTTAATTGGATGGATATAAAAAAAACACTGAATTTAATCCGGGAGCCCCCGACCAACCGGAATGAAAAAAATGTCTACCGCGCCGAGCGCTTCGCAGTCCGCGGTGAACGTCCATTCGCCTTCACGGAAAAGACCACGACCTCAAACGGTGGAGATGACACGGCCATTGTGAACCCCTCAACACTAACCCAGCCACCCAACCCCACCCCCTCCACCCCACCCCGCCCCTCCACCCCCACCCCTCCCCATCCACCTCCACCCCGCCCCCCGGCCTTGAGGGTCCATCAGGTTCGCTCGTTGTGACGCGATGGGTCACGCCTGGGGTGTTCCCACGGTAACGGGACGCTTCGAGATGCAGAACCGCACGCGATGGTAATGATAATGACGACGACGACGATGATGATGGTCCTGATGATAATTGATGATGATAAGGGGCGGATGTGGGATTATTTACAGCGTTATCTAGATTCTCCTCAACGACCGCGGTGATTATTCTGTGCCGTGTGCGACAGAGTTTTGCGTCGAACTAGAACTAAAATGTTAAGGAGAGGCTCCCTGCCTATGCTCACGTGGCAGGGCCCAGACATTGGTTCAAGCAAGCCTGACTCTGCTGCTGATGAGACATCACGTGCCGAAAACCGCACCAGTTTCGCTCAAATTATGAACTCCCAGAAGACTGTGTGGCTGATGGGATGTGTGCAAAATATATATTTTACTGGTAGGAACCCACTGGTTCCACCAGCCCACAGGGGATTATTGTGTCCGTCCGTCCGTTGTGCAGGGAGGGGTTGGGAGGGGAGGGAGGGGCTGGGTGGAGAGGGGAGGGTGGGGAGGGGCTGGGTGGGGAAGGTGGAGCTGGGTGGGGAGGGGAGGGTGGGGAAGGGCTGGGTGGGGAGGATGGGGAGGGGCTGGGTGGGGAGGGTGGGGCTAGGTGGGGAGTGGGAGGGGTGGGGCTGGGTGGGGCTGGGTGGGGAGGGGCTGGTCACCCCGTGGTGCCCTTATAAAACTCAATGTTTAACCTACTCACGCCGGCTTGTGCCCGCCCTCATAGTCGGGCATATTTGCGGAATACACCATGCCGCCGTTGACCCTGCAGGCCATTGACCGAGCAACCCAACGTTCCTACCAGCTCCCTCCGCAGGAATGTGTTACGTGGAGGGACAGGCGTCTTGTCTGCTCATTTCTTTTGAATAATGATGATGACGATGTTGACGTTTCTGCTGCTGCAGATAATGATCATGGTGAGAGTGGCGTCTGTGATGATGACGGCTACGACGAAAACTGTGACGGCGGTGATTGACGAGGTAGATGATACGAACAATTATTTAAATTACGATAATGATGTTAATTAATTGGGTCAGCAGCTGGAGGAGATGGGGGGGGGGGGGCTTAGACGGGGCGGTGGTGGGGGCAGTCTGAGAGTGCTTGCTTGGGATCGGGAGGTCACACCGTGGTGAGACAAATGTGGGATTTATCAGCTGAATCACCGCATAATTAATACGCTCCTTCAATTATTAATTTGCATGCGTTTGAAAAGGCACGGGCTTAGCTTGACTAGAGTGAAATTTCAATATTTAAACAGTAAAAATAAATGTTGGGTGTGTTACATCCATAATTAAATTCCAAGTTTGAGATCGACTTTCTGCGATGAGACAAACTTTCTTATTCTCTTTTTTCATTTTCTTTCACACAGGAAAGCCTCACCGAGTCTCGCCACTCATTTTTAGGAGGGTCCTGCCAAGTGCTTGCTGTTTGCAGTGAGCAGCGCATCACCCGGGGTTCAGACGCAAGTTCTATTGTTTCAGACTTGCGACATTTACAGGACATCGCAGTTATATAGACTTGTGTAGAGATCCGTGAACTTGCATAGAGATCCATAGAGTGACACAGAGATACATAGAGTGACACAGAGATACATAGAGTGACATAGAGATATACAATGACACAGAGATACATAGAGTGACACAGAGATACATAGAGTGACACAGAGATCCATAGAGTGTCACAGAGACACGGAGTTACACAGAGATCCATAGAGTGACACAGATCCATAGAGTGACACAGATATACATAGTGTCACAGAGATCCATAGAGTTACACAGAGACACATAGAGTGACACAGAGATCCATATAGTGTCACAGAGACTCATAGAGTGACACAGAGATACATAGAGTGACACAGAGATCCATAGAGTGACACAGAGACACAGAGTGACACAGAGATCCATAGAGTGACACAGAGACACATAGAGTTACACAGAGATACATAGAGTGACACAGAGACACATAGAGTGACACAGAGATCCATAGAGTGACACAGAGACACAGAGTGACACAGAGATCCATAGAGTGACACAGAGATCCATAGAGTGACACAGAGACACATAGAGTTACACAGAGATCCATAGATCAATAGAGTTATACAGAGACTCGTAGACGACAGCCAAAGACTATCGGCAGTAGAGGCAATTGCAGGACATTGCAGGGTGTAGGGATTGTACAAACTATAACCAGAGCAACACAAACCAAGACGTTAATTACACGAAACCTACACCAAGACTGAGCGAACAAGATAAACAATTCAAAGTTCTTGAATACAAATAAGAGCTCAAGGGAGGCCCTGGAGTGGATGTTTGGGTCCTCGTCTTCCACACTGGCCGGAGACGCTTCGGAAAAGGTGGGGCTTACCCACACTTTACCCCACCACCACCGCCACCACCACCGCCACCACCACCACCCTCCACCACCACCACCACCCTACTCCACCACCACCACCACCCTCCACCACCACCACCAATGCCACTACCACCACCGCCGCCGCGCGTGCAACACGCACCTGTAAATGTCTCGTGCCATCCCAAAGTCTCCGATCTTGGCCACCCTGTCCGGCCCTTTGCAGGTCAAGAGGCAGTTCCTCGCTGCGATGTCCCTGCGCAAGGTTTATTACAAATAAAAAACACCACACCGGGTCAAGTAAACCGACATTTGTCCACTGGCACGTCCGGAGCCGTGCCAGCACGGGGTCATCGTGGCACGGTTGGTTTTCCACTGGCTAGGAATTGAAGATGGATCATTAGTCTGCCACTAGGTGCAAGTTTTATGGTGTGGTGTGTCCCGTTCACTTCTGAATTTCGGACCGTGCAAGCGGCTCAGCGTACATTTTAGGTAGAGAGGCGTAGCAGCGTCACTCTTTGTAAAGACATTTTACTCATCACAAAGAACTGTAGCAACACGACCACCGCCCTCTAAGATAGCTGGCGCCAAACTGTGACACACGCCCTCCCGTAGGGCCTTGTGGGAGCCTCGGTACCGATACAGTTTTTTTAATTTTCCGGATTCGTTTCGATGACATACGCGTACGTTATCAGAACGGAATCAGAACGGAATCAGAAGAAAATTCGATGACGTACACGTCATCGGCACAAGAAAGGATTACATTTGCGGGGTCGTGGTTTTTCTGACCAGGTAGAGCAGCGAACGGCATCGCAATCGAAAGGTCGGAAGTTCACATCCTGATTGAGGCAGGTGGGGGGGGGGAGTGCTGACTCAGCCCATCATCCCTCCCTCCCTCCCTCCAGGGTCGATAAAAGAGCACCAATTTGTAATGGGGAAGTCAACAGTGGATGTCCTATGGCAAAACTCACCCCCACCTCCCCACCATCATAGGAATGTGGAATTTCCACAACTTACTGTGAAGGACTGGGAACAAGAAATGAACACCACGTGCTTCGTGGGCTCACTTCGAAATCGACTTTTTTTGGTGAATTTAATTTGGGCCAGGCCAGCTGGCGTTGCCGCACGTGCGCCTGTCAACTCGCTAAACTGTGATCCTGAAATGTGTTATTGTTAGTCGTAATGTTAGCTAGAAAGACTCTGCGCTGTCCAGTTAAATCAACCAAACCCACTGAGCTATACAGCTCTTTTTAAAGATGCGACCTGGCCACAAATGATCGCTCAACGAAGCGGCTTATCGTTACGTGGAAATTTATAGCAGCCAAAACCTCTAAACGCATGATTCTAAATGTGAAGGGAAAAATCGGAGGACCCGGAGAAAAATCTACGTGACCACGGGAGAGAGCGACACACGGCAAACTACCAATATACAGCAGGCGTCAGGGTCGAGATCGAACCCACAACCGCCTGTATACCAGGCGAGGTAGTTAACATCTCTTCGCCACCGCAGGCATCAGGGTCGAGATCGAACCCGCGACCTCCTGTATACCAGGTGAGGTAGTTAACATCTCCTCGCCATCGTGATGATGATAAGAGAGACAACGCAAACTCTAAATATACAGCAGGCGTTAGTCAACATCGTACCCATGACCTCCTGCAGTTAACATCTCCTAGCCACCACAGTTTTTATGTCTCTCTCTCCCTTTCATTCATTTGCCAGTTGCCTGGGTGAAAAGTGGACACCCCCCACCCATTCACGAGTCGCCCGCGCGCCCAGACGAAGCGCACAGCACCTGTGAATGAAGTGGCTCTCCTCCAGGTAGCAGCAGCCCTGCGCGATGTCCCGAGCCATCTGCAGCAGCTCCAGCGTGCACAGCGACGCGCCACCCGGCTGGGAGTCGGGGCGGGCAGTGGGGTGGGCGCAGAGACACGGGGTGGGTGAGGCGGTGGGTGAGAAGGGGGAGCATGGCTGCTGACTCACAACGCGTACGTACTGTGTGTGTGTGAGTGTCTTTGCGTGTGTGTGTGTTTGGGGAGGATCGGTAGTGTAGCGGTTAGCGCGCTGCGCTATGAACCCGGCGACCCGGGTTCGATTCCCGTTCACGGCCAACACCAGTGACGATTATCTGAACCGGTCCCGGGCCTCCCCTAGGTCGACTCAGCCTCAAATGAGTACCCGGTGCGGTGTGTAAATATCGCCACTGGGGAGACAAAGGCGGTCGGGCGTGGTGCTGGCCACCCACCCCCTCGTGTACCGTTCTGGCCTTCATAGGTGCTCGCTAACAGAACTTGCCCCTACAGTCTGTTAAGGCTATACGGGGGATCTTTGTGTGTGTGGGAAGGAGCGGTAGTGTAGCGGTTAGCTGCGGTGCGAACCTGGCGACCCGAGTTCGATTCCCGCTCATGGTCAACATCGGTGACGAATATCTGAACAGGTCCTGGTCCTCCCCTAGGTCGACTCAGCTGCAAAAGGGTACCTAGTGCGGTGTATAAACATCGCCACTAGAGAGACAAAGGAGGCTGGGTGTGGTGCTGGCCACTCACCCCCTCGTGTGCCGTGCCGGCCTTAATAGGTGCTCGCTAACAGCACTTGACATAAGAGTCTGTTAAGGCTACGCGGGGGATCTTTGCCTTTGCATTCGTGTGCACCTGGCACAGGCGCCGTGGTGACCTCACCACCACTTAGTGGTGAAGTGTTGTTGTTGTATTCGTGTGTGTGTGTGTGTTCGTGTTCAGGCGCGTGTGTGTGTATTCGTGTTTAGGCGTTTTGTGTGTGTTGTGTGTGTATTCGTGTTTAGGCGTGTGTGTGTGTGCTGTGTGTGTGCTGTGTGTGTGCACGCCGGTTTGAGACGTGTTTTGTTCAATCCAGGTGAAGACTCATGAGTGCAGGACATAAGTCTAATTTGCCAGAGTGATCTGGGGTCACGAAAACGACAAAAGCATGAAAAAAACCCAAGAACAGCAACAACAACAACATCACGCCGTCACAGAAACAACATCACGTGAGGAATTGACAATGTTCGCGAAAAGCAAAGACACACGGCAGAACAGAGCGGTGGCGCTTCTCCGCTGAAAATCCGGCCACCCCAGTTCGATTCCCGCTCATGAGCAGCAATCAGTGGAAAATATTCGAACGGGGTCCTAGGCCTCCACTAGGTCGACTCAGCCTCAAATGAGCTCACTTGTGTGAACATCAAAGACAGAGGCGGCCAGGCGTGGTGCTGGCCTCCCACCCCCTCGTGTGGCATGCCGGCCTTCACAGGCACTCGCTAACGGCGCTTTACCTGCCCGTTGATGGCTATACGGGGGGAGGGAGAGGTTGGATCGGTGTCTCCGTTTGTGAGTGCGTGCACGTGCGTTGTTGGATTAAACCAAAATGTCAAATTTTTTATTTATTTTATTTTACCAGGTAGGTAAGGTCCACTGAGCGATGTAGCTCTTTTTCAGGAGCGGCCACAAATGAGAGCTCAACGGAAGTGGCTTATCGACCCGGAGAAAATCCACACGACCACGGGGAGAGAGAGAGAGAAACACCGCAAACTCCAAATAAACAGCAGCAGGCGTCAGGGTCGGTCTCGAACCCTCGACCTCCTGCAGACCAGGCGAGGTCGTTAACATCTAGCCACCGTGATGATGATGATGAGAAAGAAACACCGCAAACTCCAAATACACAGCAGCAGGCGTCAGGGTCGGGATCGAACCCACGACCTCCTGCAGACCAGGCGAGGTCGTTAACATCTAGCCACCGTGATGATGATGATGAGAAAGAAACACCGCAAACTCCAAATACACAGCAGCAGGCGTCAGGGTCGGTCTCGAACCCTCGACCTCCTGCAGACCAGGCGAGGTCGTTAACATCTCCTAGCCACCGGGATGATGATGAGAGAGAAACACCGCAAACTCCAAATATACAGCAGCAGGCGTCAGGGTCGGGATCGAACCCTCGACCTCCTGCAGACCAGGCGAGGTCGTTAATATCTCCTAGCCACCGTGATGATGATGAGAGAGAAACACTGCAAACTCCAAATATACAGCAGCAGGCGTCAGGGTCGGGATCGAACCCACGACCTACTGCAGACCAGGCGAGGTCGTTAACATCTAGCCACCGTGATGATGATGAGAGAGAGAGAAACACTGCAAACTCAAATATACAGCAGCAGGCGTCAGGGTCGGTATCGAACCCACGACCTCCTGCAGACCAGGTGAGGTCGTTAACATCTCCTAGCTACCGTGATGTTGATGAGAGAGAAACACTGCAAACTCCAAATAAACAGCAGCAGGCGTCAGGGTCGGGACCGAACACACAACCTCCTGCAGACCAGGCGAGGTAGTTAACATCTCCTAGCCACCGTGATGATGATGAGAGAGAAACACCGCAAACTCCAAATAAACAGCAGCAGGCGTCAGGGTCGGTCTCGAACCCACGACCTCCTGCAGACCAGGCGAGGTCGTTAACATCTCCTAGCCACCGTGATCATGATGAGAGAGAAACACTGCAAACTCCAAATAAACAGCAGCAGGCGTCAGGGTCGGTCTCGAACCCACGACCTCCTGCAGACCAGGCGAGGTCGTTAACATCTCCGAGCCACCGCGGCGCGGTGTAGGACGGCACACCGCGACAGCGTCACATCGCCGCGTGCCACCACATGGTACAGCGCGTCCACAACCGGGCGGCGGGGCCGACGCGGCCACAGTGGGGGCCACTCACGAGGCAGGCGGTCCGGGCCTCGCGCAGGAACGACTTGAGGTCCCCGCCGGCCATGAGCTCGAGGAGGATGAAGCGTGGGAGGCGCTGGAGGCTGACGCCCACGCAGCGCACGATGTTCCCGTGGCTGAACTTACTAGGGGGGGGGGGGTAGGGGAGAGAGGGGGGGGGGGCTGGTTGTCACGGCGACAAAGGGAATAACGCACACGGGAGCCCGCAACAGCCTTCACGGATCCGCTGGGGAGACAAGTGCAGCACCCGCGGCCCGGCCGCCTTTGTCTCCCCCGCGGTGATCGTTTGCACGCCGCAGCAGGTGCTCATTTGAGGCTGAGCCGACCTAGGGGAGTAGGGGGGTGGGCAGGCCCAGGACCGGTTCGGTCACCGGTGTTGGCAGTGCCGGATTATGGTAGGAGCAAAAATAGCTACTACATATGTAGTAGCTACTACATATGTAGTGTAGTAACATATGTAGTAGCTACTGCTAATGCTACGGGCGCCCCACACTTTCAAGCTATCAATCCCGGTTCAGTGATTCTGCACTTGCTCTATTACTATAGTACTATACCGCCTTCAACTTTTATGAACGTTATCTGAGTGCATATCAAATGAAAAAATAAAATTACTTTACTGTGCAAGTAAAACATTTTGTTTAAATATTTACGTGTTTTTTTTATTTTATTTAGGACGCCTTTATTAAATATGCTACAGGCCCCGCACGAGCTTAATCCGGCACTGGGTGTTGGTGCGAATATCGAAACTCGGGTTGCCGGGTTCGTAGCGCGGGATCCGGTAATGGTCCTGGGTCGTCGTTTCGCTTTCTCCTCGAGTTTGACGCCCGCTGCGTTTCCCGCGAACGACATTCTGCGGGAGTGTTACTGCCGAACCGCGCTCTCCCCCTCCCCTCCCCTCCCGCAAGCCCGCCGAGTGGGAACACAGTAATGACGGCACCGATTTGGATTCCGTGGTAGGAATCGTGCCAACGACGTCCCGTGGAACGTCTGCCTCGGCGCTAATCGCCGGGAGGAGTGCCTCTCGGCGTTGCGTCTATTTGTGTCGTGGGACTTCACTGTGACCCCCCCCCCGACCCCCGATGTTTAAAAATAAATAAAAATTAAATGTTGTTCCCGATCGCGCGCTCCGTTGCTGGGCGTCACGACGCGAAGAAACGCGCTCGGAAAACTCTCCGCGGAGCGACGCTGACGGGTGCTTTCACCCGCTGTCCGAATTTCGTCGTAATTAATAGCGCAGAAACCCAGCAGCAGGAGCAGCAGCAACAGCAGCAACAGCAGCAGCAGCCACAGCAGCAACAACAGCAGCAGCAGCAATAGCAGCAACAGCAGCAACAGCAGCAGCAGCAGCAATAGCAGCAACAGCAGCAGCAACAGCAACAGCAGCAGCAACAGCAACAACAGCAGCAACAACAGCAGCAGCAACAGCAGCAGCAACAGCAGCAACAACAGCAGCTACAGCAGCAGCAACAGCAGCAACAACAGCAACAACAGCAGCTGCAGCAGCAACAGCAACAACAGCAGCAACAGCAGCACAACAGCAGCAGCAACAGCAGCAGCAGCAGCAACAACAGCAACAACAGCAGCAGCAACAACAGCAGCAACAGCAGCAACAGCAGCAGCAGCAATAGAAACAGCAACAGCAGCAACAGCAGCAACAGCAGCAACAACAGTAACAGCAGCAGCAACAGCAGCAACAGCAGCAACAGCAGCAACAGCAGCAGCAACAGCAGCAACAGCAGCAGTAACAACAGCAGCAACAGCAACAACAGCAGCAACAGCAGCAACAACAGCAGCAGCAGCAACAGCAGCAGCAGCAACAGCAACAACAACAGCAACAACAACAGCAGCAGCAACGGCAACAACAGCAGCAACAACAGCAGCAGCAACAGCAGCAACAACAGCAACAACAGCAGCAACAACAGCAACAACAGCAACAGCAGCAGTAACAACAGCAGCAACAGCATCACCGAACGACGTGGCCGGGGAGGAGTCATCGCAGCAACACCCGCGGGGGGATTCGAACCCAGGTCCCCTTCGCTACCTGATGATGAGCGCCTCCATGAGGAAGTCCAGCTCGTCCTGCTCCGAGCAAATCTCCGGCAACGTCTGCGCAGCGGCACAAAGATAAAGACAAAGATCCCCCCCCCAATAGCCTCAGCGGAATGTTGGGCCAAGTGCTCTTATGGAGCCCGGCACTGCCTCTCGTGACCACCTTTGTCTCCCCAGTGGCGACGTCCACGCATCTCGCACCTTCCTAGCGGCACGCTGCGGCTACGCACGGAAAGGAGCTCGATTAGCGTGCGTCTCGAGGGGTGTAAGCTCTCATTTGAGGCCAAGTCGACCTAGGGGGAGGCCCAGCACCGGTTGAGATGCTCGGCCCGCGTGGTGTTGGTGGTGGCCGTGAGCGGGAATCCAATTTTGGTTTCCGGGGTTTGTAGCGGTGGTGCTGCGCTAATTGCTGCGCCAACGCTCCCCTGCACAGCGGGTAAGGGACAAGGGGGGGGGGGAGAGATGGGGGGGAGATGGGGGGGGGGAGATGGGGGCGTGATGGGGGGGGAGATGGGGGGGGCGTTGGATACCAGGGATTGCCTCACCCCCCCGACCCACTAAATCCTATTCGCCAGCGTGAATGAAACAATAACATTGTCGCATATACACGGCAGCTTTGTTGTTCTTGTTGTTTGATACGAACAAAGTTGTCTATTTTTTAACGACATCGCGGGGGGGGGGGGGCAGCGTGCCCGACTCACCTTCACGGCCACCTTGAGGGGGCTCTGGTCCCCCGGGTTCCCAGTCACGTGACCCTCATAGACCTCGCCGAACGCGCCGTGACCCAGCGCCCTGCGCACAGCGACACCGGGAGATGGGGGGGGGGGGCACTGGTTATAAAGGCGCCGATGGCCCCCCGCTCCAGTAGTCGCTTCTCTGACGCCTCCTCCTCCCCCAACCGGACGGAGCTCAAGAGGAGGAGGAAGAGGAGGAGGGTGGAAATTTACGCTTGCGTCCTTTCTGCCCTAACGCGCGCGGTGTTTTCGTAACGCGGATTGGATATGCGGGCGGGTGTGCGAACTCAAGGGGGAGCGCGTTGTTTCGGGGTTTTTTCCCCCCGTCTCTTCTTACAACGACGCCAATTGGATGTGACGCGATCGAGTGAACGGAACCGCGTCGCGCGAGCAGGGACACGCGGGTTCGTAACGGGATGCTGCTGGATGCTTCTGCAGACGCTACCCACGCGCCTCGGGTCTTTGCTCGGCCTGCCGAGGCAGCGTGCGTGTCATCGCGGAGTGTGCTTTACCCCACATGAATTGTGATTTATTCCATAACGCGGTGTTCTTCAGGAACGCAACTACTCCCGCCGTTATAGAAGAGCGGACCGTGCTACTATTTGTGAGTGCGTGCGCGCGCATTGTGGTATTAAACTAAACTCAACACATTCCTGCAGAGGGAGCTGGTAGGAACGTTGGGTGGCTCAGTCAATGGCCAGGGCAACGGCGGCGTGGTGTATTCCGCAAATATGCCCGACTGTGAGGGCGGGCACAAGCCGACGTGAGTAGGTTAAACGTTGAGTTTTATAAGGGCACCACGGGGTGACCAGCCTCTCCCCACCCAGCCCCACCCCTCCAATCCCCCCACCCAGCCCCACCCCACCCTCCCCACCCAGCCCCTCCCCACCCTCCCCACCCAGCCCCTCTCCACCCAGCCCCTCCCCACCTTCACCTCCCCACCCAGCCCCTCCCTCCGCACCCAGCCCCTCCCTGCACGACGGACACAATAATCCCCTGTGGGCTGGTGTAACCAGGAGATTCCTACCAGTATAAATGTTTTTTTTACTTTACCAGGTAAGGCCCACTGAGCTGTATATCTCTTGTTTTAGAAGCGACCTGGCCACAGACGATAGCTCAACTAAGTGGCTCATCATCAGCATCACGTGGAAGTTTACAGCAGCCAAATAACTCTAAGCGCGTGGTGACGTTGATTCTAAATGTGGAGTTACAAAAAACCGGAGGACCCGGAGAAAAATCCACGCGACCACGGGAAGAGAGACACTCCAAATACACAGTATGCATCGGGGTCGGGATCGAACCCACAACTTCCTGTATACCAGGCGAGGTAGTTAACTTCTCGCCTACTCTAACACTCTGGCCTTAACGACTTGCGGGGGTGGGGAGTGGATACAAAGAAATGGATATAAAATAAATAAATCTGTACTCTTTGGTTCTTTTGGTAAAGTCTGCTGAAACAGGCAGTTGCCCTGCTGTGTTTGTCTCACCTGATGAAGGTTGCTTGTGTTGCGATCGAAACGTCGTGATCTAATAATAATAATAATAATTGGCGTTTTCCCCTTTTTTCTGGCAACTAAACTGAAACATTTTTACAAGGAATCATGTGCGCATTAACCGCGATACTTGTGGTCAAAATGCAAACAAAAAAACACACCCTGATAATATATATGCATTGCAATAATAGTTCACGTCGTGATTTCTTTTATTTTCTACCCACGTGACTTTACCGATAGAACCAAAGAGTATGGATTCCTGTAGTTACGAAAGCTTCAAATCAAGATTAAATGAATCTGCTTACAACACTGATAATAACAGCAACAATTTGGACCATGATAACAACAATACCCCGGTGGGCTTTGCCTGGTAGGATGGGGGATGGTTTATTGTATTTCTATGTCTTGGGATGATTTGTTTACATTTCTACAGTCGTGGTTTTGTATTGTTTGTTGTTGTTGTCACGTTCTTACCCCGTGTCCCTACTGGACTCATCGGATTTTCTCCGGTATAAATAAATATTCTGATTCTGAAATTATGATTCTGGATCACAACAACATTGACAACAACAACGTCAACAACAACGACAACAACAGCGACAACAACAACGACAACAACAACGACAGCGACAACAACAACGACAACAGCGACAACAACAGCGACAACAACAACAGTGACAACAACAACAGCGACATCAATGACAACAACGACAACAACAGCGATAGCAACAACAACGACAAGAACAGCAACGACAACAACACCAACTGCAGCGACAACAACATGGACAACAACGACAACAACGACAACAACGACAACAGCAACGACAACAACAACAGCGACAATAGTAACAACAACGACGACAACAATGACAACAACAACGACAACGATGACCACAACAACAAAACAACGATAACAACAACTACAACGCCAACATGACAACGCGCGGCACCTGACGAGGTCGATGTTTCGCCGCGGCACCTCCTTCAGCTCGCTGAGTGCTCCGGCCGAGCCGACGGTGGCCGCGCCGTGGGGCTCCCTCCCCGCGTGGCAGTAGTTGGGGTTGTAGTCGGTCATGATGGTGGAGGCGCGCACCTTACTCAAGTTGTACTCGGGGCTCAGCAGCTCCAGACGGAAGGCGCGCAGCTGCCGCTGCTTGCGTCTGTACGCTGCTCGGACGCACGGCGCAGACACGCGAAGACGAAAATTACCCCCCCCTCCCCTCTCCAACCCCTAGATTTGAAGTTTTCGTGACCGCAAGGATTCATACTCTTTGGTTGTTTTTTCGGTAAAGTCACGTGGATAGAAAATTATAAAATAATGATAATAATACATATATTTCGATTTAATGCTTTCGCGACTGCAGGGATTCATCTTCTTGGTTATTTCGGTAAAGTCACGTAGAATGGAAATAATAAAATAATAAAAATAAAACATAAAATAATTTTCACGACGTTTCGGCCACAACGCAAGCAGCCGTCCTCAGGCGAAGAATAGGTCTGTCGAGAAGACATTCAGACTCTGTCTTCTCGACAGACCTGTTCTTCACCTGAGGACGGCTGCTTGCGTTGTGGCCGAAACGTCGTGAGAATTATTTTATTATGTTTTATTATTTTATTATTTCCATTCTACGTGACTTTACCGAAAGAACCAAGAATAAGAATACATATATTGTCTTATTATTATGGTCGACAAAATGTCGTGAGTTTTTTGGTTTTTATTCATTTTTATTTTTATTTATTTTTATTTTTAGGTGAAAAATTAAAATATATTAAATCACGACGTTTCGGGCGCAACACAACAAGCGTGAAGAAGAAGGAGGCTTGTGTTGCGCCCGAAACGTCGTGATTTTATTTATTTAAAGTTTTTTTACCTACGTGACTTTACCGAAAAAAAAAACAAAGAGTATTACCCCCCCCCCCCCTCTCTCCACCTCCACCTCTCCACCCCACTATTAGCCTTAACTCTAATTCATTTTTTTTTTCAAAGCAGGTAAGGGTCCCCCCACTAAGCCGCGTAGCCCTTTTGTTCAGCAGCGACTCTGGCTATCACACGACGAGAGTGCAACGAAAGTCGGCTTGTTGTGGTCGTCGTCGTCTTCGTCGTGTGGAAATCAGTTCCAGTTCATTCTAGATTTGAAGCTTTCGTGACTGCAAGGATACATATTCTTAGGTTTTTTCGGTAAAGTCACGTAAAAAAAAAGATTTTTTTTTTAAAACTAACAAAAGTAAAACAAAATAAAAATCACGACGTTTCGGAGGCAACACACGGCTCCGTCTTCAGGTGGAACCGTCACAGCCACGACAGCTGACGGTTCCACCTGAAGACGGAGGCTTGTGTTGCCTCCGAAACGGCGTGATTTTTATTTTGTTTTACTTTTGTTAGTTTTAAAAAAAAATTTACCTACGTGACTTTACCGAAAAAAACCTAAGAATATAGTTCCAGTTCAGTTTCACTTTCATTCGTTAGGTATAGCCCTGTGAGCCATGCGGCCCTTGACTCGGGTTTAACCGCAACAAACAATAACATGAACAAAGGAACATCTGAAAGTGTCGACGCGGCCAAATACTCGAAAAGGGGGTGACGCTGATTCTTAAGCGTGGAGGGAAAACCAGGAGGACCCGGATAAAAAATTCACGTGACCACGGTGAGAGAGAGAGACACCGCAAACTCCAATTACACAGCAGGCTTCAGGGTCGGGATCGAACCCACGACCTCCTGTATACCAGGCGAAGTAGTTAACATCTCGCCAACGCGACGCCCACGGTGTAGGGACTGTCGGGGCAAGTGCTGTCAGCGAGCAGCGCCTATGAAGGCCGGCACGGCACACGAGGGGGGTGGGTGGCCAGCACCACGCCCGAACCCCCCAAATTGGGAAATTTAGTCACCATGCTAAGTACTCATTTGAGGCTGAGTCAACCTTGGAGAGGGAGGGGGGAGGTTCAGGACCGGTTCAAATATTCGCTACCGTTATTAGTCGTTAGCAGGAATCGAAACTTTGATCGTTGGATTCATAGCCAATTGCGCTAACCACTGCACCACCGCTCACGCACGGATAGACACGCAGGCACGCGGATGGACGGAGACACCGACGGACAGATTGGACACACGGATGAGAGGAGATGCCCACAGAGAGATGGACACGCGGACAGACAGACAGACAGATGGACAGACAGAAGACACGAGCCGAGACGGATGGACGCACTGACACGTGGATGACATTGTTCGGGGTTAGCTTTGCAATTCTCTTGAAGGACTAAGGTTACTCAGCGTCGGAGGCACGGCTCACAATAGGTGTGGCTGTGCAATGTGAATGCACATCAAATGGCTCATCCTCACCTCCGCTCCACATTGTACTCCCACATATGGAAATTTCAAGAACGAATTAAACCGCAAACCCCCCCCCCCCCGCACCCCGCACCCTCACCTCCATGACTATTACCACATTTGAATAGACCTTACAAGGTCAGAGACACGCACGCGGCATATCTAAGTGGTAGAGTGGGTGGGCAGAAGATGAGTAACAAAGGAGGTGAGGGAGAGGAAGGGACATGAGGGGGGAGGAGGTGACGGGAAGAGGAGGAAGGCCAGGAATGATGTTAGGAGGAGGGAGACGGGGAGAGGGAGAGAGATAGGGAAGGTTGGGATAATGAGACGAACAGTAGTCGTCGTTGATGCTTTTAAGAAATTTCACATCCATATGGCGGGGCTCGGGCCGTCCGTACGGCAACCGCCGTTTGACTTCCCAAGAATGTGGCGGGGCCTCGCGAGGCGATACCGATTTTATCCACCGCAGAGGCCCGGCGATGATGATACGGTTTGAATAAAAATAACAACGAAGCTGCATTTGTTTTGCTCACGCAGCGCCCGCCACTCTGCCGCAACTGGCGGCAGCAATTGCCCAAGCTCTGTGACCCTATAGCTGGGGGCGATGTTTGTCCAAACTCCGCGGCGATGTTGACATCGACGTCGATGACAACGACGGTGACGACGGTTTGGGCCGGCGGTTCCACCGTGGCGTTCGCCGGTGAGAATTGTGACTCGACCGGGATTGCAAATGACTCAACTGGGATTACAGGTGACTCAACAAGTGATTGTGAGCGTACTGCAGGCCGCGTCTGTGATGGACAATATCGTCCTGCCGCTTTAAGAATTGCACAAATAATAATAATAGCCCACTCCATTACTATCGTGAATCATTCACATTGTATTTCAGTACGAAGCCTGCGCAGGTGCGATGGGCGAAAAAAGAGGCAATTTATTTAATGTAAAAATGTGCGGCGTAATGATTATTATTGGCAGATGAAATATTGCAAATAATTATCATAACGATTAATAATAACCAATAAGCATGATGATAATGTAATTCATGATCATCATAATATACATTTTTTTATAATTCATAATACAGGTTTTTAAACGTCGTATTAAGATTGTAAATGTTGTGGTTTTGCTCTCCAACACACAACCGGTGGTGCTGTACTGGTAACGAATTGGCCACGTTCTGTTCACGTGACAACCCTTTCTAGTTGGCTGTGTCGGGTGGTGGCGGGTTTGACGACACATTTATATATTTACGCGATCTAACCCGAAAAAGAAAATCCCGGTATTATGGATATTGGTCGCGAAAGCCTACGTGTTAAAATGATAATAATTATATATTAATTATAGTTATAAATAGATATATATAAATGACTTTATATTATATATTTATGTATTTTGTCAATATAACACAACAATATATGATCATAATTTTATATTACACCAAAAAAATGTGAATGCTATTACGTAACGAATACATAATGCCGCTATATAATTGCATATGATTGTAACATCATAATAATAATAATAAATTATAATAATTAGCACGCACCAATGAGGATGCCCGTGCACGCCAGCGCCAGGATGACCGCCGTGGCCACGGTCGCCACTGCGAGCACGAGCGGCAGCGAGAGATGCCCCTCGGGGATTCCCGTCACCATGTCTGGCGGGCACGCAACACACGCACGCGGAGTCGTGATCGTTATTGGCCTCGCTATGACAACAACAGACGACAACAACAACGACGACGACATTACGGGGGTTGGTGGTTACCGATCGATCAAACTTTATTTCTGTAGCACTATTCGTGGGTGGTGGGTGGATGGGTGGTGGGTGGGTGGTGGGTGGTGGGTGGATAGGTGGGTGGTGGCAGTAGTGGGTGGTGGTGGTGGTAGTAGTGGGTGGTGGTGGTGGTATTAGTGGGTGGGGGAGGTGGTATTAGTGGGTGGTGGCAGTAGTGGGTGGTGGTGGTGGTAGTAGTGGGTGGTGGTGGTATTAGTGGGTGGGGGAGGTGGTATTAGTGGGTGGTGGCAGTAGTGGGTGGTGGTGGTGGTAGTAGTGGGTGGTGGTGGTATTAGTGGGTGGGGGAGGTGGTATTAGTGGGTGGTGGCAGTAGTGGGTGGTGGTAGTAGTGGGTGGTGGTGGTGGTATTAGTGGGTGGGGGAGGTGGTATTAGTGGGTGGTGGCAGTAGTGGGTGGTGGTGGTGGTGGTATTAGTGGGTGGTGGTATTAGTGGGTGGTGGTGGTATTAGTGGGTGGTGGTGGCAGTAGTGGGTGGTGGTGGTGGTAGTAGTGGGTGGCAGTAGTGGGTGGTAGTGGTGGTGGTATTAGTGGGTGGTGGTGGTATTAGTGGGTGGTGGTGGTGGTATTAGTGGGTGGGGGAGGTGGTATTAGTGGGTGGTGGCAGTAGTGGGTGGTGGTGGTGGTAGTAGTGGGTGGCAGTAGTGGGTGGTAGTGGTGGTGGTATTAGTGGGTGGTGGTGGTGGTATTAGTGGGTGGTCGTGGTGGTATTAGTGGGTGGTGGTGGTGGTAGTAGTGGGTGGTGGTGATATTAGTGGCTGGGTGGTGGTGGTAGTGGGTGGCAGTAGTGGGTGGTGGTGGTGGTATTAGTGGGTGGTGGTGGTGGTGGCGGCAAAGGCTGAGAGGCGACCGATAATGAAAAAGGAGAGGGACGAGGAGGATGATGATGATGTCAGCGACGTCAGCGTGGGGGGTCAAGGCGACGTTCATCGGGGTAGTGGTGTTAATCATCAAGTGACGACGTTTTTGTGAAAGACGTAAAAGAAGGCTGGTGGGTGGAGGAGAAGGTGGGGGGGGCGGTGAGGGGGTGGTGGGGGGATGGTGGGGGGGGGGTGAAGGGGGTGAAGGGGGGAAATGATGGTGGGGCGGGGAATGTCGGGGTGGGGGGATGTTGGGGATGGTGGGGGGGGGGTGTGTGTGTGGGGTGGTGAGTGTGTGTGGGGTGGTGAGTGAGTGTGTGAGTGTGGGGTGGTGAGTGAGTGTGTGGGGGGGTGGTGGTGAGTGTGTGTGGGGGGGGGGGGGGTGGTGAGTGAGTGTGTGGTGGTGAGTGTGTGAGTGTGGGGGGTGGTGAGTGTGGGGGGGGGGGGTGGTTAGTGAGTGTGTGTGGGGGTGGTGAGTGAGTGTGTGAGTGTGGGGGTGGTGAGTGTGAGTGAGTGTGTGTGTGTGGTGGTGAGTGTGTGAGTGTGTGTGTGGGGGTGGTGAGTGAGTGTGTGAGTGTGGGGGTGGTGAGTGTGTGAGTGTGAGTGTGGGGGTGGTGAGTGTGAGTGAGTGTGTGTGTGTGGTGGTGAGTGTGTGAGTGTGGGGGTGGTTAGTGAGTATGAGTGTGGGGGGGTCCTCACCCAGGCAGCGGACGCCGTCTGGAGCGAGCGCGGTGCCGGCGGGGCACAGGCACACGAGGCCCCCCGTGGCGTCGTCCCTGCGGCACTCGCCCGACTCGCAGCGCTGGCAGTCGACGTGCTCGCGGACAAACACCTCGCCATGGCTCTCCGTCACTGCGCGACGACCACCGCCACCACCACCGCAACCACCACCACAACCACCACAACCAGAATCACCACAACCACCACCACAACCACCACCACCACAACCAGAATCACCACAACCACCACAACCACCACAACCAGAATCACCAGATTCACCACAACCACCACAAACAGAATCACCACAACCACCACCACAACCACCACAACCAGAATCACCACAATCACCACAACCACCACCACAACCACCACAACCACAATTACCACAACCACCACCACCACAACCACCACCACCACAACCACCACAACCAGAATCACCACAACCACCACAACCACAATCACCACAACCACAATCACCAAAACCACAACCACCACAACCAGAATCACCACAACCACCACAACCACCACAACCACAATCACCACAACCACCACTACAACCACCACAACCAGAATCACCACAACCACCACAATCACCACAACCACAATCACAATCACCACAACTACCACCACCACTACAACCACCACAACCAGAATCACCACAACCACCACAACCACAATCACCACAACCACCACCGCAACCACCATAACCACCACCACAACCACCACCACAACCACCACAACCACAATTACCACAACCACCACAACCACCACCACAACCACCACAATCACCACAACCACCACAACTACCGCACAGTCGCTCGTCGCTCACCGCTACCTCAACCGCTCGCTCGCGTTCTCTCTCTCTTGCTTGCGGCGACGTTGTTGTTGTTGTTGACGGTGTTGTTGTTGATGTGGTTGATGGTGGCGTTGCGGTGTAAGGATTGTTGTCGTGGTTGTTGTGGATAATGACGATGCTGTTGTTGTTGACGATGTTGTCGTTGATGTGGTTCATGGTGGCATTGCGGTGTTGGGACTGTTTTCGTGGTTGTCGTGGATACTAATGTTGTTGTTGCTGTTGACGATGTTGTTGTTGTTGACGATGTTGTTGTTGTTGTTGATCGTCCGTCTCTCACCGGCCAGGGGGAATGTGTAGAGTTCGCCCAGCGAGCTGACGAACGACACGCCATCCTGTCCGTCTGAAAACATCCCATTCCCAGCGTCTGCATCCCCACCTGCACACACAGAAGACAAAGATCCCCCCGTGCGTTAGGAAGACACTGGGAGCTATGGCACTTTTAATCAGAATGTTCATTTGTACTGGAGGAATCCGATGAGCTATAAAGCTTTTTTTACGCAGATGTCCCGTCGGGGCACGGGGTAAGAACGTTACCGGAGTAAACAGAACAAGAAACGCGCTCGGAGTGCAAAGTACAACAACAGGTTTAAACAAGTCACCCAACCGCGTGCAAATATCACGAAACCGTCCCCATCCTGTGGTTCAAAAGCGACCCGGCCACAAATGATAGCTCAACAAAGCGGCTCATCATCAAAAATCTAAACAGTCTCAACGAATGTTTCTAAATGTGCAGGAAAACTCCGGAGCACCCGGAGATTGAAAACTCGTTTCTTCAGGACTGCTTTTTGTCTTCTTAGTTCTTTCGGTAAAGTCACGTAGAAGGGAAATAATAAAATAATACAAATAAAACATAATAAAATACAATTCTCACGACGTTTCGGCCACAATGCAAGCAGCCGTCCTCAGGTGAAGAACAGGGCTGTCGGCCACAACGCAAGCAGCTGTCTTTCCGACAGCCCTGTTCTTCACCTGAGGACGGCTGCTTGCGTTGTGGCCGAAACGTCGTGAGAATTGTATTTAATAATGTTTTATTTTTATTATTTTATTATTTCCCTTCTACGTGACTTTAGCGAAAGAACCAAGAAGATGAATCCCTGCAGTCACGAAAGCTATAAATCGAAACTGCTTTTTGTGTTTAGTTTGTTGTCCTTCCCCCGCCCCTCCGATCAGCACGGTTGGCCGCTACGCACGGTGCGAAAGAAATGCAACATACGGACATACAACAGTCTAATCTTAATTTTGGAGCTTTCGTGACTGCAGGAATTATTCTTTGTTTTTTTCGGTAAAGTCACGTATAAAAATAAAATAATAAATTAAATAATAGCATACGACGTTTCGATTGCAACACAAGCAATCATCATCAGGTATAATGATTGCTTGTGTTGCAATCGAAACGTCGTATGCTATTATTTAATTTATTATTTTATTTTTATACGTGACTTTACCGAAAAAACCAAAGAATACAACAGTCTGTTAAGGGCAAGTGATGTCAGCGAACACCTATCAAGGCCGACGCATCACACGTGGGGTGGGTGGCCAGCACCACACCTTTGCCGCCCCAGTGACGATGTTCACACACCGCATCATTTGTACGTATGTTTAACTTCTTGCGCATCGTACATAGCCCACCGTGCCAATCGAAGGTTGAGTCGACCTAGGGGAGGCCCGTGACCGGTTCAGGTAATCGTCACCGGTGTTGGCCGTGAGCGCGAATCGAACTCGGGTCGCCGGACTCGTAGTTTGGCGCGCCAACCGCTACACTGCCGCTCGCAAGTTTCACGTCGCCTTCTTGAAACCCGGGGCAAGTGCTGTCAGCGAGTAGCAGAAGCTCCTACGAAGGCCGGCATGGTGCACGAGGGGGGTGGGCTGGCCAGCACCGCACCGCGCCCGGCCGCCTTTGTGAGATGACTTCGACGAGGGGGCGACAACCTTCGGTACCGGAGCTGCGTTCACCTCTTCAAGGATTGTGGTGCTGCTCTTGAAATTCGATTTTTTATTAAAAAAATGGCCCTTCTTGTTTATTTTGATTTCCGCATGCGGTTCATTGAGGACTCGGGCCGTGATGTCATTCGTGGAGGTCCGTCTCGTATTCACCACGTGCATTGCGGGGCTATTAAAATATTGGTTGTTGTTTTTACCGAATTTTAAACAAAATAATGTCTCCAAACAAGTGACGCCATCACATCTACCCCCCTCTATTTAAGGGACGAAACAGGAGGATTTCTCCACAAATCTGTCTGCCGCCTGATGATGCCGGTTGTAATTGCTGGCGAAACGTCGTACACTCAGACTGTAAATGTTGTGGATCTACTCTCCAACACACAACCGGTGTTGCTGTACTAGTGACGAATTGCCACGTTCTGTTCACGTGACAAACCTTACTAATTGGCCGTGTCGGGTGGTGGTGGCGGGTTTAACGACACATTTATATATTTACGCGATCTAACCACCCCCGCCCCAAACCGCCCTCCCCGTATTATGGCCCTCGTTGTTTTGATTGCCGACCCCTGACTTGGACGATGTGAGACCTCTCATAGATTTGAAGCTTTCGTGACTGCAAGGATTCATACTCGTAGGTTTTTTTGGTAAAGTCACGTAGGTAAAAAATAAAAAATGTACATTGAATTTTATTTTTTACCTACGTGACTTTACCGAAAAAAACCTTAGAGTAAGACCTCTCATAGTCTTAGCTACCACACCGCCCCCCCCTACCCACCGTACCAATGTATCCTCCGCCACCCCCCCCGGAGGTGCAGGCTCCCCCGCCCCCACCGAACCCGCCAGAGGTCGCCCACCCCCAGGCCCTCGTGGCCTGGGCGCAGCCGGAGCCCCCCGCGGCCCCCTCCACGAGCGAGCGGCCCGAGTGGGGAGCAACTGCCGTGTCGTTCCAGCCCCCGCCCCCTCCTGCGCAAACAACAACAACAACAACTAGAACATCAACAACAACAACAATAACCGTTATCATTACAACTACATCCCTTATATTTTGATTTAAAGCTTTCGTGACTGCAGGGATTCATATTCTTGGTTCTTTCGGTAAAGTCACGTAGAAGGGAAATAATTAAATTGTAGTGTGGGGATGAGTGTGGGGTTGGGGTGTAGGGTGGGTGTGGATGAGTGGGGGGTTGGGGTGTAGGGTGTGGATGAGTGGGGGGTTGGGTTGTAGTATGGGTGGAGATGAGTGGGGGGGGGGGTTGAGGTGTAGTATGGGTGGGGATGAGTGGGGGGTTAGGGTGTAGGGTGGAGATGAGTGGGGGGGTTGAGGTGTAGTATGGGTGGGGATGAGTGGGGGTTGGGGTGTAGTTTTTATTGTTTTATATTTGTATCATTTTATTATTTCCCTTCTACGTGACTTTACCGAAAGAACCAAGAATATACATCCCTTATGTTACTATTGGCAGCAGTACTTTAGCTATTGCTGCTGGAATGGTTAAAACAATAGCGACAACCACGACAACATTTAATAAACAACAGCAATAAAAAAACAATGACCGTCCAACAGCAACAACGATTACAACAATGACAGCAACAACGGTATAAAAAAGGAACGACACAACAACAACATCATCATCATACCAGTCCCTACCACTACCAAGTACAACAACAACAACATCATCATCATACCAGTCCCTACCAGTACCTAGTATAACGTCGTCATACCAGCATCCTGCAGCTAACCGATACCCAAGCTCCATGTGATCTTGCCGTTGCAAACAAAGACAAAGATCCCCCGTATAGCCTGAACAGACTGTAGGGGCAAGTGCTGTTAGCGAGCACCTATGAAGGCCGGAACGGTACACGAGGGGGTGGGTGGCCAGCACCACGCCCGACCGCCTTTGTCTCCCTAGTGGCGATGTTTACACACCGCACCAGGTACTCATTTAAGGCTGAGTCGACCTAGGGGAGGCCCAGGACCGATTCAGATAATCGTAACTGGTGTTGGCCGTGTTGGCTGTGAGCGGGAATCGAACTCGGGTCGCCAGGTTGTAATAGCGCAGGCTGCTAACCGCTACACTACCGCTCCCCCCCCCACCACACACACACACATGCATTCATATAGGCATGTACACACACGTATAAATACTCGCCCATCAGTTCATCCCATTAATATGAATACTGTCTTATGGGTGAGTGCCATACCATGGATGAGTACCATTGGATATAGCCACCATATTAATATGAACAACATGGGATATTGCCATAAATATGAAAAGTATGGGAGAATTCCATCAATTCCATCAATATCAACAGTATGCGATGCAGTATTGGCATCCCATCAATATAAACACTATGAGACATTTGCATCCCGTCAATAAGACGATCACGGGGCGTTGACTCTGAGGTTAGGTATGAAGTGGAATAAGCGGGGGATGGCATTTCAGCTGCGAGTGTGCCATGGGCACAAACAAAAGGACAACTCGATCTGGGGAAATTAAAAAAAACATTCGTCCATTGTCAATTGAAACGCTCGGTCCGTGCGTAACGCAATCAGCGAGCGCCCGTTTGAACAGCAGGTGTTCCCCCACCCCCCCTTACTGCCCCCCCTCACCCCCAATCTCGCTCCCCACCCCCCCCCCCACCTTCAATGAATCACCGGGTCCGAGTCAAGAGAATGGCGTCCCACACGAATATCAAACCAAGGGCCTACTCACTGTGAGGCGTGAGTGTCGTCGCCACCGCTGCCACCACTTTGGTCAATTGTGCATAGATATATCGTCATCGGGCAAACGCAACAACAGCCGCCACTCGTAAATATATGACCAAATTAATTAATGGAATCAGATTGCTCCGTTTCCCAGCAATGAATGAGTAAATAAATGAATCACCAAATGAACGCTTATAGATGAATTGCGTGAGCAGCGGCGTGCAACCTGCTGATAAGGCAAACAATCACTGACAACGGAACACATTAACGTGGGATTACAGCGCCATGGGACTTAAGGAGGGAGGTGTGAGTGTAGAGTAACAAGGCTGGGTAGCGATGTTGGTGGTGCTGAAGTGGACAGCAACAAGGCTGGGTAGCGATGTTGGTGGTGCTGAAGTGGACAGCGACAAGGATAGGGAGGATAGTGCTGGTGGTGAAGTGGACAGCGACAAGGCTGGGTAGCGATGTTGGTGGTGCTGAAGTGGACAGCAACAAGGCTGGGTAGCGATGTTGGTGGTGCTGAAGTGGACAGCGACAAGGATAGGGAGGATAGTGCTGGTGGTGAAGTGGACAGCGACAAGGCTGGGTAGCGATGTTGGTGGTGCTGAAGTGAACAGCAACAAGGCGGGGTAGCGATGGTGGTGGTGCTGAAGTCGACAGCAACAAGGCGGGGTAGCGATGGTGGTGGTGCTGAAGTGGACAGCAACAAGGCTGGGTAGCGATGGTGGTGGTGCTGAAGTCGACAGCAACAAGGCGGGGTAGCGATGGTGGTGGTGCTGAAGTCGACAGCAACAAGGCTGGGTAGCGATGGTGGTGGTGCTGAAGTCGACAGCAACAAGGCGGGGTAGCGATGGTGGTGGTGCTGAAGTGGACAGCAATAGGTCTGGAGATGACGGTTCACCAACTCATTCGCCGATTCATAATATGATTCATTCACAGACTCATTCACCGATTCATCCTCTGTCTCATTCTCTCATACACTAAATCATTTCTTGCCTGATCTTCTGATGTATTCACAGACGTATACAAGAAGCTTCTGTACACACTCCCCCTTGTTTATCCACCACCCCCTCCCCTCCCGAAGTGAGACGCTTCCACCTGCACGAAATTGTGTCAGCAGAGCCATTCGTCCATTTAAATGCAGATCACGGTGACACCTGTATGAGGCACTCGCTCGCTCCCTCGCCTGCCTGCCCACCGGCTCACTCACGCTCGCCTGGTCACTCTCTTAGCCTCTCACTCAATCACTCACGTGCTCGCTCTCTCACTCGTCCACTCGCTCGCCTGCTCACTCTCTCACTCGTCCAATTGGTCTCTCACTCACTTGCCCACTCGCTCTCTCACTCACTCCCCACTAACTCACCCACTCACCTACTCGATCTCTCACCCACTCACTCACTCGCCCGCAGTGAAGTGTAACCAAAGTCGTGGCTCGCTATGTCCAAGCGGTTGTCACACTCGCTGCTAAATTGACGACCACTGCACAGGGTGATCCACCTATAGCAACAAAACCCATGTGCTACCCATTTTTTTCCAAACTTACAAAGTGCGACTCAGCCTTTGGGGGCAAGAGGGCGGGGCGGGGGGGGGGGGAGGGGGCGTTGTAGGGGGAGAGGTAAGGGGAGTCACCGGCCGCCCCCGTGTGCCCGCTGGCTGGCCGCACGGATGGGTCTCGCTCGTAGCGTTCCTCGACGGCGCCCTCGCGGTTGCCCAGGTACGCGTTGCCTCCTCCGCCAGCCGCAACCAACAGCGGCACTGGGACTCCCTCTTGCATCTGGGGGGGGGGGGGGAGACGAGGGGGCAGGGGGCGGGGGGGTGGGCTAAGGTTCAAGTCTCAAGTTCGTGTTGTTCAACCAGGATGTGAGGTTCATTTGCCATAGTGACCAAATAAAAATAGGACAAAGACTTTCAGCGATGATGCAAATAAGAATCGGCACAAAAGCAACTGCGTTGGACGAGAAATGCAAGATGTTGCACAAACGTCGATCAACGTTCATAATAACAACTTGCCTTGAGCCCAAGTCAAACCGGAGATATTTATGGACCGAACAGAGCACAATTACAAAATGAAGTAACAGGAACATTAAACAGATCGAGAATCATACTCTCTGGTTCTTACGCTAAAGTCACGTGGATAGAAAAATAATAAAATAAAATAAAAATCACGATGTTTCGATCGCAACACAAGCAATCGTCTTCAGGTGAAAAGATACAGGAAGAAATGCAGCGATATTTACTGCAGCCAGAGGTTATAGAGGTTTGAGGTGGGTACAACCCAAGGGTAAGTGGGCGGGGCTACCCCCCTCTCGCCCGTTACGGCAGCCCCCCCCCCTTCCTCCCCCCCTCGGATTAGCCGAGGTTTGCCGAGCTCTGCGATCTTACATTGACTTGCAAATTCTATCTCTAGCCCCGCCCACTTACCCTTGGGTTGCCCCTACTACAAACCTATATAACCTCTGGCTGCAGTAGCTCTCTCGTTATATTTATTCCTGCCTCAGCAGTCCGCCTGCTGTAGTTTTTTTCACCTGAAGACGATTGCTTGTGTTGCGATCGAAACGTCGTGATTTCTATTCGTTATTTTTCTACCTACGTGACTTTACCGAAAGAACCAAAGAGTATGGAGTCCTGCGGTCACGAAAGCTTCAAATCAAGATAGATCTAGAATCACTATTGTATTAGCATATACATAGGCAAGGAGATATGATGTGAAATGGGCGATGTGAATCTATGGGCAATGTGCGTATCGGGGCAATGCATGTCTAAAGGCAATGTCAGTCATTGGGCATTGTAAGTCTATGGGCAATCTTCTTGGTTCTTTCGGTAAAGTCACGTAGAAGAGAAATAATAAAATAATAAAAATAAAACATTAAATTCCCACGACGTTTCAGCCACAACGCAAGCAGCCGTCCTGAGAATTTTATTATGTTTTATTATTATTTTACTATTTTCCTTCTACGTGACTTTACCGAAAGAACCAAGAAGATGAATCCCTGCAGTCACGAAAGCTTTAAATCGAAATTCAATGGGCAATGTCAGTGTGTGGGCAACGTGGGTCTGCGGGCAATGGTAGGTCTACAAAGGTCTCCCAATGCCACGTCATTCGTGGAGATATTTTACGATACTTTCTAGCGGGATGGCTGAAGGGGGGGTGGGGGGTGGGGGTCGGGGTGGGGAGTGGGGGGGTGGTTGGGGGGGGCGAACCCGGAAGACGAAAGTGGCTCCGCCGCCCCCGCCGCCGCCTCCCGCCCACCAGCTGACGCTGCCGTTGGTGCGATGTTCCTCCTCGATGCGATCGGACTCCCCGAGGCAGATCTCCTGGATGTCCTCGACCGTCTAGAGCGGCACGACAGGGCGAGCAGCTTCAGACAGGGCGAGCAACTTCAGACAGGACGAGCAGCTTCAGACAGGACGAGCAGCTTCAGACAGGACGAGCAGCTTCAGACAGGGCGAGCAGCTTCAGACAGGGCGAGCAACTTCTTTAGGCAGAACGAGCAACTTTAGACGGTGAAGATCTTTGGAGGTGCCACGGTGGCTAGGAGATGTTAACTACCTCGCCTGGTATACAGGAGGTCGTGGGTTCGATCCAGACCCTGATGCCTGCTTGTATATTTAGAGTTTCCAAGTCCCTTTCTCCCTGTGGTCAGATGGATTTATCTCTGGATAACTTCTGAGACTCAGCGGGCAAAATGTAATAATAATCATTTATAATCCATAGCACAGTTAATCCACTGCTGAATGAAGGCCTTCCCCGCACTGTGCATGCGTTGCTCAACCGCGTATATTCGTGTTCATGCTGCACTTCTTTCACACCGTACGTAGCCAACCGTGCTTATCGGAGGTGCGGGGGAAGGACAACAAACTGAACACAGACGGCAGTTCTAAAGAGAAGAGTTTTCAATCGACATGATGTGAAGGTGGATGGGTCCAGTGGCTTCCTAACATCGGAATGAAGATCGATCCAGACGGCCGCAGGAGGGCATCTGAACGCGCGCGCGATGCGGCGACCGTCATTGTAAGGGAGGTTGGTCCAGGGGGTGGTAGCACAGGACCGGCGCCGAGACCGCGCGCCACTGACGTTAGCCGTGCACGACCGGGAATCGAACTCTCGGCTTGTGACGATGCTCGACGCAGCTGCAAGCGGAACGACCTGCGTCCAATCGCCGCGTCGTTCTACGTCGGCGAGCCGCGCGCTCCACGTTCCCGGAGCAAGAGTTTTCAAGTTTCATGTATTAGTTATAGCCCTGTGAGCCATTCGGCTCTTGAATCGGGTGCAACCGCAACAAGCAAAAAAAACAAAAACATGAACAAGAAAACATCTTAAAGTGACTATGTGCAAACAGAAAATCCAAGAAAAGACAGCAAAATATTGCAGAAAAAGCACCGTACACCAACGCTGTGCAAACATCCCAGTGGGATGCAAGTCAAACAACAACAACCACAAGATAACTTAGATTAAGGCCATCAGTCTAACTCTGTACTACAACAAACAAACATGGCCAAACCGAAAAACGTTTCAAAAATCACCAAAATAAAGCCATAAAAGCAATGAAACAGTGGTCATAGGAACTGTGAACAGTGATCATAGGAACTGTGAGGGGGCGGGAAGGATGGGAGGTGGTGGGGTGGGGGGTGGTGGGGGTGGAAGGTGGTGGGGGGTGGTGGGGGTGGGGTCCCGCGAGATGGGGGGTGGGGGGGATGGTGAGTGGGGGGGGTGGGGGGTGGTGGGGGCGGGGGGATGGGGGGGTGGTGGGGGCGGGGGGATGGGGGGTGGTGGGGGTGGGGTCCCGCGAGATGGGGGGGGGGGCTCAACTCACCGAGGGGCAGGCGTCCTCGCCCTGCTGGCCCACGAGGAGGTGCAGCACCTCGTCCTGGTAGAGCGTGAAGATGGCCGCGATGAAGACGCCGTGCGACCGCTGGTTGCTGTTCTTGCCGCCGCTGCCGCCCGCCGCGCCGTACGCGGAGATCCTGGGAGAGCGGGCGGCGAGCTTCTCAAGACAAAGAATCCCCCGCGTAGCCTTAACAGACTGTTGGGGCAAATGCTATTATCGAGCAACGGCTATGAAGGCCGGCGCGGCACACGAGGCGATGTTTTGAACACACTGAACCAGGCACTCATTTGCGGCTCAGTCGACCTAGGGGACGCCCAGACACCGGTTGAGATATTCGCCACAGGTGTTGGTGTTGGCCGTGAGTGGGAATTGAACTCAGGATGCCGGGTTCGTAGCGCAGCGTAGCGCTAACCGCTAGGCTACCGCTCCCTGTAAACACGATAACCCCCACAGCTACAACTGGAAACTTACCAATTGTGGGCTGGGGGGCAAGGGAGGGGATGGGGGTGACGGGGCGGGGGGGGGGAGCGAGGGGACGTGGGGGGCAGTGGTACCGGACTACTTGAGTACATTTGGTACTTGCGTTGAGGAAGTCCCGTGACCCTGGCTCTCAACCGTTGACACAGAATAAGAATCTGTATTTATCCTGGAGGAATCCGATGAGCCATGAAGCTCTTTTTCACACGCTGTCCCACGGCAGTGATAAACCAGGGTGGCCTGCTGGATTCGAACCGCGAACCTCTTCTGCTGCAACAAGCGCTGAATCTGGTCTGGGGCCCAGCAGGGCCAGGGGCTAACGACGCGGTCACCGCTCTCCACATAAGCACACGTTGGCTGTGCACGGTGTGAAAGAAGTTCAACATACATAGGATCACCATAACTACCACCGCCAACACGATCACCACCAATACCAACACAGCCGCCATTCGCCACCAAGTGACGGTGACGTCACCACGGCGTCTGTGCCAGGCTAGGTGCACTTTGAGGACACGTGAAGTGTTGAAGGCTCGCTGCTGACAGGAGGTCTCGGGACAGACCCAGAATGATCACCACCACCACGACCAACACCACCATGACCACCACCACCAAGACCACCACTACTGTGACCACCACCGCGTGCGACGTCTTACGCTACACGCCCTGGCGACCAGCGTGGTGAAGTATGGTCAAATAACCACCCCGCCAACTGCACAGACGTGAGACGCTCATCCAGCAGTGGATTGACAGAGTACCTGTACGCGTACAGGGGGACTTGCACACGAACAAATGTGATTATTCATAAGCGCCCTGGTGAGGTGAAAATTGGGCAGAAAAGGGTAGCAGCACATCGAATCCGCGAATCCACATTCATCTGAAAATGATATCCTGACAAATCCACACGATCCCTGCAACTCAGACATCGTCGATACGCATCTAATTTAAAGTGTCAGCGTAGCCCCAAGCGCAGTGCTGTCCGTGGCGTTCCTCGGGTAGGGCACTTGCCGGTCGTTCAATGTGAAGTCCAACGTTTCACCCCGCGTGCCGGGAGCTTTTTCAGGAGTTCAAGCGGCCAGGTGGTTCAGAGATGCGGAGAGAGCTGAGTTGGAGTCTGGGGTTTAGCCACCGGTGATTAGAAGTGCAGTGAGTTGATGGTTTTAACTCGGTCACTGATGACTTGGACAGAGACCCATAGGTCTCTTTTAGACCCATAGGGAAACAAACCTGGAGAGTCATGGACTCGACAGAGAGCCGCAGAGCCACTTAGAGACCCATATACTCACCCGGAGACCCAAAGACTTGTTTTCGACCCATCGAAAAACTTAGCGACCGCATAGACTCACACGTAGACCGACAAAGTTGTGATTAAACCATAAAGTGTAGAGAGCTGATGGTCTCAGCCTGGTCACTGAATTTCGCACAATTCCAGCTGCATGAATAATAACAATAAAAAAGCCCGATGTTGGCCAAATTGCCGAATGACGGAGACTCTCAGCAGGGCAGGGATGCGTTGGGCCCCAAGTGCGGAGAAAGGGGCCTTATCGAGGTGACCTCAGAAGTAGCTCTGCAATGTCAACCTCTGGGTGCCGCTCTCTGACACGGGGGTGATGCACCTCTGCCTGCAAGAGTACCCAAAGGAAATATTTCGTTTATTTTTTCCTTATCTTGGAAACATGACACCGATAGCAACAACCGGAATATAATTGGTGAGAAAGAAAAAGGTGACAGATGACGTTTTTTTGTAAAAAAATATAAGAAAATAAATCGCTAAATAAATATTGCTACATATCTCCTGGTGTCATTAACCGGTGAAGATTTCCCCGGACACACCAACGTACGCGGCTGCTGGGTGATGTGACGATGCCCGCGATCTCTGAATGTCATTGATCGGCTTCGTGGGGATGGGAATCCCACACCCACCCACCCCTACACACCCCACCCTTCCCCACACCCCCAATCATTTATTCGTCTCGTGTTGTCGCTTCCTTGAATTGACCACCGCAGCTGTCGCAGACGATCGGCTATTACACGGGGTGCCTCGGCCACTCTGCGTCTTAGCCAGAGAGAGGGCCTTGGTCTGACGGGAGACCTTTCCTCCCGCGTGAATGTTGTTGTTTTTAATTTTAAAATGAATTGAGCGACTAAACTTGCATGGGTAGAGGACTCTGCAGGGTTCGGGCAATTGCCGGACGCCCGATTGCGAACTACGTCTAGAGACGACACGTGACCACTATCGGGCCACAACCACGACTGTCCCGGGGTATTTCCGTCCCGATCGGCGCAAACCCTTGGTTCGGATGTTTCACTCTCACCGACAATGGCCGTTCGCCACGAAAGTGGCGGCGATGTCACCACGGCGCTTATGCCAGGCTAGGTGCACACTGAGGCCACTGTGAAATGTTGAAGGCTCGCTGCTGGCAGGAGGTCACGGGGCAGGATCCAGGTGCCGCGGGTCGACTGACTGAGACGGCTGACAGATGCACCACCCGTGCTCCCTACTGCGCCATCTCGCTGCGTTTTAGTCGCCCGACGCTCCGCTGGTGGTTGTGAGCGTCGCTCCTCTGCCCTCCGTTTGTGCTGGAGGGCGACTGCTTCCAACTTACCAGTCGCGCCACTATTCTCACCACTAAAAACAAAGATCCCAATTATAGCCTTAACAGAATGTTATGGATTGTGCTGGTAGCGAGTAGCACCTATGAACCTATGAAGAGGGGGGGGTAGTTGGCCAACACCACGCCCGACCACCTTTGTCTCCCCAGTGGCAATATGTACTCACCTCACTAGGTACTCATCTTAGGCTGAGCTGACGCAGGGAAGGACCCAGAACAGGTTCACACAATTGTCACTGGCGTTGGTGGTTGTGAGCGGGAATCAATTTCATGTCGCCGGGTTCGTAGCGCAGCGCGCTAACCGCTCTGCCACCGCTCTCCACATAAGCACACGTTGGCTATGCACGGTGTGAAAGAAGTTCAACATACATAGGATCACCATAACTACCACCGCCAACACGATCACCACCAATACCAACACAGCCGCCATTCGCCACCAAGTGACGGTGACGTCACCACGGCGTCTGTGCCAGGCTAGGTGCACTTTGAGGACACGTGAAGTGTTGAAGGCTCTCTGCTGACAGGAGGTCTCGGGACAGACCCAGAATGATCACCACCACCACGACCAACACCACCACCGTGACCACCACCACCATGACCACCACCACGATGACCACCACCACCACCACCACCGTGACCACCACCACCGTGACCACCACCACCATGACCACCACCATCATGACCACCAACATCATAACCACCACCACCACAATCATGATCACCACCACCACGACAACCTCCACGACCACTGTGACCACGGCCACCACCACCACCACCACTGTGACCACGGTCACCACCACCACCACAACCACTGTGACAACCACCAGCAGCACGCGTGACTGTGCCACGTACTGGTACTTCTTTGTGGAGGGCACGCGCCAGGCCTGCACCCCGCGCAGGCGAGCCCCCCCCACCAGCACGCTATGGTTCTTGTTGCGGTAGGCGTTGTTGCACTGCGCCTGCGTGGGGCCGCGCGCCCCGCTCGCTCCGCACGACGTGAAGAGCCAGTGCTGCAGCGCGTCCTCCCCTCCTGCCGGAGCAAGCGGCAGAGGTGACCCGCGTTGCCGCCGAAGGACCCGTCTGGGGCCAGTGAGTGCTGGTTGAGCGCGGGGCACGAGGGAGGTCGGGTGGGGGGCGACCGCGTGGCGATGTTCACACACGCGGCACCGGTTGCTCATTTGAGGCCGAGTTGACCTCGGGGAAAGCCAAGGACCGGTTTTAGATAATTTATAATAATTTAATCGCTGCCACTGGCGTTGGTGGCGGTGAGCGGGAGTCGGGCTCGGAGCGCAGTGCGCTAACCACTGTGCGTGTGTCATCCACCGCTGGATGACAACGATTGCCGTTATAGGCATAACAGACTGTTGGGGCAAGTGCTGGTAGCGGGCATCTACTGGATGATACACAGACGCACACGGAGGGAATGAGAAAGAGAGAGAGAGATGGATAGAGATGGATATGGAGAGGGGTAGGTTTAATCCATCTGTAGGGGGATAGAGCGTTGCTCCCTTGCGCATGGTGTGGGTGTCCTCCAGGTGCTCCGCTTTCCTCCCCACGTGTATAACGAACAGCTCGTCGATAATTGGATGAAAAAATCTTTGAAATAAAAACCGAGTGTGACAGCAGGGCCCCTCGTAAGGAGAGTCCCATGACTCAGTGCCGCTATCCTGGACAAATAAGTAATTCTAATAATAGCATTATTACTCAGACATATAATGGAACCAAAAAATATATATTTTAGATGAATTACAATATTTGGCTGCTATACATTGCTGTGGGTCTATGGGTCTCTATGAGTAAGGGTCTCTGTGGGTTTCTATGAGTCTCTGTGCGTCTGTAGAAATATGTGTTTAGATAATTTGGCTGATATAAATTTCCACCCGATAAGCCTCTTCATTGAGCCCCCATTTGTGGCCAGGTCACTTCTGACAAGTAAGGTAATAGCTCAGTGAAGCCTTACTCGGTAAAATAAAAAATAAAAGTTTAGTTTTACGATGCTTCTCTGTAGGTCTATGGGTCTCTATGGAGTAAGGGTCTCTGTGGGTCTCTATGTGTCTCTGTGCGTCTGTATAAATATGTGTTTCTATTGTTGTTGTAACGCTCTCACCGCGTGCCCTAACTGGACATCTGCGAGAGAAAAAATAAGAGCTTCATAGCTCATCGGATTCCTCCTGCAGTCTAAATAAATATTCTGATTCTGTTTGTCAGGCAACGCGGCAACTCTGACAGCATGCGGCCTATCCACGGGGGGGGGGGGGGGTTAATCCTGAAGGTGACGAGTGAGTGGGATGGGGGTGTGTGTATATTTATTTATTTGTTACCCGGTCCACGGCTCAGAGGATCTCCCAGGGCGCTGGGATCAGGAATGTGGTCCCTCTTGGCAATAACGATGTCTGCAACACGCACACAAAAACACACACACGTGTTTGTGTGTGTCAGTGCACGTGTGTGTGTGTCAGTGCATGTGGGCGCATTATACGTGTGTGTCGGAGCACGTGTGTGTGTGTGTCAGTGCACGTGGGTACATTGCACATATGTCCGTGTGTGTGTCAGTTTTTGCGTCAGTCCCTATGCGTGCAATGCACGGGTGTGAGCGCATTGCACGTGCATAGATACGTGCACACGTGAGTACGCGTTCGCGCGCGCGCGTGTGTGTGCGTGTGTGTGCGTGTGTGTGCGTGTGTGTGTGTGCGTGTGTGTGTGCGCGCGTGTGCGTGTGTGTGCGTACGTGTGTGTATGTGTGTGCGTACGTGTGTGTGTGTGTCTGCGTGTATGTGTGTCCGTGTGTGTGTGTGCGTGTGTGTGTGCGTGTGTGCGCGCGCGTGTGTGTGTCGGCGGGCGGGCGGTCGGCAAGAATGTTCCAGAGGGACTTTACCGAGTCACACGAGCGACAGAGGAGATCTGCGACACCCGCGAGAGAGACTCAGCCGAGCGGCAGAGCGAGTCCCGACTAATGAGGCGGGACGACTCTGCTCACAAACGCGCGTGTTTTCATTGCGAGCCCCATGAACCACGCGGTTAAAAGTCTCGACTGAAACAACGCAATGACATTCATTATTATTGACACTGCCGCGGCTTTCCTTGTGAAATGTTATACATCACCCCACCCTCTTGCCTATATGCATCTGGTAGTTCCACAGCGTTGGTTCGAGCATTGCCTGAATCTGCTGCTGATGAGACACTGCATTTTCCGATTTAAAGCTTTCGTGACTGCAGGGATTCATCTTCTTGGTTCTTTCGGTAAAGTCACGTAGAAGGGAAGTAATAAAATAATAAAAATAAAACATAATAAAATACGATTCTCACGACGTTTCGGCCACAACGCAAGCAGCCATCCTCAGGTGAAGAACAGGTCTGTCGGGGAGACAGCGTCTGAAAGAAACACCACCACGCTTGGAGCGTATATTTAAGCTGGGTTGGAAGGGGGGAAGGGCGCCTTGACTAAAGAATTTGCATATCAAGAGGAATTTAGCATATTTATGGGAAATGCAGATATGTGATTAGTACTACTTGTGAAATGCGTAGGAAGTGGGCGGGGGTTTCAATCCAGCTTAAATATACGCTCCAAGCGTGGTGGTGTTTCATTCAGACGCTGTCTCCCCGACAGACCTGGTCTTCACCTGAGGACGGCTGCTTGCGTTGTGGCCGAAACGTCGTGAGAATTATTTTATAATGTTTTATTTTTATTATTTTATTATTTCCCTTCTACGTGACTTTACCGAAAGAACCAAGAAGATGAGCCACTGAATGTCGAAACCGGTCCTTGTCTGGCTCTGCTGCTGATGAGAAAGTGAACGTCGAAACCGGGCCAGAATGGCGCTTTTCTTCGGCCGATAAATCACTGTCAAAAAAGGCCGTGTGGCTGATGGGACGTATAAAAACAAACAAGAGAGAGAGAGTGGAGAGACGGGATATGGGAAGGATGTGCCCTGCCTTCTTGTTTTCCCTTTCCAATAAACTCATTTTAAGTGCCACATCTCGCCGTGTCTTCATTTGACCTCGACGGCCCTGCAGTGTAACAAAATCAAGCACACATCATCCTCCTCCTCATCGTCATCGTCATCATCTGGGCAAACACGTGGAGTGAACTGTGCTGCAGTGCCGCCCGCCTGCCCTGGGAATCCACAGACGATGCTCGCCCCCGAAAATCATCGCCCTCGGCGGTTCCTGCAAAGATTCGCCCTCCGATGATCTCACGTAAAAAAAAGCCATCTTAACTTTCAAAAATACGACAACGTGATGTCATATCTTTTTTTTCTTTCGCGGTTGTGTTGATGCTGATGCTGCTGCATGCCCCCCCCCCCCTTATGTGTTTTCAGTTAGTTCGGCAAGATGTCCGACGTTTCGCTACCACGGGACGGGTGGGGGGTTGGGGGAGGCTTCAAATGCATGCATACCTGGTGTCGTGTGTAAACATCATGAGCATTACATTTCGATTTAAAGCTTTCGTGACTGCAGGGATTCATCTTCTTGGTTCTTTCGGTAAAGTCACGTAGAAGGGAAATAATAAAATAATAAAAAATACAACATAATAAAATAATTCTCACGACGTTTCGGCCACAACGCAAGCAGCCGTCATCAGGTGAAGACCAGGTCTGTCGGAAAGACAGCGTCTGAAAGACAGCGTCTATTTTATTATTTCCCTTCTACGTGATTTTACCGAAAGAACCAATAAGATCATGAGCATTGGGGAGACAAAGGTGGACGGGCTTGGCACTTTTCACGCCACCCATTGGAGCGACCATGCAGGCCTTAATAGGTGCTCGCTAACAGCACTCTATACAATGAGGCTGTACGCGGGATGTTTTATGTGGTGTGCATTAATATAACGTAATATCAAACCGCTGATTATTTACAAATCCAAGTGCCGTATATTTGTTTAGTAACGTTTCTTAAAGTCGTCACCCGCATGTATCGATCGGCTGGTGGCGTGTGGCGGGGAGAAGTGAGGGTACTGCCACCTCATGCAGCGTAGAAGAGAAGGCCAAGTACCCCACGTATGCGTGTTGAACTTCTTTCGCACCGTACGTAGCCAACCGCGCTCATCGGAGTTGCCCGGAGGAAGGACAACAAACCAAGAGCGAAAAGCAGTTCTCGAGAGAAATTAGTTTTCAATCGCGACGACGATTTAAAAGTGGACAGCTTCAGTGGCTCCCTAATATCGGGGGTAAAAACCCCCGAGGAATTTGCTAACTTCATTCTATTACGAACGCATCTCGTCCTCACACGTACCCCCCCCCCTCCGCCAACAGCGCTCTAAGCAGTTGCATTTGGAGGCTTGCCCCCTCTTTTCTCTCCGCCTGATGAAGGCCGCTTGTGTTGCGGTCGAAACGTCGTGGGTTTTTTGCTTTTATTTTTCATTTATTTGTAATTTTTATTATTTTTTATTTTTTTATTGTTTTATCTACGTGACTTTACCGAAAGAACCGAGAATATGAATTTGACCCAACCTCCCTCGCCTGTTCGACAGCTACACGGAGGGGGGGGGGGGGGACCTTTGCCCCGTGCAGATTGTTCCGTGCACGTGCGGGCGAGCGGTGACCGCATGCGCACTGCTCGCCTTCGGTGTTCAGGGACGGGCGCTTCTCCGAGAACTCGAAGTTTGCGGCCTTCTCTTCCCGCCGAGCCGCGCGGCGCCCCTCCGTGGCCGCCGCCGGATGCTCGTCCTGGGATTCTGGGGCGCAGAGTAGCAATCCGTCTCCTCCTGGGACGTCCCGAGTAGCCCCGCACCTCCGATCGGCACGGTTGTCTACGTGTGGTGCGAAAGAAGTTTGGCATACGCACGCGCGCACGTGTACACACACACACACACGCGTATACACACAAAGATAAAGATCCCCCGTATAGCCTTAACAGACTGTAGGGGCAAGTGCTGTTAGCGAGCACCTATGAAGGCCGGAACGGTACACGAGGGGGTGGGTGGCCAGCACCACGCCCGACCGCCTTTGTCTCCCCAGTGGCGATGTTTACATATCGCACCAGGTACTCATTTGAGGCTGAGTCGACCTAGGGGAGGCCCAGGACCGGTTCAAATAATCGTCACCGATGTTGGCCGTGAGTGGGAATCGAACCCGGGTCGCCAGGTTTGTAGCGCAGAGCGCTAACCGCTACACTACCGCTCCCCATACGTGTACACACACACACACACGTACACACACACGCGCACGCACACACACGTTGTCTGCTATCATGCGTTGCATCTCATCAGAAAGATACATCGATTCCTTGCTCAAATGTCCCAGCAATATTTACTAATATAAATGGGTAATGAGTTTTAGTATGATTATTATTGTCTGTGACTCAATCGCTACTATTATGTAAGCCTAACTATTGTTTAGAAAGTGGTTATCAGAATATATTTGTTTCATTCTTATCAGGCTCCATGGTGTTAAGTGCAGTCTCCAAGTCTTATCATCCTCTCCCTGGCCTTTCTGTTTATGTGCCATGAAGAAGAGCCCTTGCCCGAAACGTTGCCTATTTTATATACTAATGGTTTCCTCGTTATGGTCGTGCTTTTTGACGAATGTATCAATTTTTTAAAATATGATTTGTGCTTATGCAACCGCAGTGCCAACGTAGCATCATTAAATTTGAGGCTGAGTCGACTTAGGCGAGGCCCAGGACCGGTTCAGATAATCGTCACCGGTGTTGGCCGTGCGAACTCGGGTCGCCGGGTTCGCAGCGCATCGCGCTAACCACTACACTACTGCTCCACGCACACACACACACAAAGATAAAGATCCCCCGTATAGCCTTAACAGACTGTAGGGGAAAATGCTGTTAGCGAGCACCTATAAAGGCCGGCACGGCACACGAGGGGGTGGGTGGCCAACACCACGCCCGGCCGCCTTTGTCTCCCTAGTGGCGATGTTTGCCCAGGGCCGGTTCAGATAATCGTCACTGGTGTTGGCCGTGAGCGGGAATGGAACCCGGGTCGCCAGGTTCGTAGCGCAGCGCGCTAACCGCTCCACCACCGCTCCCCACACGTACACACACACAGACACGCACGTATACACACACACGTATACACACACAGACGCACAAACCACTTGGCTTGAAACGCAAGCGCGTGTCTGGGCAGGTTGCATGGCGATTGGAGAGTTTCGCGCGGGCGGGCGAGCGAGAGGGCAATCATGGGAGAGGAAGGACCTTATGCATGGGACAAAATGCCGTGGTTCTCGCGTTTCAAGTGGTTCCAGGGGGCAGACACGTGGTCACACATTCCGCCATGAGTGGGGACCCGATTGATTTACTTCAAGGATGTTTGTCTGCTCGTGCGATGAACGTAACACCCGGAAAAAAACAACGATGCACGCCAACCCATGTCAGTCCGGATGCCCGCCATCTCGCCGGGTCTCAGAAACTAAACTAAACATTTAGTTTAACCAGGTAAGGCCCCAATGAGCTCAGTAGCTCTTTTTCAGAAGCGACCTGGCAGTCACAAATTACAAGCTCAACGACGTGGAAAACTTAATTATATATGTTTTTGATTTAAAGCTTTCGTGACTGCAGGGATTCGTATTCTTGGTTCTTTCGGTAAAGTCACGTAGAAGGGATATAATAAAATAATAAAAATATAAAACAATTAAATTCTCACGACGTTTCGACTGCAACACAAGCAATCATCATCAGGTGTGACTTTACGTGACTTTACCGAAAGAACCACGAATATATATATTTTTAAATCCTTTATATTAAGTTCACTTGCTTGCTTGCGCGTATACGACCGTGCAAATCTTTCGGTCGTTTTTTAGCCCACTTCCCGTGATCCAATCGAACTGACATTTTGCACACAGACTCGTTGTGCGTGAAAATTTATTTTCGTGAAAGTTTTTTTTCCAAAATGTTACACTTTTTAGGGAAAAAATTATATTTAATTACCAATTGCTTAATGGTGGCAGGCAATCATCTGACTCATAGGTGGCAGCCATCTCAAGTCAGAGGACGAGAGGACTCTAGCCGCCACGCATATAAAGGATTTATAGTGAAAAACTTTGTTTTTACGGGTTAATTTTTTTTACCACGTAAGGCGCACTGAGCTATTCGGCTCTTTTTCATCAGCGACCTGGTCACTAATGATAGCTCAACAAAGTGACTTATCATGTGGAAATTATAGCAGCCAAATTACTCTAAACGGCCACGAGTGTGAACACATTACTGCGGAGGGAGCTGGTAGGAACGTTGGGTTGCTCGGTCAATGGCCAGGGTCAACGGCGGCGTGGTGTATTCCGCAAATATGCCCGACTGTGAGGGCGGGCACAAGCCGGCGTGAGTAGGTTAAACGTTGAGTTTTATAAGGGCACCACGGGGTGATCAGCCCCTCCCCAGCCAGCCAGCCCCACCCTCCCCTCCCCACCCAGCCCCTCCCCACCCTCCCTACCCAGCCCCTCCCCACCCTCCCCTCTCCACCCAGCCCCACCCCTCCCATTTTTGGATGCACGACGGACGGACGGACACAATAATCCCCTGTGGTCTGGTGTAACCAGGAGGTTCCTACCAATATTCAAATCATATAACGCACGCAGAGCAATCAACACTCGTCACCACCCTCGCTCCCAGACTAACGGACAAACACCCATCGCGTAGCAATCGGTGACATTCCAGCTCCGATGAAATTAAACATCGCTTTGACCGTCACGCGACAAACATTCCACTCGGTGGCAGAGCCGGTGAGATTGCACCGCTCCCAACCGTGCGAAGGGATCTCACAGATGTAGTTCTGCGACATCAACTTCCGCTGACCGTTCGCGTTGCCTCCGCAGAGATTTCCGAATGGATTCTTCGTCCCGTGACGCCCGTTGCGCAATCGGGATTAAAATAACGAATTGGGAGGGGGGGGGAATGTAAACACAATAGTAGCAAAAAATGTCCAGCCCCCTTAATTAGAAAAAAAAATCGTAAAGTTGCACCGTGAATTACTCAATTGGGATCACAAGCAAAGCAGCAATCATCGCTCCCCGCCCCCCCCGTACTGCAAAAACCTGGAAAGGACCCCGTGAAAACAGTCCCAAGACTCAGTGAGGCTTTCCTGCAGGTAAACCAGCAGAATTATAACAATGATGATGATGATAATAATATGAATAACAATATTGAGCGTTCATCAATGTGAGTGCGCCTTTGCAGGACACGTTGGTGAGGCGGTGGCGCATCGCGACGTTTGTGAGCACGCTGCTGCTGATGATGATGTTGATGATGTTGATGTTGTTGATGATGATCTTCATGATGTTGATGATGATGATGTTGTTGTAACCCCTCCCCCTCTGCACCCCCCTCCCCCTCTGTACCCTCCCCCTCTGTACCCTCCCCCTCTGTTACCCCCCCCCCCTCTGTACCCCCCCCCCCCCCACCTCTGTACCCCCCACCCCGTACCCCCCCCCACCCCTCTGGGCCCTTTGAGGTCGCGGAGTGGGACGCGGCGAGCGGCTCGTTCTGGCTCGAGTCGCACACGAGGGGCACTCCAGCCTCGAGACCGGAGCGCGTGCACACGCGGCCACCACACTCGTAACTTCACTTTATTATTAATAATAATAGCATACTACTACTACCGGCAACGATCATGATACTGATACAATTAATGCGCAGCCCCTCCCCCCACCCTTGTCGATCCACTGCTGGATGATGAACGCCATCGCATTTAGTCGCCATCAATCGCGATGTTAAGATGCAAGGAGTGTTAGTAATTGTCTGTTAATTTATTTAAGCTGCTGCTGTAATGTTACCTCTACACGTTGCGCCCGATTGTGTTGTGCGTTCAGTGACAAACAAACAAACAAACAGCCAATCGCAATGCGGTCGTCAACAGCACTCGGTGTGTGTGTGGCCTTGAAAGGAAAACAAAAACAACGTCATGGGCGACGGCCATTATTGATCGCACACATCATCATCATCATCACCACCACCGCACACACCACCACGAAGATGAGGATTCCCCCGTATAGCCACTAGCAGACTGTCGGGGCAAGTGCTGTTTGTGTGCACCTATTAAAGCCAGAACGGCACACAGAGGAGGTGGGTGGCCAGGACCACGCCCGGCCGCCTTTGTCTCCCCCACACCAGGTACTCGTTAAAGGCAGCTGAGTCGACTTCTGTGAGGCTCCGGACCGGTCCAAATATCCGCCACTGTGGTTGGTCGCGAGCGGGAATCGAACTCTGGCGGCAGGGGTTCGTAGTGCGGTGCGCTAACCACTAAACTACCGCTCCCCCCACACCACCGCTAACGCACACAAAAGATCCCCCGTATAGCCTTAACAGACTGTAGGGGCAAGTGCTGTTAGCGAGCACCTATGAAGGCCGGAACGGTACACGAGAGGGTGGGTGGCCAGCGCCACGCCCGACCGCCTTTGTCTCCCTAGTGGCGATGTTTACACACCGCACCAGGTACTCATTTGAGGCTGAGTCGACCTAGGGGAGGCCCAGGACCGGTTCAGATAATCGTCACTGGTGTTTGCCGTGAGCGGGAATCGAACTCGGGTGGCCAGGTCCGTAGTGCAGCGCGCTAACCGCTACACCACCGCTCCCCACAACACACACACGGACGGACACACCATCCCCGCAATGGCTTTTGTCTAACCATCGAACAAAAACGGTGGTCACGGCCCTTCTGCGGCCGTCTGGAACGCTCTTCCTGCCGTTGTTAGAAAGCCACTGGAGCAGTGCACATTTAAATCATCACCTATAGTGACAAAATAAAATTTTTGTTCGAACTTTTTTTTCGCGTTAAGTTTCTTGTCCTTCCCCCGCGCGCCTCCGATTCGCACGGTTGGCTACGTGCGGTGCGAAAGAAGTTCAACAAACACGAACGAGAAACTGGCGCGGCGTGTAAACATCGTGACGGCGGGGGAGTCAAACGGAGGATCGGGCGCGGGTGCTGACCGCTCACTCCCACGGCACTCACTGCACCTGGCTGGCAGTCGATGAGTCCCAGGTCGTCAAGAGCCAGGGCTGTCCGCGGAGAGCCGCGGCAAGAGAGGGAGAGCCTGGACGAAGACTCCAGCCGCCCGACGCCCACGCACACGCGCCGCCAGTGCCAGCCACCAGTAGCCCTGTGTGTGTGTGGTGGGGAGGGGAGCGGTAGTGCAGTGGTGGTTAGTGCACCACCAGTGCCAACCATCAGTGGCCCTGTGTGTGTGGTGGGGAGGGGGCGGTAGTGTAGTGGTGGTTAGTGCACCACCAGAGCCAGCCATCAGTAACCCTGTGTGTGTGTGTGGTGGGGAAAGGGGCAGTAGTGTAGTGGTGGTTAGTGCATCATCAGTGCCAGCCATCAGTAACCCTGTGTGTGTGTGTGGTGGGGAAAGGGGCGGTAGTGTAGTGGTGGTTAGTGCACCACCAGAGCCAGCCATCAGTAACCCTGTGTGTGTGTGTGTTGGGGAGGGGAGCGGTAGTGTAGTGGTGGTTAGTGCATCATCAGTGCCAGCCATCAGTGGCCCTGTGTGTGTGTGTGGTGGGGAGGGGAGCGGTAGTGTAGTGGTGATTAGTGCACCATCAGTGCCAACCATCAGTGGCCCTGTGTGTGTGTGTTGGGGAGGGGAGCGGTAGTGTAGTGATGATTAGTGCACCACCAGAGCCAGCCATCAGTGGCCCTGTGTGTGTGTGTTGGGGAGGGGAGCGGTAGTGTAGTGATGATTAGTGCACCACCAGAGCCAGCCATCAGTGGCCCTGTGTGTGTGTGTTGGGGAGGGGAGCGGTAGTGTAGTGATGATTAGTGCACCACCAGAGCCAGCCATCAGTGGCCCTGTGTGTGTGTGTTGGGGAGGGGAGCGGTAGTGTAGTGGTGGTTAGTGCACCACCAGAGCCAGCCATCAGTGGCCCTGTGTGTGTGTGTTGGGGAGGGGAGCGGTAGTGTAGTGGTGATTAGTGCACCATCAGTGCCAGCCATCAGTAACCCTGTGTGTGTGTGTGTGTTGGGGAGGGGGCAGTAGTGTAGTGGTGATTAGTGCACCATCAGTGCCAGCCATCAGTAACCCTGTGTGTGTGTGTGTTGGGGAGGGGGCAGTAGTGTAGTGGTGATTAGTGCACCATCAGTGCCAGCCATCAGTTACCCTGTGTGTGTGTGTGTGTTGGGGAGGGGGCAGTAGTGTAGTGGTGATTAGTGCACCATCAGTGCCAGCCATCAGTAACCCTGTGTGTGTGTGTGTGTTGGGGAGGGGGCAGTAGTGTAGTGGTGGTTAGTGCGCCATCAGAGCCAGCCATCAGTGGCCCTGTGTGTGTGTGTAGTGGTTCTGTGTTTAATCTCTCTCTTAAATTTTGCAATCTTTGGAAGAACGTAATCAACCAGGTAGGGTGTTGACTGTTATGTTAGCCGACTCTCTGTGTTGTATTGCATTATATTTCTAAGCTTACTAGGTTTTGTTTTCTCTTTCATTTGTACCTGATGATGATTGCTTGTGTTGCAATCGAAACGTCGCATGCTAGTATTTAATTCATAATTTTCTCTTTCTACGTGACTTTACCAAAAGAACCAAAGAGTAATTCATGCAGTCACGAAAGCGCCAAATCAAGGCTACACGGGGGGGGGGGGGGGGGTGGTCTTTGTCTTTGTACTTCTGTTAAATCAACAGCGGCAGCAGCTGCGGCATCGCCAAATTATTTGTCGAAGCTATGCGAGATCAAGAATTTGCGCGTTGCCCTGCGAGAAAATTATCGCGACTCCAGGGTCATATTTTCGCGATTGTTTCCCGGAGGTTATAACTCGAGGCCACGTAACGACATCCGCCCGTGAGCGATCCCCGCCTCCCAGCTGACACCCCACCCCGACCTCCACCCAGCCCCCCGTCATGGAGTTGGTGTAAGTGTGTGAGTAGCAGCAATGTCCTGATCGTAGCGACAAATTGTTGACATTCTAAATTATAATGAGGGGGTGGGTGGGTGGCCAGCACCCACGTCCGGCCGCCTTTGTCTCCCGAGTATCGATATTTTTTATGCACCGCGCCAGGTACTCATTTGAGGCTGAGTCGACCTAGGAGAGGCCCAGGACCGGTTCAGGTAATCGTCGGCGGTGTTGGCCGTGAGCGGGAATCGAACTCGGGTCGCCAGGTTTGTAGCGCAGCGCGCTAACCGCTGCACTACAAACACAATCACCAACAATTTAACGGGTTCACCAATAATAATTATGCTTGTGTGTGTGTGGCCTTCAAAGGAAAATAATAAATATGAGAGTTGACGTTTCGAGCAATAGCCCTTCTTCATAGCGCATCAATTATTGATAGCACATACACTCCTCTCATCTATTTGTTTTATTGTAAGGTCGGACAGTGTTATCGACGAACATGTTTATTAATTAAACACGTGATTTCACGTGTGTATGTATGTACAGGGAGCGGTGGCGCAGTGATTAGCGCGCTCTGCCGCTCACGGCCAACATCAGCGGGGAGAATATCCGAACCGGTCCTAGGCGATACCACCGAGGCCGACTCAGCCTTACACGAGTACCTGGTGCGGTGTGTAAACATCAGCGCTTGGGAGAGACAAAGGCGGCCGGGCGTGGTGCAGAGGCCAAACCCAGCCAATTCTGCATCACGCCTGCCGTCATAGGTGCTACTCGCTAACAGCACTTGCCCCAACAGTCTGCTAAGGGCTATATGGGGGATCTTTGTCTATGCCTATTGTGCACGTGCTGCATCTGTAGATGTTCTTCACGAAACAATGTTTTGCCCCTTGCTCGGAAATTCGTTTCCGTATTGGGGTCAACGCTCGGGTCAATTTCTGTAAATTCGCACGGAGGGGGGGGGCAGTAATACATTCTTACCTCTCACCGTCATCATCGTCGTCGTCTACATTAATAGTATTACGCTGTGAACGCGGTGTCGTGATGCGAGTGCTTGTTTCTCATTGCGCGTACACACACGCCGCGTGGACGACCATTCCATCTTTGCGTGCCAGGGTTCCCGTAGGGTTAACCCTGCAACTTGTGTTGTGGATTTATGAGCACGGATACAATAATGGCCTCGCTGCTTCTTCTGATGGCTGTGTTGGCAGCGGTGCTTATATGCGGCTCACCTATTTCTACCCACGATTCGCTATTTTATGTGGTTTGAATTCACTCTACATGTGGCTATGCGGTCGGACGTGTGACAACATTGTGTGTGTACTGTGCGTGTACGGTGTGTGCGTACTGCAAGTGTAGTGACATAGAATCGGTCACGTAGCAGCGTAGCGCTGGCTGCTGGCGGGGAAGGGGATCTGCAGCTAGAGCAGCCCTGACGTCAGCAGGTCACGTGATAGACCAGAGCGGGATCTAGGGGAAAGGTAAAAGTGGCACATCGAGGAACCCGCTAGTAGGTTCTAGAAAGGGGGCGTGGCCGGGGGCGGGGCCAGGCCGCGCTGAGATTAATAGAGGGGCTCCGGTAGGGGACCTCGGGGCTGTCGTGTGGAGTGGGGTCACCGTTGTGCTGCTGCTGCTGCCGGAGTCTTCACCGTCTCGGCGTCGCCAGTCAGGTAGCCTAGCAGCTGTCCTGACTGGGAGCCGTAGTTACCAAGTGTCACTGTCAGGCCGCGTTAATAAACAGAGTGCCTCCCACTCTTCGTGTCTCTGACTCAGTCACTACACAGATTTACTGGACACGTGCACTAAGGACATGTTCCATCTGATGGGATCGTCGTACAAATAGCGGAGTACTTCATGGTAGATACATAAAGATCAGAGAAGCCACTCACCGTTCCTCACCGAGGGTAAGGTTCGCGAAGGCGATGACACGCGCGTTAGAGGGGCCGTGGACGGACACGCGCAGGTCCCACGAGGGGCCGTTCCGGGTGGCCCCGAGTCGCCGGGCCGCGACCCCGGCACAGAAGCGGCAGCCGCGGGCGGCGAACCCCAGAGCCGGACTCGTCGCGAGGACCGCGTGGTCACCGTGCCGCGCGTCAAACCCCCCCGGCACCGGCACCGCACCGGGATCCTCCCCTCCCTCGATCCCTGCGTCCCCATCCTCGGGCCACTGGTGGTGGTGGTGGCTAGCGGGGCTCAGGGTGAGAAAGTGTCCTGGGGCAACAGGGAGGGTGGAGAGGGAGGGAGGGGGAGCGGTGGAGGTAGTGGTTAGCACACTGCGCTACGACCCGAGGTCGACTGCCGCTCACCGCCAGTGGCGATACTGTCTGTCTGAACCGTGGATATGCCGCCACGAGGTCGACTCCGCCTTAAATCGAGCACCTGGTGCGGTGCGGAAACATCAGCACTTGGGAAGACAAAGGCGGATGGGCTTGGTACTGTTCACGCCACCCATTGGAGCGACCATGCTGGCCTTAATAGGTGCTCGCTAACAGCACTCTATACAATGAGGCTATACGCGGGATGTTTTATGTGGTGTGCATAAATATCAGTCCCTCCAGAAAAACGCGGAGTTTTTTGGTGATTGTTGCGGGCAAAAATCGTTGATTATGCGGCACGTTTTCTTAAAAAATGCGATGGAATATGCGGGATATTTATGCAGTTTTATGCGATTAAATTGCGGAAACTTGCAAAAATTGCGGTTTGATGAAAAAGAGAAAAAAAAGTGATTCCCCCAACACCCTATTCACTAGGCTACTACTTTAATGTAAAGAGTCATTTCTTATTACTTCCTATGATAAGCAAGCATACTACATCACAGAAAGTGCTGGGAATATTTAAGTTCTCATCTTGTTTTATTTCAGACCTTAACAAACAGATGGCTCAAACTTACAAAACATTGAGTCGAACAAGTTCTGTAGCTTTACAAAATGAATATGCTACAACTTCTGTAAAAATGAATAAATAAAATATTAAAAAATAAAATGTGTGCTTCCTGTTTTACAGAGGTAGCTATACAAAACAGACATCTTCTGTTAAAATAAGTGTTTTCAGTGCACAGTAACGTAAGCAATACAGTAACAGTACAGTCTTACAGTAATGTAAATTTACATACTACTAACAAAAAAGTGCAATCTTTCAACTGTAAAGTTGCATAAACTCCTGAATAAAACTAACTACGTAGCCTCTAACACTTCATAACGTTCCCATGGCAACAGGGGAAATGGCTGCGCTTGTGTGAAGTAAACGCAACATTTTTCAACTTTCTGCTAAGATATATGTGACTTTTTGCAACGAAAATGCGGGGATTATGAAATCATGCAAGCCCGCATATTTTGCGCGCGGAAATCTGCAATTTATGCGGCGAAAGTGCGGCGTATTTGAAAAAACGCGCCCCCCGCATAAATATGCGGACTTTGGCTGATTTTGCGTGGAATCTTGCGATCGCATAATCGCGTTTTTCTGGAGGGACTGAAATATTACGTAATTTCAAACCGCTGATTATTTACAAATCCAAGTGCCATATATTTTTTGTAACGTTTCTTAAAGTCGTCACCCGCATTTATCGATCGGCTGGTGGCGTGTGGCGGGGAGAAGTGTGGGTACTCCCACTTCCTCCAGCGTAGAAGAGAAGGCCAAGTACCCCATGCATGCAAGTTGAACTTCTTTCGCACCGTACGTAGCCAACCGCGCTCATCGGAGGTGCGGGTGAAAGACAACAAACTAAACACAAAAGCTGCTTCTAAAGGAATAACCTTGCAAATCTAGATATTAAAAAGTGCTTAGCTCCACGTGGCTTCCTAATATCGTAATGGAAGAGAACGTTCCAGACGGCCGCAGAAGCGCATCAGAAAGCGCCCCGCGATGCGGTGACCACCGTTGCTGTTCGATGTGCCGGCCCAGAAGTGGCTGTTTCGAGGATGTCCAACCGAGTTTGCTTGATGGTGGTTTATGCTCCTTAACGAGATCAGCAAGCGAGGTGTCGTGGTTCATTTAGGGCCACCCTCTCGATATCCTGGAACCGAACCTCTCGGTTGGAGTATTCTGTCGCTAAGGGCGGTGGGTGGGGGGGGGGAGTGGGTCACTCACCCGATCCAGAATCCGTGTCGGATGAGTTCACGATCCAGTCCGGGATTTCTCTGCTCACCTCCCACCGGCACTGATCCTCAAAGTCGCACCACAGGGCTAGGGAGACGAGGGGGGGGGGGGTTCCAGAGAGAGAGGGAGAGGGAGGGAGGGGGAGGGAGAGGTGAGTGGTGACTAAAGGAGTTGGCAAGATGATGAGAAGTGAGCAGAGTGGGGGTGGAGGGGGAGGCGAGATGTGAAATGAAGGGAGCAGAGGTGAGGAGGGGGCCCTGGGAGCAGTGAGTGGAGACATGTCGAGGTCAGGGGGAGGTGAGTGGAGGTTAAGGAAGAAGGGGAGAGGTGGGGGGGTATAAGGGGTGGAAGCGAGGAGGGGGGTGATGCAATGAGTCGGCCGGCCAGGGATTGAAGGCCACGGAGCGAGATTGCAGAAAGACAATGATGTACACACACACCGAGACAATGATGTACACACACAAAGAGACAATGATGTACACACACAAAGAGACAATGATGTACACACACACAGACAATGATGTACACACACACACAGAGACAACGATGTACACACACACACAGACAACGATGTACACACACATACACAGACAACGATGTACACACACACACACACAAATGCAATGATGCACACACACACAGACAACGGTGTACACACACACACAGACAACGATGTACACACACACACAAAGACAATGATGTACACACACACACAGAGACAACGATGTACACACACACAGACAACGATGTACACACACACACACACAGACAACGATGAACACACACACACAAAGACAACGATGTACACACACACACAAATGCAATGATGCACACACACACACACAGACAACGGTGTACACACACACACAGACAACGATGTACACACACACACAAAGACAATGATGTACACACACACACAAACAACGATGTACACACACACACACAGACAACGATATACACACACACACAGACAACGATGTACACACACACACACAAAGACAATGATGTACACACACACAGACAACGATGTACACACACACACACAGACAACGATGTACACACACACACAGACAACGATGTACACACACACACACACAGAGACAATGATGTACACACACAAAGAGACAATGATGTACACACACACAGAGACAATGATGTACACACACAGACAACGATGCACACACACACACAGACAACGATGTACACATACACACAAAGACAATGATGTACACACACAATGATGTACACACACACACAATGATGTACACACACACACAATGATGTACACACACACACACAAAGACGATGATGTACACACACACACAGACAATGATGTACACACACACACAGACAATGATGTACACACACACACAATGATGTACACACACACACAATGATGTACACACACACAAAGACGATGATGTACACACACACACACACAATGATGTACACACACACAAAGACCCCCGTGAAGGACCACACAGGCTGTTGGGGCAAGTGCTGTTAGCGAGTCGCACCTACGAAGCCCCGGGAACGAGGTATAATGGGGTAGGTGTGGACAGCGCTACTCCCGGCCGTTTTTATATCCCCAGTGCCGATGTTTACACACCGAAGATTTCGGCTGAGTCGATCTAGGGCAGTTCCATAACCGCTTTAGATAGCACGCGCCAACGGGTGTGAACTCAGGTCGCCGGGTTCGTAGCGCGGCGAGCACACCACCTGCACTAACACACGCCTACGCAGTACAAAGACAAAGACCCCCCGTATAGCCTTAACAGACTGTTGGGGCAAGTGCTGTTCGCGAGCACCTATGAAAGGCCGGAACGGCACACGAGGAGGTGGGTGGTCAGCACCACGCCCGACCGCCTTTGTCTCCCCAGTTTGAGGCTGAGTCGACCTAGGAGAGACCCAGGACCGTTTCAGATAATCGTCACTGGGTGTTGGCCGTGAGCGGGAATCGAACCCGGGTCGCCGGGTTCGTAGCGCAGCGTAGCGCTAACCGCTACACCACCGCTCCCCATTACGCAGTACGCAAACACACGTACACTAACACAATACGAAGACCCCCCGTGTAGCCCACACAAACTGTTGGTGCAAGTGCTGTTAGCGAGCACCTATTAAAGCCAGAACGGCACACGATGGGGGTGGGCAGAACCACGCCCGGCCGCCTTTGTCTCCCCGGTGCTGATGTTTGCACGTCGTGCCGAGCACTCAATACGGGCTGGATGGACACAGTGAGCTAACCGCTGCGCCACCGTTCTCCACCTAGACTCACGCATGTACACCTCCACTAACACACCTGCACCAACAAAGATAAAGATCCCCCGTCTAGCCTAAACAGACTGTTGAGGCAAGTGCTGTCAGCGAGACAGCATGGGATGGCCAGCATCACACCCGACCGCACTTTGTCTCCCCAGTGGCAACTATTTTTATTTTTTACACCGCACCAGGTACCCATTTGCGTCTGAGTTGACCTCAGGGAGGCCCGGGACCGGTTCAGATAATCGTCACCGGTGTTGGCCGTGAGCGGGAATCGAACTCGGGTCGCCGGGTTCATAGCGCAGCGCGCGAACCGCTACACCACCGCTCCCCATCAACACACCTACACTAACACCACTACGCTAACACCACTACACTAACACACCTACACACACAAGGTGGCGGTATTGAAGGGCACTGTCACAACACCCATATATCATTTAGGATAAGCGGATCGGCAGCGCCCCCCCTCCCGCACTTTCATCTTCTTCCCCACCCACCCACCCACCCTCCACTTCTCCCAGCAACACACACTCCCCCCCCCCACCACCATCTCACCACGTGTGAATACGGGAAGACAAAGGCGGCCGGACGTTCACGCGCAACGCCGTTTCCCCGTGCAAACACGGAGGTGGCGTGAAAACACGCGGCCACACACAGAGAGGCACACGACGGTTGCTAAGCGCGAGAATGCAGGTGGCAGATCAACGCCGCTGCGCACACACAGGCAAAGACAAAGGTTCCTCCACCCCCCCCCCCCCCACGTATAGTCTCGCCAGTCTGCTAGGGGCAAGTGCTGTTTTCGAGAAAGCTGTGAAAGCCAACAAGGTCCATGGGGAAGGGGGGGGGGGGTTAGCGCGATGCGCAAGGTGCTCACTTGAGGCTGAGTCGACCTAGAGGAGGCCCCAGGACCTGTACAGATCATCATGACTGGTGTTGGCCATGAGCGGGAATGGAACTTTGGATCTCCCCGGGTTCGTAGTGCCAGCGCGCTAACCGCTGCGCCACAGCTCCCCACACACTCGACAGAGATTACCCCGTTACAGCCCGAACAGACTTTATGGGCAAGTTTCTGTTCGCGAGCACGTGTGAATGCCGCCACGGTACTCGAGTGGATGGGTGTCACACACTCTCCTGGCACACACAAACACTACCCCACGTGCGTTGTGCCTCTGTCTTGCGTGCGTGTGAGTGTGTAGTAGACTTGCCGATGACTGGTACCAGCGGTGTCAAGATCGGCCTCAGTGGAGGAGGCTCGTGAAGGACGCTGCTACTGGGCAGTTGGAGGCAGTCGCCCTCCAACAACAACAGAGGGCGGAGGAGCGACGCTCACAACAACGAGCGGAGCGCCGGGTGGCTAAAGCACAGCAAGTTCGCACAGTAGGGGGCATAGGTGGTGCATCAGCCACTCATCTCGGTCATCTCAGTCAGTCGACCCGTGGCACCTGGGTCTGCCCCGTGACCTCCTGCCAGTGGGCGTTCGACACTTCACGTGGCCTCAAGGTGCACATGGCCTGGCACAAGCGTCGTGGTGACGGCACCGCCACTTAGTTGTTGTTGTGTGTGTAGTGGGGAGCGGTAGTGTAGCGGTTAGCGCGCTGCGCTACGAACCTGGCGACCCAGTGACGATTATCTGAACCGGTCCTGGGCTCATCTAGGTCGACTCAGCCTCAAATGAGTACCTGGATGCGGTGTGTAAACATCGCCACTGGAGAGACAAAGGCGGTCGGACGTGGTGCTGACCACCCACCCCCTCGCGTGCCGTGTATGCCTTCATAGGTGCTCGCTAACGGCACTTGCCCCAACAGTCTGTTAAGGCTATACGGGGGATCTTTGTCTTTGTGAGGCGCTACGCTGCGCTACGAACCCGGCGACTCGTGTTCGATTCTCGCTCACGGCCACCACCAGTGACCATTGTCCGAACCGGTCCCGAGCCTCCTCTAGGTCGACGCAGCCTCAAATGAATATCTGTTGCAGTGTTTAAACATCGCCACTGGGGAGACAAAGGCGGCCGAGCGTGGTGCTGGCCTTCATAGGTGCTCGCTAACAGAAACAGCCCCAACAGTCTGTTTAATGCGATATGGGGGATCTTTGTCTTTTGAGTTTGTATGACCGTGTGCCAACAGCACTTGTCCCAACAGGCTAGCCGGGGAACCTTTACTTTGCGAGTGATGTGGATGAGTGTGTTACGTGTGTGAGTGACGATGAGAGTGAATGTAAGTTTGTGTGCCTGTGCATTTAATGCGTGAGTTTGTGTGATTCTTTTTTTCATGATTCTTATTTTTATGACGACGCTTGTTTACCCAGGGAAACCTCGCAGACTCTCAATCCTGTAATCTTTTTCATGATTGTGTGTGATGATTGTGTGTGTGTGTAGGTGTGTGTGTGATCTGGGGAGCGGTAGTGGAGTGGTTAGCGCGCTGCGCTATGAACCTGGCGACCTCGGTTCGATTCCCGCTCACGGCTAACACCAGTGACGATTATCTGGGGAGACAAAGGCGGTCGGGCGTGGTGCTGGCCACCCACACCCTCGTGTATCGTTCCGGCCTTCATAGGTGCTCGCTAACAGCACTTGCCCCTACAGTCTGTTAGAGGCTATACGGGGGATCTTTATCTTTGTGATCTGCCAACCCAAGTTCGATTCCATCACTGATGAATGGATATCTGAACCGGTCCTGGGACTCTGCTAAGTGGACTCGGTCTTAAATAAGTACCAGGTGTGGTGTGTAGAACATCAGCGCTCATGAGAGACAAAGGCGGCCGGGCGCGGTGTTGACAACCCACCCTCTCCTTGGTTCTTTCGGTAAAGTCACGTAGAAGGGAAGTAA